ATAACTCACCAGTAGTGCCTATAGAATACAAAAAAATTTCGAGGTTTCCATAGGTTTGTGCATAAACATGGATGCGTCCAGCAGGCTTCACTTTGTACCTGAGTTTCATGTACATGTATACATGCCTGGTAGCCATCCTTAGCTTAACCATGTACTTGCAGCTACATGTTGGTTAACTAAAGTGGCATTATTTATTTATTTATTTATTTATTTATTTATTATGGATCAGTTCACTCAGCCCGAAGATTAAATTCTGGGCAGGTTTACATTAACAGGACTCAACCCATCAAACCCCAATGGCATGTTTTGTTGGAATCTGTCAGGATGGGTACAGTACCCCTAAACTGACAGTCTTTTACATTGGGTTGGCACACCTCCAGAAACAAAGTCAGAAATATGTGTGTGCAGTTTCCCATATCATCAGTGCAACAAGGTCGTAACTCCATTCTGTAAACAAACATATATATCTTGCGTGAACACGCTCTGTGCAACAATGTCGTATCTCGATGTCCATTGACTTTACGTGTACATCTGGGTTATTTTAGCGAGATACATGTACAACCTTTTGACAATTAAAAACTCGCATTTTGCGTTCATGCCATTTTAGGAGGTACGACTTTTTTGCATTGACGCAATGATATGATGTTGGAATTTCCAGGACGGGTATGGTTCCTAGTAAATCATGCTATATATAGGGAGTTAGGGTTAGACACTATTTGAAATATGTATACGGGTAGCTAGGCAACAATTATTGCTGCATCATATACATGTACATTGTAGAGTGTATACAAACAGGGGTTTTCATCATTTTCCCTGTAAATTTAGTGTATGCAACGGTTTTTGCAACCTTTCTGTGTTCAGACTTTTAACCCTAATGTACGGTACATGCACCTGAATCCATCAAAATCCACACCCCTGTTGTGGAGGATTTTGACGGATTCAGGATACCTCCATATTGGAAAAATTGGGAGATTTTGATGGATTGGGACAGTAAGCCTAGCGGTACTGCAGAGTTTGATGGATTCAGGATACCTCCATATTGAGCAGTTTGGGAATTTGATGGATTCAGGATCTCAACAGTTTTAACTCTTTGGCTATACACAATGGGCCGAATACATAAAGACTAGTAATTGCTAATAAGCAGAGGCACCGAGCAAAAGCAAAAGTTCATCAAGCAGAACTTTAAGCAAAAGCAATTACTTAAAAACGTATTAATAACCTTTGGCTTTTAGACTGAGAGCTGGATATCAAATTCCCTGATTGTATTAAAGCGTTGCAACGGTATCAGCGAAAAGGAAAAAGAGGGAGTGATGACCACGCCCACCCTCCGCGCTATTCGGGCCGCTCTTAAGTTAATTAGTCTGATCGAAAATTGCTCTTAAGTTATATTTCCATAATCTACAAGTTCCAAGCTATCAAATGATACTGGTTTTGTTCTTGTTCTCAGAATTTTGATTAAATATGCAAAATTGGCCACAATTGGCATGCATGGCGCCAGTGGGCCTTTGTCTTAAATGTCTTATCTAGCGAAACTTAAGACTGGCCATTCTGTGATCAGGGTGGATGATACTATGCTTTAAGACAATCAGAGGATTTGTTCTCAAAATTGTGATTAAACCCTATTTTTTTTTTTTATAGAAGCAGCTTTACCCACACAATTTCCAAAATGCTGCATGATCAAACTGTTGTCAAAAGTGATCAACAAATGAGTGCAGTTTTGGTCAAAATTATCCAAAAACACCCTGTGCTATTAGGGCCCTGTCACACTTCTGCGTATCCTAATTCCTTATGAGTTGCGCATTGACATTTTTTTCATACGTAGTCGTACGCACAATACGCACCTCATATGCATCTCTATCGTTTTGTGTAAGTTTTATGTACGCAGGCATACGCATGGTACGGCCCAGTACGCTGGATAGTTTTGGGCATGCACAAAACTACGCTGCGTACGCTGTTACGCAGGTCATAAGTTATAAATACGCAGCACATCGGTCCCGCATCAGTCGAGCGCGGTACAAGTACGCTATGTGTTCATGGGGGATAAGCCGTTCATACGCGGTAATACGCTGACCTCCTATAATGGACGTATACATAGCGTACTTGCAGTGCAGATACAACGCACGCTGAATGAACTCATATCGAATGCCGATGTATTGCACGAATTAGTACCGCTCATCCTGCGAGCGGGCAGCGCATTGTACTTATTTGTAACTTATGAGAAACGCACAGATAGCGAACTTGCGCACTGCATACGCAACTCATACGCAGTGGATGCGCTGAATTCGTTACTTGTTCGCTAGATGTGCGTCGCACATAAGTCAAAGTAATCAAAAAATTTCAACGTTTTTGATCGTACGGCTGCGTATTGAAATTTTTTGATAAGGAACTCATAAGGAATTGGGATACGCAAAAGTGTGACAGGGGCTTTAGACAAATCTCAACTACCAAGTAGCAAGGGAAAAAAAGGAGGGCTTTTCAGGATGCCAAAGCAACAATGGCTACAAACACCGGGAAAAATGTGGATGACAAAAAATACTGAAGACGGTTGCCAACATGAAAGCACAGGTCAAGAAGAAAACGGACGCAAAATGCAATGGGTTATCGTATCATCAACCTGTGTTCCTGTCTTCGACGCACTGAAAGGGCAAGAAAACCCTGCCTTAAACAAGATGGCTTCTGCAATTTCAGCAGCAGTGGGTTCATCCAGTTGCGCTTCTGCCGATGCCCGCTTTGGGTTTTTTTCTTCTGAAGTTGTCTTCTTTTTTTTTAACTGTAATTTTACATTCGTTAGAAATGATTTGATCAAGTACGTACTGTTGCTTTTACCATTCTATCTTACTGAATATTAAAATCCCACCCAACGTTTGTAGCTAAATCTGTATTCTACAGAAATAAAGAGCAGTTGCATCACTTTATACATCAATTTTTTGTGTTCACTCAACACTATTTTGATCAAAATGAAACATACAAATAAAAGACAAAGACATATCGTCACCGTTTTCAGGAACAGCCACATACTATATATATTATGTTGATTCTGAAGAAAAGTGTTCTCGAGATAATCGCAAAAGAAGTTTCTCATATTTTAAACCTGCAAGAAATACTACTTTGCAACAACTTTGTGCAGCAAGGAAACCATCGCATGATTCTATGAGAGCTGAATTTTTATATGAACCCAGTAATAAGACTTAATACGGCAGTTAATTGGTGAAAATTAATAGTGGCTCTTCGTAAAAACACAAATTCAGGTTTTCGACATATTGGCCCTTTCTGTTCAACGTGTATTTCCATAGGCGCGCGTGAGTACGCGCACGCAGCTGACAATGTAACAAAGATATGTGGCTCTTCGTGAAGATGGAAATCTCATTTAACCTACTTTTACGTATTTCCGTGTGTAACCATGAAAATAGACACACTATGGGGAATTCGCGCTTAAACTACTACAACTAAACTAAACTCGGGTTCTTTGAAGGGAAAAGTTGCGAGGAGATTGAATTAATAGGGGCAAGAGACACAATTCTAGATTTCGAACAAAAAAAAAAGACAAAAAGAATTTATTTACAAGAAAATCAAATCAAAGACCAATAACAGATACCATAAAATCAAAACTAAAGATGAAGACCAAAAACTTAAACCATAAAACCAACACAGGGTGAATAGTGGATCTTTAAAGACACTCAAGCAGGAATAAAGTCGAATGACTCGAGCAGACAGAGCTCAAACAGGACAGGCTCTCCAGTCAGGAGGAACATAAAATACCGGTGTACATGTACAATGTATATACTATGAAGTTGTCTCTGTTGGTCTGCTGGTTGAACTAAAAGTGGCTTATGACCATGTGGCAGCTTATATAGGGGAAACATGTGGGCTAAGGTAAACAAATGGGGGACACACTACCAAGAAAGTGGGGGGGGGGGAATCTTAAGTAAAACTAAAATGATTTATTTTTGTTCTGAGGGGAGCTACTCATATACTGGTACACTATACAGTACATACATGAAAAATATACAAGATAAATTTGGCCCTGCCACACTTGCAATGGGTTTTGTATACGTTCAAAGGGCCAAAATGTATGTGGCTATTCGTGAAAACACAAAATGCATTTATCAAGATTTCTGTTCCTTGCAACATTAATGTAACTTGTAAATTAATGATGTTTTGCTTACAGAAACATGTCAAAACAGTTAAGTACATTGTTGTTTAATGCAAAATATTGCGAAAAAAAATCCGCGGACCACTTAAGTTTAAGGCAGATTTCATTTTCTTCTTCGTAATCCGTGGTTTTGAGTTTTGGAAAATAAAGTCCGAGAACCATTCGGTTGATAGTCTGGATCCTGACATTGAATACTATTAGGTCAGGGAACCAGACAGTCGACTGCCGTAACAATAGCCACTGCAACATTTTTAAGCCTCCAAAACATTCACTTTGCATGTTCAGTTTGAGTGGCTTTTCATGGTCAAATATACATTGCCTTGCGAAAAAGGGGAGGTAAAAGTCTGTGACTGATAGGTGTCCTACAGGATCCACTGATCATTCAACTGTAAGTGAACGTAGAGAAAGTATAAATCCATCGATTTTGCGTAATAATGTAACATTACCAGCTTAAACTAAATACATATGTAGGAGTGTCATGGATAAAGGGGAGGAGTTTGACTTTTTAAGGGAACGTTAAGTGGTAAAACGATGGAAAAAAACCTTTGTAAACGAAAATGGTGTGTTGCATCAGGAGGAATGTGTTGGGCATGACTGGTAGATCTACACTACTGCCTGCTGGCATGGCTGGGGCTATTGGACAATCGTAAAGCCATCGGTTCATTAGATCATATGGGATCCTTTGGTGGGTCTAACCTTTTATTTTATATGCCAGTACCCCCGACATTTGAACATACACGCACACAAAATATATACAGTCTACATGTACATGTATGTACCCTCCCAAGTTATCCTGAATTAACATGAATATGATGAATATTTTTTTTCCGTTTTGTATCTTGAATAGTTGCCATGGCTACAGAAGCAAAGAGCGTTGATGAAAGACTTCATTTGATAACAAGAAATCTACAGGTACAGTAGACTCAACATGTTATATACAGCATTGTTATACCTCTGTCTTGAATACTGTATTTTCATTGGTCTAGAACGATCATGTGTCAAGTTAATAAAATGTAATGGCACACTCCCTGTTGGATATAACGTATAGGTGATAGGGAGTGTGCTATGATTTGTACGTTCGGTACGTACGGTGTGCAACACTTATATCCTTGGTCATGTTGGTACCCACGCTATTTTCACCATGTTTTCACACATGAGTGGGAGCAGCAAACTAGCAGACGATCAGCTGTTTCCATCAGAGTTGCCGTGTTTGTTTTCGTGATTTTTACATCAAAATCCATAGAATCCAAGACAGAGGTATAACAAAACAATTGTTGACTGCTGAGATGATATGAGTTTTGAACACCCTTGGTGCTGTGGTGCCCCTCCGGTGTTCAAAACGTCATATCCCACATCACATGTATGTCGTCATTGGAAAGTATATATTGCAGTGAATAAATGATGGAATACGTTTATGTTTGTATGTGTTGTGGCATCTATTATGTCCTCTTTCACCTATACATGCATGTTTTTGCAGGAGGTTCTTGGAGAAGAGAAATTGAAGCAGTTGCTAACTGATGGCAAGGATGTATCTATCTATTGGGGTACAGCAACGACAGGCAAGCCTCATGTAGCTTACTTTGTGCCAATGAGTAAGGTAGCTGACTTCTTGAGAGCAGGATGCAAGGTGAAATATGTCTCCTAGAGTTTGTAGAGAATAAACCCTAGCCAATGATTCCTCGCTTAACATGTGAGCTTTATAATAAAAGCTTGGCTCTCGTTCCTACCTGGCTCCCATCGGAAAGTACACATGTATTTTAAGTGTGATGTCGTTGCGTCTCGGCTTTTATTCATGAACTGCATTCAGTTTTCGCCATCAACTTCTGCCTTAATGACCTGACTCAGTCTTACTGTAAATAGCCTGAAGAATTCTAGATGCCAGAGCAGGAAAGTTTTAAACTAGCTGAGTCCAGCAGGATCCAACTGAAAGTACATACATACACTTAGTAACATGCCTACAAGGAACTTGTTTGATGAAATACATGTACGTGGGGAATTTGACTGCCAGTCACAATACGTGAAAGCTGGTCGAAGAAAATCAAATGAAATGAACATATGTGATGCGATCAAGCTACATGAGCCGTTTGTCGACACTGGTCAAACATTTTTATATTACAGATTTGAAAAGAGCACAATCTCAGCGTTACTGCTGTGAAAACCGCATGCTGATACCATCTTTAGTTCAAAAATTATGGAAGTAGGAACACCTAGAGATATGACGAAGTGATGTGATGAAGTGGCCCTATTTTGGCCCGTATCTCCAAATAAGAATTCCCGACAAACGACTCATTTAGCTTGATCGCACCACATATGGACTCTGTATGCGAACAAGAGAGGGTGCTTTTTTAAGCACTTTTGAGAGCACCATGGACGGGACACACTGCTTGCATGTACTGGTTCCCACGCCGATAGCGTGAAGTATGCACCACTTATTTGACTCTGAATGTGCACAAAGCAATAGTGTCTTCGCGTGAGCATCATACGCTGTCGGCAGTGTTGAGTGGGTACTTGTGCACAGAGCCCATAGAGTATTCCTGGAAAATCTGACTGCCAGTGACAGAATGTTGAAGCTGATCAAAAGGAAATAAACTTAACATCCAGAGTATCTGTATATCCTTGTGTTGTTTTCCAACAGGTAACTATCCTCTTCGCTGACTTGCATGCCTATCTGGATAACATGAAGGCACCCTGGGAATTGCTGAGTCTTCGTACGCAGTATTATGAGCATATCATCAAGGCAATGCTTACATCCATTGGTGTACCACTGGAAAAGTTGAAATTTGTACGAGGGACAGACTACCAGCTAAGCAGGTTAGGAAACAGTCAAATAAACGTCATGGTTTGGGCTTGCATGTTTTTCATTTAGGCTTTTCTTGATACACTGGTTCATTGTCATGTCTATGTCTACGAGAGTTGTATAACTTGTGAATTGATGGATTGAATTCAAGTTGAAGAATTGAAGACTGATTAAGAATCCGATATCAATGTTCTGTGCTTGCGTTTTTCTCATTTGTAGGGAGTACACCCTGGATGTGTATAGGATGTCTTCAGTTGTTACACAGGTATGCTGAATATAGCTTTGTGTACTTGTTGATTTGTTTCAAATAAAATGCTTTATTTGAGTCAAACTGTCAAGCATTATTTGAAGTATGTACCAAAACAACTTTTATTTATATACTGTACATGTATTTGACATGTTAGCACGCTTTGCCAAATAATATTAAAAAAATTAACTGCTAACTGAACTTTCAAACGATGTGTCTTTACAATGTAGACGCATCGTTGGAAAGGCTTTCTTTGGTTGATTTCTCCAAAATGACAGCATGCCATAAAGAATAATTTCACAGGGAGTTTAGTTCCCTTACTATCTTTCAACCAAGTATGTTTTTCAACAATAATTATGTCAGTTTCTTTTTGGATAGCTGCAAATGATGGACTGTAGCCTAAAAAGTTGAGAACAACAGAAACTATACCACATATTCACTTACCAAATACTCAAAGGAGTGTTTCCCACTCAAGGAATAAAATGATGTAAATTGCTGTGCAAGAGAGTGAGACTACCCCGCCCCTCTCCCAAAAGTAACAGTAATAAACTTTAAAAAACTGGATTTTTTTATACTGAAGAGAATTTGCTTCGGGTAGTTTGTAAGAATTGTTGGCTCAGAATTCACAAAGTAAGTTTTGGGTAGTGGAAGCGCCAGACCATTTCAATCACTTCTGTGGGTTCCCAGGACAGTGTAAAGGCCTGGTATCATGATAATTCAGACATGCTCATGGTAAGATGTGAACCGTTTGATTTGCAGCACGATGTCAGGAAAGCAGGAGCAGAGGTTGTCAAGCAAGTTGAGCATCCGTTACTGAGTGGTCTCCTGTACCCAGGATTGCAAGCTCTAGATGAGGAATACCTGAAAGTAGACTGCCAGTTTGGAGGGGTAGACCAACGCAAGATCTTTACCTTCGCTGAGAAGGCTTTGCCAGCATTGGGATTTGCCAAGAGGATTCATTTAATGAACCCAATGGTCCCAGGTCTGACTGGCACTAAGATGAGCTCATCTGAAGAGGTCAGCAATGCTTATAGGAACTGTATTGTAAACTGAACAGAGAACTTTCAAATTCATTAATCGTTTTTTTGTTTTGGAATGTCTCTTTCTCTGAGAACTGTATCCATTCTAAGCACTGTCTATATCGATATTACTTGATTACTCGATATTATTTAGATATTGATGTCGCTGATAGCAATTTTTTTAATCACATCAAAATTAGCGAAATTTCCATTTCAGAAAATCACAGCAAAAGCAAATGTATATTCCCTTTAATTCATTCTGTAATGGACTCCATGCATGCAAAATAGATGGGGCTCTGTCACCACTTTTAAGAGTCCCATGCAGTGGGAGGCACAGATTGCTTGTGATTACTTATTCATATGCATGTGGCTGGAAGTAGTTATTTTGAGCGTGCACAAATCCATAGCTTCTTTGCGCGGCTGGCAGGCATCGTCAGCAATGCATTGGAATGTCTCCCAGTGGTCTCCCTCATCTCTCCCTTGGTAAACGTTGAGGGGGTACTTGTGCACGGAGCCATAGTCTTGTTTGATTGTGACACCACACTATCATGTTAACCGTGCTAAATACAGGCATGCAACTTTTCCTGGGATCCGCTGATTTCCTTGTTTTTTACTTCTCATGAATGACATTACAAATAGAAATATACTGTGAAAAGTCTTGTGTGGTTTGGAATTTCCTTGTTTTCTCAATTCTCAGTTGCATGCCTGTAAATAGGAGCAGTACACTAAATGATCATCTCAGTCAAGTTTGTCATGTCTCATAAACACACTGACTGTACTAGCTGCATGGGAGATGGAAAACCAGTCTTGTAGTTGAGTCTTTTTCTGAAATGGACTCTGAAATATGAAAAAGTACAGTAGGAATTAAAGTATGTAGATGTTATGTTGGTATTCCAAAAATTCCAAGAACTTGAAAAAGGAGTCTGATGGTCTCACATGTAGTATTAATTAGCTTCCATATTGTGAATAAATTTTCTTCTTTTTACAGGATTCAAAAATAGATTTGCTAGACTCGCCGGAGTCATTGAAGAAAAAGCTGAAGAAGGCATTCTGTGAACCAGGAAACATTGAATCCAATGGCGTATTGGCTTTTGTCAAGCACGTTCTTCTGCCATTGACAGACGGAGGTAGAAACTTGGGATTTAACCCTCAACTCCCCCCCCCCCCCCCCCCCCAAAGCTAATATAATAATTTATAGTTACAGTAAATTACTTGCCGCTATCCAAAAAGTTACTGACAAAATTATTGTTGAAAAGCTTAATACATGTACATTGGTAAAAGATAGTAACGGCACTAAACTCCCTGTGAAATTATTCTTTCTGGCGCATGCTATCATTGTGAAGAAAACAAAAAGGAATGTAATTTCCAAAGATGCACTATTTAGTGCCGCATTTTTGCAACTGTCCGTTATACGTTAGTAGGTGGTTGGTAATTTGGCGAATCCGTGAATGAGTGCTCGCAAGCATTGATACGACACACGCGCGTGCGCGGTTGCTATTATTCATCAGTTCATTGCGTGACATCGCAAAGCTGCAATTGCCTGAATGAGAATGTGTCCTGGATGCTGATTTCAGGTGCAATTCAAAATGACTTGGCTGGTTTTGAATTGAAACCGAGATCCTAAAATATTGTTTTCTCAGAATATACAGCATTCGATAAGCTAAAATTTCATTAGGTTAGTTGTTAAGCACCAGTATTTAGATTTTGAGCACTTTTCTTGCTTCAAATGAAAAATAGATACAGTAAGTATAATGGCAGAGATAAGTCTGGTCTTTGCCTTATTTCCCAATTGTTTTTTCTCCCTACCCTGATGAGGCTATTCATGCTTCATTTACTAGTGTACTTCAGTTGACAAAAAATGAAGAAATATTGATGTCTTTCTGTGTATTTTTGTCCCCAGAGTTCCTGATTGAGAGAGATGAGAAGTTTGGTGGCAGCGTGACCTACTCTGATTATGATTCACTGGAACAAGCATTCGCTAAACAGGTAGAGCACAGCTTGCATTAATAGTTGGACATACCAAACTGAAGTCAACCTACTAGCATTCGCTAAACAGGTAGAGCATGGCTTGCATTAATAGTTGGACGTACCAAACTGAAGTCAACCTACTAGCATTCGCTAAACAGGTAGAGCATGGCTTGCATTAATAGTTGGACGTACCAAACTGAAGTCAACCTACTAGCATTCGCTAAACAGGTAGAGCACGGCTTGCATTAATAGTTGGACGTACCAAACTGAAGTCAACCTACTGGTTATATTACAGTATGATTGTCCGAGCTTCTCTTCGATGAACTAGTCATTTTCAAATGTTTGTAACAGGAAGTTCACCCAGGTGATCTGAAAGCAGCAGTAGTGAGAGAATTGAACCGTTTGATGGAACCCATCAGAAAAGCCTTTGAATCCCCAGAACTGAAGAAACTCACTAGCAAAGCCTACCCGCCTCCCCCAAAGAAGAGTAAGTGTAGATTATATTCCATAATCATTGGTTGTCAGTGCAAGCACCTGAAGCAGTGGGACATGTAGAAGTAGGACTACCTTCATTTAAACACTAGAGTAGAGGTCTACAGCCAATTCCACAAAGCAATGTGTAACTTACACTAATACTATGCGTAGGATTTACGCAACAAATTTACAGTCAATTTCATGAAACTTGGCATTGCTGCACAACATTAAGAATAACTGAAACATTTTGGACGAGGATTATCACAGCTTTTACGACTGTTGTTTCTTTGTGATTCCAATTCAGTCACAAAGTAGTCGTTGAATCAACTCTCCCCACCATTTAAAAAAGAAAAAAATGGCAGACTTTCTCCAAAATAAGGGTAACTCTCAAAAAGTCTTTCCTGGGAAAGAGATCACATCATTTACTTCAAAAACAAAGTGGTTAACTTTTGGTACGAACCATGATACGTTGGGCAGTGACCGGTTACATGCCAATCATGATTAGTCAGTATACAAGTCCGTTTGATACATGTATGAAACGCCATAAATTAAGCCACCCAAAAAATGACTGGGCAAGATACATCATCATTAGTTAAGTATGTCATAGGTTTACACATTATAAATCTTTCCTGAAATGTGTCAAAGCTGGAATGTTGCACAACATGAAATATTGTGCAACTTACCCTGAAAAGTGTGGCCTAATTGGAGTTACAGAAAGTGCGTGAAGTTTTACAAAATCAGCTGCCGATGTTTGTAATTTGATTGGCCAGGCTCACAGGTAAGTTCATATATGCTTCATGCAGTGCAGTATGTGCATGTACTAGTGTAAATACTTACACAAATTTAACTCGGTATCAAAGTTGACCAAAGCTTTGTTAGTCCGTCTATTCCCAGTACCTTGAGATGGAGGCAGTGTTCAGACTATTTTAGGGGATATTGTCTGCATCTTATCCCTGTCATTTCAGAGCAACAAGGAGCGAAGCAAGCCCAAGGAGCTACCGCTAATGATGACATCATCCCATCCAGGCTTGATCTTAGAGTAGGCAAGGTCTTATCTGCTGAGATGGTAAGAATGACATTGGAAATCCAGTAGTCAGGATCTAAACTTGATCCTTAGTTTGTGATATTTTTATCCCTGCATATAAAACTTAAATATTGGTGATTTCAAACATGGACTTAAATAGCCCTGTTCAATGGTAACATTTAACAAATGTTGACTGCTGTGATATTGGACATGGTGTTTTCAACACCCGAGGGGCGCATATCACCCAAAGCAAAACCGAGTGTGCTATATGCACCAATAAGTAAAAAAGATAGAGGTTTCAAAATCCTTTTCAAGGAATAAATGGAATCACTGCAGTGTAACCTTTTGGTGAGCTTTCCTGCCAGACATGAGATTGAGAGGTTGCAGTTCTCTGTTGCAAGGCGCGTCGGCCCCACACAATGCACCCTTCATGCACACGCAATATAAGCAATGCGGTGTACAGGAGATCATTTTTATGCAACATGGTGTATAAACAGTCATTTTTTTATAGACAGGACATGTTGCCATTCTAGACCAATGAAATAACATGTACAGCATCCAAGACACTATAACAATTCACAATTGCATTCCCCATGCTATTTTTGAGTTTCATCCCCAAAATAGATTTGTTTAAGAGCACGAGAAACGCAACTTTAAGCTTAAACCATCTCACTTGATATCTCTTTTCAGCATCCAGACGCTGATACACTCTACTTGGAAGAGATTGATGTTGGTGAGGAGAAACCTCGCACAGTGATTAGTGGCTTAGCTGGTGTGGTTCCTCTAGAAGCCATGAGGGGCAGGATGGTAGTCATGCTGTGTAATCTCAAACCACAGAAGATGAGAGGCATTGAGTCTCACGCTATGGTCATGTGTGCATGCCGGTAAGTAGGTGGTCTATCCTTCACCTCGTTGACTCATCATGCCCTGTCGGTCACTCCTCCATAATGACACTTAGGGCCAATTTTATCTCTCTGAACATGGGCTATATGTAAAACCCTGCAGTCAATGTGAGTGAAACATTTTGAGGGTTCATGCATACATGTACGGCTCATGCATTTGTTTGTGAGAATGCATATTCCTAATATTAGGGCGAAGCGCACTGTATGTAGGTTCAAAAGGAGGAAAGGAATAGGGCTGTGCATTGGAACTGGGTGCCCGACTGGTATGTCAGGAACCGGTTCCAGAGTATGGGATCCGGTACCTGTAACCAACTTTACAATTACTTAGTCACTTCTCAGACGATGAAAAAGAAAGGTTTTGAAGTCGTTTGTGGGGAATTTTCAAAATGAAAACCAGGCCACATGGGAAAACAAAACATGTCACATTTATGACGCTCCCCAAAGCTGCAGTTTACACCGTAAAGCTATAAAGCTCACTGTACACACTTGTATCTTGCTGTATTGATGCGCTGATGCGGTAGTATTATCGTGCGGACCTTTGTAAACAATCTCAACAGCAACTTCCAAGATTTGAATTTGTGCATGTTTGGCGTTGGGTTTCTTTAATGGGTACCCATGTTTTTTCAGTTGGGTACCCGGTTCCTGTACTACCCGTCAATGCACCCCCCTAGGAAGGAACTAGTCTAGAAATGAAAGCATAACATTACTGCTTCACATGCAGGAGCTATTTCTTTTCACAGCCATAGTTATCATCACTCACTGATTATAAACTATAGGCGGCCATCATAAAACACAAGAACAATTCACTAGCACCCCTTGAACAAAGACATGGACAAAATGGGTAACCGCCAACATAGGGCTGGATAGCTCACTTGCTACAGCACCGGAACGGTTAGCCGGAGGTCGCAGATTCAGATCCCACGCCAGTCAATTTCCTTGTTCAACTTTAAAATTATTAGAAGTTTGTATAAAATACAATTGTTCCAGTGCAAACTGCCAACACTTTCCTTGAGTACCAAGGGCAAAAGAGGGCCATTGTTGGCAATAACAGGTTGAATCAACAGACTTTGAAAACAAAGATCTTATTTTATCCCATGTTAACAGGACAGTATTGACTTTTCTTTTGCAGTGAGGATCCCAAGCAAATTGAGCCTCTTTGCCCACCAGAGGGCAGTGTTGCAGGCCAGCGTGTATTCATTGAAGGTTATGAATCAGGCAAGCCAGACGAGGAGCTCAAACCTAAGAAGAAAATCTTTGAAAAAATACAGGTTAGTCCAACAGGCAGTAAAGTGAGGGTTTTTGTCTCATGATCAGAGGGTCAGGGGTTCAAATCCAGCTGCTGGCCATATGTTGCGGCCATATATAAATGCTGGCCTGATGGGCCACATTGGCCCTTAACAGACTCGACTTGACTGTTATACCAGCCAGATTAGCGGTGGTATCAGGGAAATTAGTGTTCAAAATTCTGGTTGGGCTAATGAAAATCATTATGAAGTAGGCCCTAGGTAGGATGTCGGGGCAATTCCATGCAAAAGTGGACATGGCTGAAATTTATATGATCTTCAGAACTACAAGCATCACAGCCTCAAATGTGGTATCAAATAAAAGGGGACAACATACAAGACCTTTTAGTTTATCTTTTTCCCCATATTTGTTCAGTATACAAATATTGATTGCTTTATCTCGTGGTGTAGTAAAACTAGCCTCCCAAGGTGATCCATGAAGCATTCTAGTCGCGGGAAAAATATAATGCTCCATGGATCACCGATGGAGGCAACTTTTACTTCACGAGGAGATAAAGCAGTCAGTATTTGCTTTATAACACCTCTCCCACAGATTCTGTTTGATTTTAAGTTACAAATGAACAATTTAATCTGAATGCAATTAGAATTTACTTCTTTTTGAATACGAAATTAGTTGAAAATTAACTTGCACTTTTCCAAACTTCCCCCTCACGAAATGTTTGAATCCAGCTCTGTAGCGGTAGTGCTTGGGAACAATACGTGCAACACACACACCCGTATGCATTTGCACAATAGTACTTTGGTTGCTACGGATATAGACAAATCTGGTGGCAGCCATGTTCTGCTCAGGTAGTACGCACGCACACCAGGCTCCTTCAACTAATAGGAATACCAAAATGCGTGTGCACCTCGTCTTTAAGAACGCGTGCAGCTTGCGGGTGAGCATGACACCACCGCAGCAAAAGCTTCTAAGTCTGGTCAACGGATTCCAGTATACTACTTTTGGCTATGCACAGCAAGATAGCAAAAATAGTGAATGCCATGTGACTTGCTCTCAGCCAATCAAGATACAGAATATCTGGATGAGGTATGTGACGTCCATATCGATGCAATAGCCTGTAGGTATTTCCGGGGTTACTAGTACAAAATAACCAAAAAAAACAAATTGTATGAGGAGTTCAATGTTAAAATCAAGTCAATCTCATGTCCATCTCAAGTCCGCTCCCAAGAAAATAACAAGTCCTTCCAAAGGCCAGTCAAATGAACAGTGGATGGCCAATAACAAAGGAATGCTTTTGTCATAGTTCACGGTAATAGCTTGTGACTTGACTTGAGACTTGTGAGGACTTGTGATGGATGCCACTACAGCACTGGTTGAGTGTAATGAATCACGTTTTCTCCCCTGATATTATAGGTTGATCTCAAGACCTCTTCTGACAATGTGGCTCAGTGGAAGGACTGTGCATTCATGACGGAGCTGGGAAAAGTCACATGTACACTGCAAGATGCTACTATACGCTAGAATAACCTTATGACTTGTCAAATAAATATATTTTAAGTGATAAAAACATTGTAATTTAATTATGGCTGTCAAACGGTTAAATATGTCCACTTAACATGAAAGTGGGTTCTACTTACAAAAAAAAAGAGTTGTTAAAACTATGAATTTAGTTCAGAAGAAATAGTAATGCTGTCCTGTTCTTTGGATGAAAAGTTAAAGACCATTCTTGGGAATTTTATTCCGTTAGCAAACAAGTACATGGTAACAGGGAAATTGTACTATTTTAGAATATAAGAGAATATTATGCCCATATGGACTGGCATTATTCCGTCACTAATGCACAACTATTCACTCCGTAGGACTGTGAGTGACCACCAGAGGGTCTTATTTCCCATGGTTTGCAGAAGGTTGAGAGAAAACAAAACCCTGTCATGGTCACTAATAGGCCCATGGGGTCATGGACATGCTGTAGTGACCCAATAATACCAGTCAATATTTTCCATAGCTCGTCACAATCCATCACAGTCATGTTAGTCTGTGTGATGATCAGCTTTGATAGCCTCCACAGGGTGTTGAAATGGGTCACACATCTGAGAGAATATAGTGCACTAGCTGACCAGCACTATAATAGAGAACCTGTATGCATGCCATACTTGATGTAACATTTGTTATAGTCACATATTGAGATCAGTGCCTGATATGACAGGTCACTATAATAGAGAACTGTATGCGTGCCATACTTGCTGTGAATCCAGTGCATGCTCTACTTAAATACCATGCAGTAACTTATTACTGAACCCCCATGACCATGTTCTACTTAACTGGGATAAAAAAGAAAATCGGCAAGGTGTATCAAAATTTTCAGTATATTAAGCAGCACTGTCAGCTTCAGCCATGATCCAGCAATGAGGAGCACGCAGGTGGGTAGCATGCGTCTGGAAGATGCTGGCCCAACGCTGTGTTATTATAAATCACACATGATGGGTGTACATGGACACTGACAGGACAAACTAAATTGTGGTCGGACCTTATTAGGTATTTACCCGTGCATAGCCACTGTAGCAAGCATTCCTAAAAATGCTTGTGCCAGGAGGGACATGAGGGATGCTCCAATAGTCTAAAGGATTAGAAGATCAAGTGGATTTGTAACAATACACACTTGTTCGTACGTTTTCAATGTGGCAATAAAGTTAAGAGAAACTTGGGCCAAGCCTTTTTTGAGATATTGCCTTGATAGTAGCTGCCATTTTCTTAGGGTGAATACAGAGGTGTCAAACAGAAAAAGAAGGCAATTAACCATACAAAAAATTGGATTGTTTGCTAGTTCTGAAGCTTGAAAGTGAGGGGCAAAATTTAAGGTTTTCATAATGAAGAAATAAATGTCTACTTTCTTGGTGATTGACATTTTCACTAAAATTTTGGAAAACACATTATATTAACACTTCCAAAGGTCATCAAAATGTCCCGCTTCAAAACTGGTAAATGATATGTTAGTGCAATCCTTATAAACATTTAGCTCTTTCTCTGTCACAATTTACAGTCACTAAAAAGCAGTCTTCTTGTGAGAGGGGTACTTTACTCACATAAAATATTATATATAGTGGTACACGGAATAATGTAGTACGTCGCCGAGTGGTATGTGGGACACGGATGCGCTACATTGTCCGTGTTCCACAAGTGGGAGCGTGATAATGAATTTATCTTCAAGCAAATTTGACGCTCAGTAAAAATGGAACACGCAAGCTGTACATGAACTTACATGTGCACGTTGTACGGAATGGCGCACGCATATAACAAAAGCACAATATGTGGAGTGCGGTATGGACCAAGGCCGTGCTTTGTTAGCACAGCTTGTTGCCATGGATCGACCAATCAGGATCTAGGATTCAAGTTTACTTGAAGATAATTACCAATATCTAAACGAATGAAAGCATCTTATAAGGAAATTGTGAAAGGCAAGCAGAAATATTCACTTCTGCAAAAAGAGTAATACTACAAGAAATATCAGAACATTTTATTTTTGTTCGGCTTCTGACTTGACAAATCGTGTTTAAGGGAAAACAGATACATGTACAGACGTGTAATCGGGGTTATAACAGACATTGTGGCGGTGCACTGTAAAACTCATAAAATATTACACGAGACATATCTATGTCGTCATTTTATTCAATGGGATAATGCCATTTATTTGAAATGTGTTGTATCACATATATTTGTCTTTTATGAATAAAACTTTAAATAACTTGAGCAAAGACATCTTGCTTTGAATGTACATGTATCTTAAACTGGATTCACTACAAATTTTTGCAGAAACAGTATGTTGGGATGAGAACCGCTCTTTGGAGGTCATGGTGCATACACGATTGCGCATACTGGTTAATGTGTACAACAATATGTAAGACCACCAACATACATGTGAATGCACAAATCCATAGTGAAGTTGCAATTGGAGCCTTGCACAGGAATAGTGCAGTTGTGGCAACCCAAGTGTTCTAGATCTTTGGTCTTAATGCTTAGGGGGTACTTATACACTGGCCACAGATTGTTCTTGTCCCCATCGGTTGATGACAGGCAGAACAGTCGCTTACATCTCTCTAATTTTGTTAAGTGTAAATTAGTTTTAAACCAATCTGCATTAAAGCTATAGTCCATCATTTGTAGCCATCCGAAAAGTAACTGGCGTAATTATTGTTGAAAAACATACTTGGTTGAAAGATAGTAAGGGGACTAAACTCCCTGTGAAATTATTCTTTCTGGCAAGCTGTCATTTCGAAGTAATCAACAAAAGGAGGCCTTTCCAACGGTGCGTCTTAAAATTTAAATTGGTAGTTCGTTTTGTTATTCGGCTAAGCGTGTGCAAGCATTGGCACGACGCACTCGCACCCTCGGTTGCTATAATTCGTCGGATCAGTGCGCGACATCGCGTATAGCTGCAATCGGCTCAGTGAGAACGCGTCTCGGACGCTGAATTCAAAACACTGAGGATTCAGCAACTTTTGATTTGAAATTGAGAACCTAGAATGCTGTTTTTCTCAGAATATACAGCTGAAGCTGAGCTGAAACTTCATCAGGTTAGTTGTTCAGTATCCTTCATTAGATTTTGAACACTTTTGTTGCTTCAAACAAACAAAATGCACACATTTCAAATGATGGACTATATCTTTAAAACTGACATAATTGAGCCGTTTGCTGTGGGTTTCAAATCTTAGAGCAGTTGGTGTGATAGACCACGGAATGTAGTGTACACAAGGTACCATAGGGCCCTGTCACACTTCTGTGTATCTTAATTCCTTGTGAGTTGCGCATTGCATTTTTTTCATATGCAGTCGTACGCACAATACGCACCTCATATGCATCTCTATCGTTTTGTGTAAGTTTTATGTACGCAGGCATATGCATGGTACGGCCCAGTATGCCGGATAGTTTTGGGCATGCACAAAACTACGCTGCGTATGCTGTTACGCAGGTCATAAGTTATAAATACGCAGCGCATCGGTCCCGCATCGGTCGAGCACGGTACGAGTACGCTATGCGTTCGTGGGGGATAAGCGGTTCATACGCAGTAATACGCTGACCTCCCGGCACGCACCCCGTCAGCATATGAGCCGCCTATATTGGACGTATACATAGCGTACCTGTAGCGCAGATACAACCTACGCTGAACGAACTCATAGCGAATGCCGACGTATTGCGTCGGCATGCAGTCGGCATAAGTCGGGTGCGTCCGGAATACGCTCAGCATGCGCACTGCATACTGACCTATTCGCAGCCCGAAAAATAATGTGCACTGCATACGCAACTCATACGCATCTCATACATAATGGATGCGCTAAATTCGTTACTTGTACGCTAGATGTGCGTCGCACAGAAGTCAAAGTTATCAACAAATTTTGACGTTTTGAGCGTACGTCTGCGTATTGAAAATTTTTCCACAAGGCCTATATGTATCATTTCCTGAGAACTAGAAGCAGAATACATGTACCAGTCTGATGCACTAGATCTCTCTCACACGACGCCAGCTTTGTAGGAAAATTACAACTGCGTATTCAATGCCATCAGGTATGTGTTTGCGCAGTGTGCAAAACTATCCCGACATGTGCGCGCTTGTTGTTAGAAATTTCTTCGAAATAGGGCACAGCTGATGCACGTCACGAAAATTGGACGCCCGAAATGCCGATGCACATGGATATTTGTAGGAAGTGCCATCATTTGAGAGAGACCTATAGGAGCCCATTTAAGTAAAAACTAAAATATATACCACCACATTTGGTACCTGTTGTTGAGGCAGTTGAGTATCTGCCGATTCTTTCAGACGACACAGGAAAGGTTCTTTCCTCTGTCATGTCTGTGCACAACCTCACCGCAATGTTTTACTAACCCCTATTCCCCTAAGACAGCTGTTTTAAGATGTCAAACCCCAAGTTCTCTATCAGAAGTTGTCGTCAAACAGCAAACGTTCAGAAAGTTTTGAGACTGATACAATGTGAAGTCCATGATGGAAATTGTTGATCAATGGATGAGTGTTATTTCGTCTCAAAAAAAGTCATAAAAAGGAAACGCACAATCGCATTGAGAGTTCACACACAATCCCAATGTGTTATAATAATAAGTACAGTCTCTGTCAAACAGACAAAGGCTGTGTTAGCCACGAAATGGAGTCCTGGTCTAGGCTTTGTGCAGAGATACTACTGAGAATTTCTACTAAATTTGCATAGAGAAATCTAGTTAAAATTCAGTTTCATATACACCAAGGCATAAAGAGGGGGCATTCTAATTTTTTTCCAGGGGAACAACTGGTGAGTATACAAATATTGAGTGGCTCAGAGTTTCACAATTTCAAGCCACTCAATATTTGTTTTATATAACTGACATATAGATCCTTGCCATTTGATTTACAGTTAAAATGATTTTCTACATGTATTTCAATACAGACTGCCGTCTTGCCTTTCCATGTTTGATTGGACCCAGTTCCACTTACGGTGGACCCATGTTGCAACATGAAAATGACCACAGTGTGAAATGGCCTCAACAGTTAGTGAGACTTGGATTGTACACCACACTACGCGTGTCTTGGGACCATGACTAACATACACCAAGGAGACACGTCTGTTATACACAAAAAACCATTGTGCCAGCAATTGTACAAAACAACTGGTTTATTAATACAGTATAAAACAATGACCCTGGGTTCATCCAATCATTTCTGCAGATTCATCTGTAACTTTTTACTTTTTGTATTTTTGAAGTAGGACACTTTCTTTGGATCGGATGTTAGAGAAATATTGTGAGTGGCTAAGAATGGTACTATTCAGTCCAAATGATTAATTCTACCTTACATTCAAAGTAAATAAATGTATTAAAACATTTCTTAAGTTTTACTTTTAGTTTATCTTTGTCCAAACCTTCATTTAAAGGGTTAAATATAATGTTAAATGAACATGATTTAAAAAAGAAAAAAAAATGTGGTGGTCAAATGACTTGGCTACATCTGGCAGAGAGACGTGTCTATTGGAAGTGCATTCCGCTACTTCCATAGGCGCAAACAAAGGTTGCTGGCCGTAGCTAGGCAATCTGCCCGTAGCTAGGCAATCTGCCCGTAGCCATGTCTCAAACATGTATCTCCCTGTATCTCTGTCTTCACTCTGCATACTGGAGACTTGACAGAAACTTGTCCACATCAAGATTGGATGGAAAGCCTTTGGATTTCTTAGTCTTCTTTGACTGTAGACAAAAGCAAAAAGAACAACTAGGATATTAATAAACTATATGTGTTGAGCTTCTGCAAACCAAATGCAGTGTGCTTCAACTTAAACATGTTGAAGTATGATATTATTGATACAAATAGTGCACTACACACGATTGTCTTGATGAATGGCCATCTGAAGTCCTGATTTAGTTTTGTTTAAGTATTTTCAAATGCCTTAACTCTACGTTTCCATCTAATTTTGCTATTGGAGCTGTATACAATGTACTTACGTTTTTGGCAGTTTTTGGTTTCTTCATACTCTATTAAAAGAAAAACACCACATTCACAATTACTAGCAACTATTAAATAAGAGATAAATATTTTGGAAGATGTCCCAATTTCTCAGTTTCTGACGAAACAGCTCAACTATTGGTTAACAAGTGCGATAGAATTTCAGAGGGATTTGGTTGGTTAGTTCTGGGTGTGTTCTGTTTATATGCAAATAACGCAAATGTTGCCAACAAGTTCCCAATGGCTATGCACAAACAGATTACGAAAGTAGGCAATGTTTGAATGGGACGCTCTAATTTACACTGTTTAATATCAACATACCTGTTCTTTGGTGTTTTCCTCTCTGCTTCTTTTTTGTCCTCTGCTTTCTGTTTTCTCAGAATCCTGTTCTGAATGTTCACATACAGCTTTTCCCGAGTCACCTTTTCCTGGGCCATTCACACCGCCAGTTGGCCTCCCAGGACTCTTGCTGTTCCGCGATGACTTCCGTGTGGGAATGGCATCATTAGTGAGTTTTCCAGGACTTTTGGATTTGAGTGTTGCAGCTCTGGTTTGGATGGTTGATGGAGCAGAGGTGTGGTCAGATGCTGCTGCAGAGGTCTTTGATTTCTGGCTGGGTCCTGATGGCACGGTAAGAACCACAGTCTCCGTCACTATGTGCGTCTGTTTGCGAGGAGTCCTTGATTTGCGCTTGCTGTTATTTGCATCCTTCTTTTGTGTTTGTTCATTTGATAATCTATCCTGGGATTTGCCGCCACTCCCATTCACCTCATTAATGCCTGTGGAACATTCCTTAGGATGAGGCTGTTCCAGGCTAGTTTTGGTGGATGCTGAGAGTGTGTCAGTCAGGTTGTTCTGCTGAAGACGATGGTGTTTTGGAGTCAATCCAATTTCTTTTCGCAGCTCTACAATGTGATCCCGTGTTGGGCTTCTAGCTGGGGAGCAGCCAGAGTTGCGTCGTAGTCTCTGCAAGCGGTTTGGAGACTGTCGCAATGAGGGGGGACTGTTTGACAGGCAGACTAGCATTTGCGCTGCAATGTTGACCTCTGGGGACATGTCACTGGGCATGTGAAGGACCCTCTCTGGTGTTGACTTGGTAAGCTGGGCTTGGAGATTGGCTGGTTTGGATGCTGGAACCATTTCATACTGATTGGCTGATGTGGCAACAGTTTTTTGAATAGTTGGATCAGAAGGTCTGCTCTGATCCATCATTTGTGCATTGCTACCCTGTCTTTTTGCTCTTGTGGCTCTAGGACGTTTGGTGGTACTGGCAGGGGATTGTCGTGTCTGTTTGGATGGCAATTCAAGAGAACCCCCAACATCAAGTGCTCGAGGCAGGACAACTTGCTTGAATTGAATGTGTTTTCTCTGTTTTCCAGTATTCACTGGAGGCGATATTGGGGAAGTTGTGGAAACTTGTGGAGCATGTCTACCAGACACCAATCCAGGGTTCGAAACCTGTCTCTCTGTAGTTATAGCAGAGAAGATATTTTGAGTCTCACTGATGGCTTGATTTGAGTGCAACCTGACTACACTCTCAGTGGAACAAGTGCTTTGGTTCAGTCCAGGACTCCCAATTGTTTCATTGTTGTTCTGGTTATTTCTGTTCAATGTTTGGCTGCCAGGGCGACCTTTGATGCTAGGTGTTTTAGGAGATCTTGCTCCCCTCTTCCTTGACCTGGCCTTTTGGGGAGTTCGTTTCGAAGAAGTTGGCGTTCTAGCATTGGATTTTTCTGGCGAGCCACTAAACAAGGACCCAACATCTGATTGGACCATGCTACCAAGTAACTGCAAAACCTCACTCTGACCTCCGCCACTGGAAACAGTGTTTGTTTGGTTGACTGTTGATGGTGTGACAGCTGATCGTGTTGATGGGCCAGTTGATTGTTTTGCACCACCAGTACTCTCCCCAGCGTAGCCTGATTGTGTTTCATGAATCGGGCAGGGGCGAGGATTATTCGGTGAAGCATTGTGTACCACTCCTCCACTTGAAACGACACCTTGCATGCCAGACTGTCTGATATCGACACTCTGCACGACACCACTTGCCTGCAATGGCTGGCCACTCTGTAAGACTACACCTGAAGTGCCAAGAATCCTGCCGTCTGGAGACACGAAGATAGTTCCACCTGGCAAACTGGCTGGACTGTTCAAAATAATCCCCTGAGAATTGCCAGTATTAGGCTGCTGTACCACTTGATAGGGTCCTGACTGATTGAGTATGACTGGTAGTGTAACTACTTGGTCTGTGGATGGGTTTGGTATCTGCGTTGTTGATGAGGTAGTCAACTGGTTTCCAGCATCTTGTTGAGCAACTGCCATAAAGGAACTGGTGGCAGCAGGTGGAACACTTGTGCTATTCAGCTGACCTATTGACAGATACAATACAATAAACTTAGAATTGACATATCGCGTGAACGCAGCTTCTAAAATGTTGTCCCATTACATGATATACAAATGGACGCGGAGCGCGCAAAATCTGAGACAAACAAAACTTAGTGTACAAAAACTCCATAGGGATGTCTAAGGGGCTTGGTTAATTCGCAAACGGCGATAGGTCAATTGACAACTGGGTTTGACTAGGAACTTTCACAGTAGTGCATAGGAGTAGGTAACATCACAGATCAACAACTAGTCTACTAAGGGTCCTCGCCAGAACTTGCTTCATTAGGCAGATATGATTTATGCATTGGGGACATTTGATTTACGCAGTAGATGTTGCAACATGTTGTTTTATCTTTGGCACCATACCTGTATATCTGCTTTCATTTACATTTACAGAACTTGAAGAGGTAGAGCTTGAAGTTGCTGCAGGTCCACAAACAGGGACTACCTCTCCAGAACTCTGATTGGCTGCTTGTGGGACCACCCCATTATCAGTCATGCTGTGTGATTGGTTGGACTGGAGTGTGGCAGGCACTTCTGATTGGCCCGTCATGATGTCACTGTTAGCTGCAGGGGCTTCATTGCTGAGGTTCTCAAGTTGCTGACTGGAACCGTCTTGAGAATTCTATTTTGAATACAATTGAAATATTTAAGCACTAACAAACGGTGCTGCCCGTCAATACCAAATACATTCTATACAAAAACCTTTTCAACACCAGTTATAATTCTGAATTTCCCTGGGCATAAACTATGCAAAAAATACAACACAAGCCATGATTTATTACAACACTCTGGCTAAGTCGACACTCTTGGGACCCGAGAATTTGTGACAACTTACGTGAATGCCGACATCTGCTGTAAGTCGTCATTTTGCCGACTTACATGAATGGTCTTTTGCACACATGATTCATTGCACTAATTAGCTTTAATTTACCCTGGTTTATCTCCTTAATGCTTGAGTTGAATCCAGCAAATTAATCCTCGAATTTTATCATCACGTTTGGGGTATTGATAGTGGAGACCACGTGTACAAAACAGTAATACATGTATGTGCACAGTTATTTGACGGCAGCACTGATATTAACTGGTATGGACAGAGCGCATGCGTACAGACTAGAGGGGGTACTGGTATTGATATGCTCACGATGCATATGCGATGTATGCGGTAGGAAACCCTTTTGCGACACCGATGCATGCAGCTAGCGATCACGGGCCGTGCCAAAACACTTTTCACTCGACACTTCTTGCCGACCGCAGTAGGAAGTCGATGCCAATGCATGATTTTTTGAATGCCGACTTACACAAAGGAATTTGTTAGGCTTTTTATGGAAAGGGGACCGAGAGTAACACGACTTGAGCGAAATGGTGACTTATAAAAGCCGACTTAGAAATAAAAAATTCAATGGAAATGCATTACGGACAATCGGGACTTTAGTCAGACGGCTGACGTGAGCGATTTGACGAGTTGTACGATGTCGGCTTGGCCAGAGTTTACTGCATTGTAATGTAAGTGTAGCTGTAATTAAATTTGATTTAAATACAATACCTTAAATTCCACTTCAAATTGGTTCAGTGCCTTACAGTATACAAACAATGACTGCTTATGAGTGCAATGGAAAGAATAATTACATGAGGTGACACAAGGAATGCTCCATTTAACGAGGCAAAGCCTGCTGGTATGGAACATTCCATCTGTTACAACCCCTGAGTAAATCCTCATCATATGATTGGTAACATGTAAACTGGAACTATGAATGTACAGCATCAGAGCCATCAGAGCGCAAACAATAGTGTGACAGTGAAATGGAAGTTCTATTAAATGTGGAATGGAACTATATTGTTTTGCGGTGGGGCACCGTGCGTTGGGACGAATACTTCAGTGACAGCAATCATGTTTGACTTGATTAGTGCATTCTGAAATTTAATATTTGAATATTCGATCAAGTCAAAGTTGGAATAATCAGATACAAATTATTCAAAAATGTACAGCCTTAGAATGAGATCTCAGAAATTAATGAATTCATTGTGACTGGAGTGAAAATCTACTTATACTCTGTCCTACCTGATTGAACAATGAAAACAAGGATTCAAACGCAGGATCTGAGCTGGTCTTCTGCACGATGTCATGAATAGTGTCATCACTCATTTGAAGATTAAGAAGTTCTTCTATGGATGTTGATGATTGGCCATCTAGGTTGTTGCTTGTGTCGGCTGATTTGAGTGGCTCTGCCTGTTTGTCCATATTCTCACTGTTGGCCAAAAACATGTTTGACACAAACATATTGAATACATGTTGATCAATCCAAGAGTGTGTACAACTGTACATCACAAAGAGTAGTACAGAACACAAAGAACAATGTTTTTTTTCTTCTACAAACAGTGGGTTAGCTATGATGACTCTCCATGAATTTTAATTCCATGTTGAGTGTTTCTCAGCCTAATACTTAAATATACAAGATCCTCTTTACAAAAGTTAATCAAGCCATCCATCATGTACTGCCTGACCTTAGTTGATATTCCTAGTCAGATTTCTCTGTAAACTCACTGGATTCATGAGTGCATGAGTGAACCTACAGACGTACCTAAGCCTCACTTACGTGCATTATAATCAATGAGTAAATGGAGCATATACTCACAGTGGAATAGCCTTGTTGATGTTCTGCGCCAATTTTTCTTGGAATTCAATATTTTTGATGAGTGACTCCAGAACCTCCGGTAAGTCCCGCCCATCTTCATGATCCTCCCACTGATTGGCTGACAAGGTGGTGTCAGAACGAGGTGATATTGTGGTTGCCATGGTACCCTGTAGGCGTCTGGGTGTAGCACTTGAAAGTCAAAGAAGACATATTGATAAATATATAGGATTCAGAGAATTCAAGTAAAACTTCATGAAGGGGTGGCGGGGGGGGGGGGGGGGCCAAATATTGCATGAAATGAACGGAAGCTGTTCCTATCACAATTTTTCAGCTCTGGCAGGAGCTTCTACATGTCCCTTGGTAGTCTGTCTGTCCCTTGGTGGTCTGTCTGTCCCTTGGTAGTCTGTCTGTCCCTTGGTGGTCTGTCTGTCGCTTGGTGGTCTGTCTGTCCCTTGGTGGTCTGTCTGTCGCTTGGTGGTCTGTCTGTCGCTTGGTGGTCTGTCTGTCGCTTGGTGGTCTGTCTGTTGCTTGGTGGTCTGTCTGTCGCTTGGTGGTCTGTCTGTCGCTTGGTGGTCTGTCTGTCGCTTGGTGGTCTGTCTGTCGCTTGGTGGTCTGTCTGTCGCTTGGTGGTCTGTCTGTCTGTCCCAAAAACTGACCAAAGGTATAATGTTCTATATGTACCATTGGCGTCACATTTTTGGCGTCGCATTCTAAAAGCTCCGGCAGGGATCATTTTGATCCATTTCATACATGTCTTAAATGCAAACCTTCTTGCAACATGGCCAGAGCTTATTGTACACTCCACTTTTTTACACATTTTTTTTTTTGGGGGGGGATGCTACTGGTCAGAATTCTCAAAATCAATTCGAAATCCCTTAAAACATACCCTTCCATACAATTCTGGATATTTTACATAATAATGTGTACCTCTTTCTTTTGGGGGATTTGCCGATGGGAGTATCTTGTAGCGTTCCTGCATGGTGAAAGGATTTGGCTGGCGTTCTCTGTTCTGGTATAACCACTGTGGCAAAGAAATAGAAAAGACTTTCAATTGTTGATCTGTGATTACATTCTATACTGCATTGTCACAATGATGAAACCACTGATGTAAGTCAATCCTGAAGTCCAGGTTTGGGTTTGGTTCAGCAACGGTTTGGAAAGTTTGTTTTAACAATGGCTACGTTTGGGCCCACAGAGCTATATTAATGCTAACTCATTCTTACGCACAGAGATACTTTGAAGCTGGCCTGCTCGCAGACATTTTGAATTCACGTGTGTGTTTGTAGAACACAATGAAATAAGATGGAGTTAAATTTGAAAGTGTACTCTAAATGCAACATGCAAGAACAACATAAGCAAACAACTTAAGCGCGTACTGGCTGTTAAAAAAATGTCACAGCAAAAATCATCTGTAGTGGATACACGGACGCGTTTGCGATACATTTGATCTTCAAGCAAACTTGACTTCAAGCAAACTTCAAGCAAACTTGACGTACTGTAAAGATGAAACATGAATGATGTACGCAAACTTTTTCAGCAGTTAACCTGTTACATATGCGTGCTGCAGTGGGAATGGCGTGCGCATCTTGGAATAGCATGATATGCGGAGTGCGGTATGGTCCACGGTATACGCGATAATGTAGCATGGTTTGTTGCCATGGATTGACCAATCAGGATGTAAGTTTGCTTGAAGATAAAAACAATTTCATGTATTCTATGGGAGGGATTTCCTACAGCATTTTTTCAACTTTTAATATTGAAACTAAACTGTATGAAGAGTAATGAAACAAATACAGCATGGTTCATTTCATGGAAGCAGTGTCTTATTACTAGTCTCTCAGTGTTGGCTGATCTTGACTACCTCCCTCCGCCTCCCGTCCAGTGATTTCACACTCCTTGCCATCACACCATATTGAGTTTGCACTAACTAACCTTGGCCACGTTGAAGGTCAAGTAGGTTTGATGATTGTTGTTGTCTGCTGGTGTCACCCTCCTGCATCTCAAACTCCATCTCAGGAGACAATAATCTTGTTCCTTCCCTCTGCATCATGTCACTGCTGTGTGCTGCAGGAGTACTCCCATTTGCAATATCAATGGGGCTGGTAGCAACACAGACTCTGCTACTAGTCACTGGTCCTGAATTGACCACAAAGTGACTGGGGTTTGGAACTGAATGGGAGGAGTTCATCACTGAGTAGGAGGAGTTTAATGCTGAGTAGGAGGAGTCTATCGCTGAGTAGGAGGAGCTTAATGCAGAGCTTATCTCAGGTTGGCTAGTGCTTGCTACAGAGTTAGGACTGCTTGTAGGCATAGTCACTATGGGTTGGGAGGCGACCATTTTACGTTGTAACTCTTGCTGCTTGCGTAAGCTTATCAATCTATTCCTGGAAAGAGCTGAGTATTAACAAAAAAGAAGAAGAATTGTTTCATGAAATTCATGCGTGTTTTTGTAGACAGCAAGTTGGCATGAAAAAGGAAGGAGAATTGAAGCACTATTAATTAACATTAAAATGGAAGGGGAACATAGCAAAATTCCTCACTGACTGGGATAATTGAAAGATAGAATAAAGGGAAAACGTGGTGAAATGAACCTACCCCGTTTGCGAGTTAGTCACGACCTTAGTCAACCCTATGGAATCATGTGCGTTAAGTTTTGTCTCAGATTGTGCACGTTCCACGTCCATTTGTATACCACGTAATTGGTGAACATTTCACAAGCTGTGTTGAAACAATTCTACCACGATAGGTTAATATGGAGAGTTGGAAAAAATGGGAAAATAGGGACAAGCAACAGTTCATCAATGAATAGACCATCATCATGTTGCAGCCAATTAATTTTTCCCATTCAAATCAATATAACCAAAACGACGCTGGAAGGGAAAGTAGTCTGGTTCCTTTTTGCACAAAAAAAAATTCATATAGTACTGTTATTGGATACAGGAACATGACTGAAATGGTGGCAGCTTGATAAAGGTCTATTGCAAAGGTTTGTGACCTGAACAAATGTTTGCACAAGCATCTCCGTTCTCACCTCGTTGGTTAATGCTTGTCTTTTCCTGTGTCTGTAGTAATCCAGCATTGCCAGTATACTGAAACCTGAAATATAAGGCAGGAATATAAACTAAGTCTGGAATTTGAACGCAATTCCCTCTTGAATATACCAGGCATGTTGCTGAATCCTATCAATCTCCAATAGTTACATGTAAAACAAAAGGCCTGTCGTAACTGCTTGTCAATGAGATTAATCTAATACTGCCTACTTGAAAATGGCTGGATAAGCAAGATTTGAACATCCAAATTGGGACTTACTTTAACTGACTGATGACCTCAGTGTGCATCTTCCACAGTGAATTAACCACCTGGTTGCAGCTCAATCTATCCTTGACTGTACACAACAACAAATAAATGACAGACATTAGACATTTAACAATTGTTGACTGCTGTGATGTGGGATATGCCCTGCTTAACACGCGAGGGCCGCATATCACCCGAGGTGAAGCCGAGGGTGATATGCGCCCCGAGGGGATTAAAAACAGCTTAATTCACATTAGGACTAATTCACATCACTGCAGTAAATAATTGTTTTGTGTGTGCGATGTGTGTGTGATCTGCTCAACATCATTCCTAATATGGAGATCACATCAGTGCTTCTCTTGCAGCTAGTGGTAGCTAGCGCAAAGCGCGCACCGCGAGCGTGTGGCACGGACCACAGTTTCAAACACCGGTCTTAAACATCGCTGACCAGTGTTTAAATATGTGTGCTTGGAAGGTGTTAAACACTATGTTTAAGACTGGTTGGAGTCTGGAATGCTAATAATTACCAAAGGGGAACCCATTGATAAATACCTTTTCGGTCAAAAATCGAAACCTTTTGGTCCAAAAGTCAAAACAAGTCAAAAATAAAAAAATTCTAACATTTTTTTCAACAAGTTTACTTTCTAAGATGGAATTTTTTTTTTTTTTTAAGATAGAAAGTTTACTTTCTGTTTTTCGAAACACCCCTCTAGCTATATAATGGAGTGTCCAGCACGCGAGTAAGATGTAAACAACTCCTTATTCAGAGATTGGCACGTACTGCGCGATGACGCGCAGATGCAGCTGTGGTGAGTGCGTTGTGAATTTAGGACTATGAAATACCGACTCACTGGTAGTATTGCACATGCCTACATGAGGATTGTGAACGTTCAACCAATAAAACGGTAAAATTAAAGGCACTGGATTTTGTAGGAGTCCAAATTTCATGTGACACTAGTAAAGTGTTTAAGACCAGCCAGCCATGTCTTTATCATCCGTTTAAGACCAGCCACATGACAGGCTCTCAACAATTGGGAACAGACTAACAGTCTTAGGTATTTATCAATGGCAGTTTAAGACCACACGTGACAGAGTCTTGACCAATAGGAATGGGCAAACTGTCTTATGTATTTATGAATCTCATCTTGTAAACCACTCACTTGCATTGATGAGTTTTGCATACTCGTTCAGAATCTCTGGTAAACCCTTTTCGTACGGGACCTGTGATGACAAAAGAAAATTATTTGGACTCATTTTAATATTCCTTTGTCAGTCAGAGCATAATTGCAGTTCAATATTTAGCCTTAGTCAAGGCGCTAGTTGTTATTCATCATGCATCCCGGCCATAGCGCGGTAACGATATCCTCGCTAGCGCTATGCATGCAGTGTATTATAAATACAGCGCGAACAGCGACCTCACGCGGCCACCATTTTTATGCAAATCAGTTGGACCCAATTTATTGGGTCCAACTGATTTGGGTCTATTGGGTCCAACTAGCGCCTTGACCAAGGCTATTCAATATTATGTGCTTTGCCTTTAAAAATAAATGTCAGACTTAACAACTGGCAAGAGGTTCCATATATGCCATAGCTAAGCTCTTTACGCTTACCGAGGGCTCAACATCCGGATGACATCTTAGTTCTTCTAGATGTGGACTCTCTTTGAAGAACTGTTGATAAGAGCGAGTAAGCCCTTCATCTTTGAGGTACACTAGGAGAAAAGAGATGGTGAAATGGAATGGTAATACAGTGAAATCTTGGTAGGTTAAATGTGACAACTCAAAACAACTGTTTAGTCAAACAAAGAATCCACTGCCCTCAGAAATATAACGACGATATACAACCCTGCTTAACTCAAAACTCTGCTTAAATCAAATTTTGAACCTGTTCCCTTGAGGTTTGACTTATCAAGATTTCACTGTACAATGTACATACACTGTGTGTGAACATTCAATCTGATACAATTTATCCCTAAATTTATCAATTCTAACAACACACAAATCTTTACTTTGTCACCAATGTTTCTTGTTAATTGTTTTTTAATCCTAACTCCCTAGGCATTTTTGCTAGGATGCAACCTGCATCCTACAAAATCCTCCAATTGGCCTCATGGCAAAATAAATATAGCCTCAATCCTGCAAAATCCTCCATTATTTCTTGAATGTGGTTCTTGGAGGGGTGACCACTGCCTCAATCCTGCAAAATCCTCCGGCTATGACTGTCAATATGTTGCGGATTGGCCAGTGACATCCTGGAGCAGTACGGAGGATTTCAAGTATAATCAAGGACTAAATTTATGCACGAATGAGCATAAGCAACACAAGGTCCGGCCCAAGACCTTGACACAGTGTGTACTCCGAAATCAGCAACGCACTTTTGCCATGTAACTTCAATCCTGCAAATTCCTCCAATTTCCAATAAGGATTTTGGAGGATTTGGGATGGTTAGGGTTAAATAATATTTACTTGTAAGAATGACATCTTGCATTGGGGCGATATACACATAGGTGTGCAGATTTTTATATTGTTCTTCATGGACGTAGCTGTCCAAGTGCACTGCTACAATACTCAATTCTTTCTTATTGATCTTAAAGTTGAAAGGAAAAGGTAATTGATTATGACAGCCAACCCTGGTAAGCATGTTGGTTTAGCAGTTAGAATGTCTGCACTAGTAAGCGGGAAATTGTGGGTTCGAGTCCCACTCAAGCAAGCTTCTGAACTTGTTACCACAAGCTCTTTGGTAGCACAGTGTTAATACAACCCACACTTTAAAAACACCTCGTAAGAACTTGCTACTGGCTTCAAGTTCAAATCTCCTATGAAGATGGTGTACAATTGATGCAATTTTACATGGTTATACTACAGTGATATGTCCTCAATATTTTTGCTTACTTAGAACGAGTCTTGCAATGTCAGATGGAAGCATTTTGAGTCCACACTGTTAAATGCCTGCTCACTGAAGTACTGTACAACTACAAGACATTCCTTGGCAAACTGTAACAGAAATAAAAACAATACCATGTGAATATCAAAAAAAAAATACAAAGTAACTACAGTAAAGCTTCTTTTTATTTTCTCTGTTTAAACAACCCAGAAACCTGCAGGTGTTAAAACAATCCCTCAAAGAATATAAAGGTGAACGTTTGTAAATGTTATTTTGAGGGGAATTTGGGAGTTTTGGAGAAAGTTTGTCCGAAATAACTACAGGATATTTACAGGATAACTAGATGTCTACATAACAGGTAGGGAAATTGATTTGTCATGCTATTTAACCAAATTAACCTGGAAAAACATTCTTCAGGGAACACAACTTTTCAGGAAATTTAGCATGCTTCGCTGTCATGCCAAAAACTGTCTGGTGCCAAACAGTGTCCGGTATTAAAGCATGCGCAGTAGCTGCAGGACACTAATTAACACGCATTACATGCCAAATCATGTCTGGTGCTACATGTTAATAGTGTCCGCGTGCTGTCGTGCATTGCAGCACTGATTTCAGTATACAGACCACTTGGTGATAGACCCTACTGATTGTTCTGGCCAAATACTATCCGCATTCTTGCAAGTACCTGTTCCTGCCAAATATTGTCTGTTCTTACATGCTGTCCGTTAATTTCTTGCCAAAAAATACTGTCCATTCTTGCACAAAAGATGCTCAAAATATGAGAGAAACCTTTATTTAGCAGAAAGGAACAAGTGATAAATTGAACACTATATCACGTAATCTACACAACACGTGGACGCGTTTCAAAAAGGGGTGACCAGACACGAAAACAACAGTACTTTTAGCTACATGTCAGAAATATCAATTAGGCCTAACAAAATCTAAGGAAGGAAGCACATAAAGGCAAAACTTTTGTTGAAAAAAATGTTGCAACCTGACGCCACTTCCACGATTGTGTACAAAGTCTATGGAAAGTCAAGAACATTTTCTAAGTAGGGCCTACTGTCTTACAAAATTGAAAATATTCCTCAGTTCCAGATTCATGTTTTTTCATCATTTTTGCAACGAAGTGGCTATCATTACGGCAGCCGTTGTTTAGCGCCCTCTACGATACTTTTTTGATACGCACGCAGGTATATAATTATTTGTTTCCCCACGTTTTAGCGAGCAGTGCGACAGCTCGGTCGATAGAGGGTAGGATTTTGCACTGCGAGGTTGCGGGTTCGCATCTCAGTTTTGCACTCGAATTTTTTCCCTTTTCTAACCTGAGGCTTTGGAGGATTTTTTTTAAAGGGAAATGAAGTCTGAATTTCATAACGTTCGAATTCACTTTTTTCTTTCTAATTTTATATTTTCTTCTCATGTTTTTATAAAAGTTGCAGTACTACCGTAACAAAAGAAAATGGGAGATGCGTTACGGCAGCCGTAACGATAGCCAGCTGCGTTTTTGCAATGACTGACCTTCATTGAGATAATAATATGAAGAGAACAGTGGCGTCAGGCTGCAACATTTTTTCCCATGCATGCATAATACTACAATAACAAGTGCGAGACCGAGTTCTGACACGTGTAGGCATATAGGTAACCCTGTGTTTGCAAATGCGTCATGCCGACGGTGCTGTCGTAGTAATGTAATGATCATGTTGTTTTGACACGTGCTAAGCACTGCCATGACTGCAGAGATAGCGCTGTCATGTAACTTAAGCTTAAGTTGGGAATTTATTAAAAAAATATTATTCAAACAACATATTCATAAATAAAAGCTACAGATTAGTCTGAACATAGTCTGAACAGTGATCGATCCGTACATACGATCATCGACAGTTTTCGACACAAAGCAAAGTTTTGCCCATACTTTCACATCTCAACAGCCATGCACGTTCAGCACAGAAAGTTCAGAAACCTCAATCAATTTTGCGCGAAACCTTGCCTCTTTCAAAGTTAATATTTTCACATTATTAACTTTTTCGGTTAAAAAATCAAAAAAGGAAATCTAGTCGAACATAAAAATGTATGGAGTACCAAATTAAATATTTTATGTGAGAATTGTATGAAATTATCATAAATTTTAAAAATATCGGTTCCCTTCGGTAAATAATATTTACATTTAAAGCCATTTACAACATGGCTGCGCCCTGAGCGCGACTTTTGTCAGTTCCCCGGGTAAGCTAAAAATTCAAATTATTTCAGTTAGGACTAGGAGGAATGTTGTAAGTCATGTCATGTTTTTCTTAAATCGTTTGTACATTTTCAGACTAGTACGTTTTCCCTATAAAACCTTAAAATTTACCTGAATTGAAATGAAGGCTGTAGTGTAAGGCTGTATTGTTATTGTGTTAGTGTTACGTAATCAAAATACAAATGTCGATTGTGTACTAATTGTGTATTCATGTTCCTTCATGCTTATAAGAGAACAAAAGCCGGTTCACTTTTAGGTTATTTGACACGCCCAACTTGGAATTAGGAGTATAAAACAAGAGGAGTGTCGTACATATTTACCATCCTGGCCAAATGCTTTTCTGGTGTTTTGAGGTAGTTTTCCGATGTTTTGCGGTTGTTTTCTGGGAAAAAATGTTGCATCCTGATGCCACTTTTTTCATCATATATTACCTCAATGAAGCCTGAAGGTCAGTCAATGCAAAAAAATGTTAAGACATGAAACTGAGACTGAGTGAGAATCATTTTCAATTTTGTTAGAAAATATGGAACGAATGTTGCAACCTGATGCCACTTCAGCGGTAGTGTACAAAGTCTATTGGGAGTCAAGAATTTTTGTAGTGTAGTTTCTATCAAAATTTCAAATGTTTCTGAGTCCTAGATTCATGTGTTATCATCATTTTTGCAATGACTGGCCTTCATTGAGATGATATAAAGAAAAAATCGGCGTCAGGTTGCAACATTCTTTCTGAAAATACTTAGAAAATGCACCTGACTCTCCGTAGACTTTGTGCACAACCAAAGAGGTGGCGTCTGGATACTACATTATTTTCCCGATAACCACGATAGAGGACAGGGTTTTGATTTTTTTTTTAAGGGATTTTTTTGGCATGTCGTGACGATGATGATGACGCAACACAACGTGAAAATAAAGTTGATTTTCTAATCTGTATTCTTTTATATCTTTGGTGATTTACCATGAAGAGGAAATAAATGCTACCAAAAAGTGGCAACGGCATTACTGTTTACCGGAAAACATTGGAAAATACCAGAAATCAACTGGAAAACTCAGGAAAACACCGGAAATCAACCGGAAAACACCTGACGACACTGGGAATCAACTGGAAATAACAGGAAATCAGCAAAAAATATACCAGAAAACAACTGGAAAGCATCGAGAAAACTACCTGAAAGCACATGAAAAGCATTTCCGCATGTCAAGTTGATCAACTGAAAAAAAATTGCATTTTCTACCAAAAGATACCATTCAAAATTATAAAAATAGGGTCATTATAATTCAAAGAAGAATACCTGAATGTAGCAGAAGTCATTTTGGAATAAGTAAAAGCACTTTAACAACTAAAACAAAAGAGGGGCCTGTAAGTTTCATACAAATTATGTTCGCCCCATAAATGTTTCTGAAATGCCCGACTTCCTCCATGTTTGGAGTTGCACAGCAATGTATTTGGGGAGTCTCATTTTCTGATTCTCCTAATAATAAGCTGGATTAGCATATTGCCTTTCTTGATTTCGAGTCCAATTCTGCACACATTCTGTAGATTACCAGCTGCCAGAATGTTTCGTCCTCCAGTTGCGTTCCGTTCCCCAGGTCGTCAGGGCTATGCTGTCCAGTTCTCACCATACCTACCGCAGAGATTAGCCGTTGCTGCATCTCAACATTTTGGTATTGCAGGTCAGTTGGAAGCAAGTTAATATTCTTGGTTGAGAAATCAAGCAGCAGTAAAAATTACCATCATACTGTTCCGGTTTGCGTGCGAAGTACGCATGACTTATTTATCCTGAATGTGCACAAAGCTTTTAAACCATATCGTCTGCGCATGTGAGCGTCAGGCATCGTTCGGATACGTTCCAATTTAACGTTCGTATTTAATATTACTAATTTAACAAAGGGCATTGTCTGATATACCAGCAGTGTGCAAGGTGTATTGAAGTTAATTGCCATTGTCATGGTCAAACTTTTGAAACCAGCTTGTTTTACCCATCTGCCATTTCCTTAATTTCTTTTTGCACAGGTAAAGGCAGTTTATTTGTCATTGATGTCTTGCCAGCAGGAGCAGTGCTTTTAAACAGGTATACATGCCAGACACTGGTTTTTGTACTTTTTTGCACGTTTTTTTTTGTACGTTTTTTGGGCATTAAAATAGGTCACACAGGGTGACTTTGTAATAGCTTGTATCCTTTTAAAGTTGCATTTCGAGTTTCATCCTGCAAAATGGATTCCTTTTCCAACTTGCTATGTTGTACAATGTAGCAATAAAAAAGTTAATCACATTTCAATGAGACATCGACCCAAAATATTTTCCCATATTTAGTTATTGAATTAGTAATGTACAATTTTGGAATAACTTGTGACCCGACAATAATTCCGTTCTCGCGGGGTAGGCTGGTTCCTGCCCCACAATCAGTATCGGTAATGTACGGACCGGGAGCCAGTCTGCTCGCAAAGTGGATCTTTTGTGCCCTCACTTAAACCCTTTTTTTCCCAAGAGGATTCCAGACTTCAAAGAAGGGTTTTTTTTGGTAGGAATAAAATATACAAGTTGTAAATTTATTAAAGTTGGTGTATATGTACCTTAAAAATAGATTTTCAAATCGAATTGATAAATTTCTAATATTACAATAGTTATGAGCTTTCCATTGAGACATCGCACAAAAAAATCGGCCCGCCACAAGTAATCAATTCATTAACCCTAACCCACCTCACTCCTCCAAAATCCTCCTGGCGGTTTTGGAGGATTCTAGAGGATTGAGGATGAATGGTGATTGAATCAAATGAGGATTCTGGAGGATTGAGGATGAATGGTGATTGAAGCACATGAGGATTTTGGAGGATTGAGGATGAATGGTGATTGAAGCACAAGAGGATTTAGGAGGATTGAGGATGAATGCATTTTGAGGCAGGACTGTCTGATGATTTTGAAAGATTTGGCGTTGGTTATCCTTCATTTAAACACGAGTGCAAAGTTTTGGGATGAGGAGGATTTTGGAGGATTGAGGATGAATGCATTTTGAGGCAGGACTGTCTGACAATTTTGAAAAATTTAGGCGGAGTTGCAAAATTTTGGAAGATTTTGGAGGATTGAGGATGGTTGTAAGCAACAAGGGCCTAGGGGGTTAGGGTTAATTTTAAACTTTTGAATTAAGAGTAGGACGCTCCTAATTCGTTCTGAATAGTGTGCGCAGTTTTTGAACTGAAGCGCTTCTTTTAAAACCAATTTTTAACTGTATAAAGGCCTGCAAAAACAAGCAAGCAAATTTATTTGTTACAGTACATTATATTAAAAAGAAAATCGAAATTTGGAGAAAGCACGTACATGTATGTACCAACTTTAAGAGAAAAAATGAAATTTTTGAAGAGCATGGGGAATGCAGCTTGAATGCTTGTCATAGTTTGCTGCTAATAAGATATGATTGTAATTTTCACTCAGTTATGAATGGACGGAGGGGCTGTTTGATTTAGCTTGGTCAGAGTGTAATAAGAACATCATAGTGTGTGGCAGCGGTGATGGCTCAGTGCAGATATGGGATACTACACAAGCTCAGGTGAGAAAGCTACAAGCAATTCCAAGTTAAATCTTACATTGAGAGCTGCCACTTTGGATCAACATTGAGCATGAGTACAAGTGTCAGAGTCCAAGTGTATGGACCTTGCAGTATGAGTATCAGCACTTTAATATGGAGGATATAAGTAAGAACTATTAAACAACTCATTCAATGGGTAAACAATGAAGCAAGATTTCTGATCGAATGGAGCATGTATTTCCTCAAATAAGAAGAACATATTAGTTTATTCCAAATAATAGTACCGGTTTTATCCTAAGCCTTGCTAATAATGTCTTAGTATTTTGTGTGAGTATTTAAGTAATCGTGATTGATTTTGTGTTGGTGATCAATCATTGTTCTACTACATATACAATTTTATTACTGTCATTTCAAGGAGTGATTAGGCTAAAACATGACACGGACAGTCAGACAGGCAGGAGATAACTTTATCTTTCTCTATTTCCAGGGTCCAGTTAAAGCATTCAAGGAACACACCAAAGAGGTACAATATTTTTTTGAATCTCTTTCAATGTGCCCTGATGTTTTGGATTTTTGTGATCAAGTTTGACGTTTTTGTGGAGACAGCCAACTTTCAAAGGACATGCTTAGCTGAAGTTGCTAAGAAATCAACATATATGATTTGTATTGTGCACGTTGGCTGATACTAGTGATCATGGAAAGAGCTTGATAGCAAAGCATGACTTGTCTGTACTGATACATGTATGTGGTATGCATTGATTGCCATTGAGTTATTATCTGTGTTCAGGTCTACAGTGTACAATGGAGCCAGACGAGAGACCAGAATCTTGTAGTGACTGCATCATGGGATAAAACAGCCAAACTGGTCAGTCAATGTACTCTCATTTAATCATTGCCAGGAATTTACTTAAAGTTGAAAGCATCATGTGACATGGTGCAACTTGAGTTAGGTGTCACAGTGTTTCTTGTGATGAGACTCAATTGCAAGCTGCTTTCCCCAAAGTGTCTGTTATCTGAGAAAATGAACTTGTTATTTAAAATCATGATGGATTATTTTATTTTTTATGTTTGGGATTGATTAATTATACATGTACTTAAAGGTCTGGTTGAAAGGAAACTTAGGGAGCGTCTCAAAAGTCGGAAGGGGAACATTCCGTTGGACCGTTCCATTGGACCGTTCCAGCGTTCCGTTGGAACGGTCTGTGTGCCCGTCGGAACGGCGAGCGTTCCCTTGGACCGTTCCGCTTGGCACATGTGCCCGTCCGAACGTTCCGCTGGGAACGCGAACGGTCCAGATAGGATATCCGTAATTGGGTATCATGCGTCCATCTTAAAATATTTTCTTTCGTTTGTGATGACGATGAGGTAAGTTGTTGAAATAGATAAGTTAGACCTGATGTTATAAATTTTCAGTGAAAAAAAGTTAACAGTAATCTGGGGTTCGATTCAATAAAACATGAGACCCAAACAGGAAAAAATTTGCTTCTGTGGCACATCTTCAGTAACCGCAAGATTCGCGCGCGACTGCAACTGGAGCCTTTTTCAGTCATTTTTCGTGGGAAGGAATGTACGCGCGCGTGAACAGTACATGTACACACATTCATACTGAAATTTGTATCCTTGTGGAGACATTTCTTTGTTCTCGTGTAGTAAAGTTTTCGGGTTTGAAAGTGAAGTTTCAAAATGCTCTTATTTTAACCAGAATTAATTTCCTTGGCTAAACTTTGGACTTAATATCCCTTTTCTAAAACTCTTCCATTTGCGACTGATCAACCCACCTTGGAAATTCCTAGTTTTTGAGAAAAATCCATATATCTATTTCGTGAAAATCTTGTGGAGACGTATTCATCTATAGAAATTGTCCTGTGGAAACGTATACAATCTTTTGTTCCCTATTGTACACACGTCTCCAGAGGGTACGGTGTATCAGATCACGCATTCACACTGCACGTCCCAGCTGTATACGTAGCATGTCGTACATGTACGTAGGTATACCATGTAAACAAACACGTACACACGCACACCCACACAAAGATGCACAATAACCAATGTACATGTACTTGACGAGTACCAGCTCGCTTGGTTGGAAACCGTCATATCCGCACTTTGGCGAGTATCTGGCGGACCATTCCGATGGAATATTCCGCCGGGCACATATGCCAGGAAAAGTATGGAACGGTCCGACGGAACGGTCCAACGGAACGGCAGCTGTGCCCAGCGGAACGCCCGCGTTCCGTTGGACCGTTCCACCGTTCCAGTGGAACTGCCAGTGTGCCCAGCGGAATGTTCCGACCGTTCCAACTTTTGAGACGCTCCTTACATAATGTTGCATTGTTCCTGATAAAGGACATGAAAAACCTGGATTCTTACTTCTGGCGTGGTACGGTAGACATTTTGCAGCATAGCAAACATATTTCCAGCTGTAAGAAGTCTCCTTCTGCGATGTTGCCCCCAGCTTCTGCGTCCATGATGTCACACGATTCAGTGTATGGTACACGTCGTGTGTGTGTACACACAGCACCAATACACAATTGTTGATTCTCGCACACCTGCAACATGTGATGCACTGGCGGTACACGTGAGACAAAATTCATGACTAGCACCCATACAGCTTGTTTTTTGAGAGTCAAAATTTCGACCCCGAAATTTACTCTTGCAAAAACAACACAAAATGGCAAAATTTTAAAGGATGGTTGTGTGGACATTTATATTTCTACTTTTAAGTGCTCTTTCCAACTAATATCATTTTGTGAAAAACATGTTTTGTGGCCAAATTGGGTGCTTTCCAGGATGCAGTGTCCCTTTAAGATCATCAATTATTTGATGAATAACATTTAGAATAATTGCAGAAATGATAAAATAAAGGTTTGCAGTCCTTATAAGTTTTGCAGTCCTTATAAATTGAAAAATCGCCCTGTGACTTGTTTTTGACATTTGTCTGTGTGATTTTTCTCAATAGTGGGATCCCAATCACCACCAATCTCTGGCAACGTTTGCTGGTCATCAACACATTGTCTATAGTGCTATGTGGTCTCCGCATGTCCCAGGATGCTTTGCAACAGCATCAGGTCAGTTTTTCCTGAAACAAAAATTGAAAAGGTCTCGTTCAAATGATGTCATTTCCTACAGACCATCCACGTGCATCTGCATTTTGAGAGTCAACTTGCATAATGCGCATCTGCTGCATCATATTTTGAACACATTTCGAGCAACAAGCGTGTGTTCTGAACATTTTCAACACTGCGCAATGCGTGCTTCATTGCATAAAATACGCAGCTGCAGTTCTTCTAAAGAGATGGCCATCATTGAGCGAGCCCTATAATATCCTTGAGAATTCAAAATTATTTTTTCAATATTAGGTTAGGGTTTGGGTCTTGTACTCGAAATCAGTCACGTGTTTGATGAAAGTAACCTCTGTATGTACAATTCGTTTAAATCTCATTGGCATATCATATTAACAGTGTTTATTTGTGTGTTTGTTGAAGGAGACCACACCTTACGTTTATGGGATATGAAAAGCCCTCAAGCAGCTCGGATGGTCATCCCTGCTACAAACTGTGAGATTATCACATGTGATTGGTGCAAGTATGATAAGGTAAAACCTTCAATTATGCAGATTGTTGTAGGTAAATTACATATTTCAATTTGTACTTTCAGCATTAAAAAAAGAAATCATGAAAATGTAACTTTTATTTGATTTGCTTGCAGAACTTACTACTAGCTGGGTCAGTGGATGGTAAGATACGAGGATTTGATCTGAGAAACCCCAAAGCACCAGTATTTCAGCTTGGAGGGCACAGCCATGCAATCAGGAGAATAAAGGTACCATGTGATCTGATCTCATTGACTCTGTATACCAATCCGTGCATGCTATCACTATATTTAATGCATGGAGACCTCCATCAATAGCGAAAGCAACTACCCCACAACGGATTATGTGAACAATTGCTGGCACAATGCTTTCACCATTGAAGGAGGCCTCTGTGGGTGTAGGATGGCTACTTGGATTGGTCTATACTCCATATACAGTCATTATTTGGTCAAGCACAGCATAATTTTCTGTTCAAGCGAATGTGATGTCATAATACATGCATATTTTGCAGCAAATTCTCCCAGATTTGAGATGTGTTCAACTTTGCAAATTTGCAGCATGAAATCTTGGTGTGACATCACAAATTCATCTTCACTTTTGTGCAGAGTATGAACTGGTCTTAACATGATAAATGTTAGTTTATGAAATTTTTTAATAATAACAATAACTTTCATCTTCAAGCAAACTTGTATCCTCGACCCTGATTGGTCGATCCATGGCAACAATGGTCCATATCGCACCATGCGTATTGCGCTATTCCAGGATGCGAGCGACATTCCAGCTGCATGCGCTACACCGTTAAAGCTCATGTAAAGCATGCCAGTTCCAAGTTTGCTTGAAGATAAATTCGTTATTGCACTCGCACTCGTGGAACACAGGGAAATGTTGTGCGTCTGTGTCCCACATACCACTCGGCCGACATCAGACGCACTACATTATTCTGTGTTCCACTCGTACTCGCGGGATAACTAATAGTGTAGTTTAATAACGTGTAGTGTTGCCTAGGCGACATTTGTATCGAAGCAGTACAGTAATTTAGAAATCATCCATTCGGTTTACCTCTTTACTCATATTCATATTTTTCGGTGACTGTCTTGACAGTGTTCACCACACAAGAAGACAGTACTTGCTTCTTGCTCCTATGACTTCACCGTCAGGACATGGGACTTTGCTCAACAGACCACACCCTTGGAGACTATTGAGCATCATACAGAGTTTGTGTGTGGATTGGACTTCAACTTACACATCCCTGGACAGGTAAAGCTCCGATGACTTTGTTGTTAGCGTTGGGTAGAGGAGGGGTTGGCTCAGGATCTGTCATTTCCATTCATTATTTTTTTGCATCTTTTCTTTTCAGCTGGCTGACTGTGGCTGGGATGACAGGACTGTTGTATTCACTCCCAAATCACTGCTAGAAAACCCTACACCTGCACCTCCTTAATTAGCATGGAGGAAACTAATTCATCAATGTGTTCATTGAAGTTGCAATCTAGTCCATCACAGTCAATCACAAGTCATTTCACAAGTCAGTTCGTCACAAGAAACAGGGTATTAACACCGACAAATGAATGCTTTTGTCAAGTTCATTTGAAAGCATGTGACTAGTCTAGGGGCTAGACGTTGTTATGGTTTGATACACGATATCCCGCCGCAGCGATAACCCGCCGCCGCGAGAGGGCGTTATCACGACCAACCAATATCACCCACGAACCGTCAGTAACAACGTCTAGGCCAATTCCTAAAATCTCTGGGGGAAACTAGTGCGCATGCATGACTTCTGTAGGCAATAACGGTCCATTTTCAGTCCCACATACTAAAAGAGCTGACCAGTGAAGTTGCACAAATGTCTTTCTGCATCTTTTATATTACTGGAAGAAATTTGAGAGTTTGCTTTGGAACAACTATGAATTTGTTTGAATGTGCGCTGCATATATTAGGCCAAACAGGTGCGCGCATTACACAACCAGTACGAATTGGCCTAGACATTGTTACTGACGGTTCGTGGATGATATTGGTTGGTCGTGATAACGCCCTCTCGCGGCGGGGGGTTATTGCGGTGGCGGTAACGTTCAGCCCCTAGACTATAGCCTGTGACTTGACTTGAGACTGGAGGACTTGTGATTGACTCAATTAAAAGTCTGCTCCTCAACTTCAGCAAGGGTAGAAACCTTCACTGCTGGCCAAGTAAAGTTATCAGAGTGTAAATTTGGTCAAGTAGGGACATGCGGAAGCAAATACTGTATACTTAAAGTGCAATTGTTTTGCAGTTAATAAAAAACAAAAGAAAAACAAAAAAAAACCCTATTAGATGGCTGACACCCAAAGAGTCTATTGTGATTGGTGTAGAGTTTCACCATATCAACATCTCCAAGGACAGACAGTAAAGAAATGTCTCAAAAGTGGAAATGCTTGGAACGTTCCACTGGGGAACATTCCCTGTTCCAATTGGGAACATGGTTGTACCCACTGGGAACAGCCCGGGAACGCCAGGCGATCCCGCGTGGGAACGTTGGTCTATGCGCGTGCATGCTTGCTCTGGAACGGCTCGTTCCTGTTGGGAACATGCTGGGAACACAGCACGTTCTCAATGGGAACGCAGAGTGTTTGTAAAGGAATGTAATGGGAATGCTCTGAATTTTCAGACGTTCCTTTATTGCCGTATTGAATTGGAGGTTGTGAGAATCACTCATCACAATGTTGAGCTTTATAGTCAGAGTCAAGAGATTGGTTTGTCAATGTTGGGACTAGTTTTAATTCCTTTCATATTACAAAGTGTAGGTGGATATCAGTACCATATACCACCACAGGCAGAGTCTCAAATCATGTTCATAGACAGGGAAGAGTACAATAAGCTAATACAAGTACATTTTCTATCATGAATTTATTGTGTTCTGGAACAGTGGACTAAATTTTGAAATTTTGCCAAGGAGTTGGGATATCATTCCTGAGAGGGATTGCCCACAGAACAAATGGAGCTACAAACACTGTTACATAATTAATATACAGTTATTTAAAATGCTTACGTGCGTACATGCATGATAACTTGCTTATTTCCTTCAAATTATGTAAATATGCCGTCCTTAATTTATATTGACTTTTAGAGAGTTCATCTTATCTTACTCTAATTCAAGGAATCGTTGTGTGTCTCTATTTTGATTATCTTAAGAACCGGGCACTGTATGAAGTTGACAATCAGCTATGTATTGCTCAGGACCCAAGAATGTGCAGTGTCAAGTTTGAGGTTGTTTGGAAGAGTGGTTCTCAAAAAAGCTGCAATAAAGAAGCATTTTCGGAGGCCTACACCATACAAATGTGGATACAGACTGCGCCACACATTGCTGCACATTTTCTACGGGCACTGCACTCTATATTGCCACGTTTGCGGGTCTACTGGAGGCCAAGCAATTTGCCCCTTCCAAACAGCCACGTTTTGAATGGGCACTGCACTAGGTAAATTCAATCATACAAAAATGTTCCAAGCATTTCTTTATTAAACAGTTTGTATGGGCATTAAATTTTAGGAATATTTTAATTGGCTTTAATTTTATTATTTTATTATTAAAAAAAAAGTACTTACCCGTCTATGTGCAACCCCATCATAACAGGTATTATTCTTGTCAAAATTTAATTTTTGCCGATTTGCCACTTTATTATGTGATGTGTCATGCACTTAATATTTGTTTTTATAAAAGTGATTGTTTTAAATTTAAAGAGGTTTATCAAGTTTTCCCAAAGTGCAAATCATGATTTAATAAAAGTTGAGCAAAGCATAAAAATCATATCAGCACAATGTGCAATTTTTGTGACGTTTTGACATTTGTCATCTGCAATTTGGAACTCCCTGCTGCATGAACACATTGTGTGCACAGATGGCATGCTCACACTTTTAGTATGCGTTACTTCCCACAGAGTACATGTATGTGTATACGGCATTCAAGCCCATTTTCAAGAGTATTTGTCTCTTTTTCACGGTTTCACTGTTTATAATAAGGAGGTATGTGAGAATGGAGTCAATAATGTTAATGTATTAGGTGCAACGTATATTCATTTTTATTAAATCATAGAGTGCAATTCATAATATATATGAGTTTAATATAAAAAATACAGTTTTCCTTTCAAAAATGTAAGAAAAACAAATCTAAAATTACATCATGAAAATTGCACAATGAAATGTCTTCATCTTAATAAAATCGGAGATGAATATATCAGTTTTAAGAAAAAATTATCGCAAATTACATTTACGTTTTAACACGCACTGTAGGGAATATATAAAGAAAAGCATGTAAATTGACATGATGTGCTGTCAACAAATAAAGTTAAGTACTTTCATTGGGAAGAAGTGGAAACATGAATTTTGAAAACTAAAATTGTGCATCTTCCTTTTCTCTTTTGGGAAACAAAATATCAATGCACGAGGAGACTCTAGAAAACATACGCAGTGTGCCATTTTTGCTAAACATGGATGAGAGTACAAGTGTAAACCACAAGTGTGTTGTTGCTGTACTGGTGAGCTACATGTATGTCCATCCTGTGCAAGAAAAAGTTGTTGAACCTCTGAAGTCCTTTGAAGTGATCAAGGTTGATGCTATCACAATGTACAACTCACTGGTTGACCTGTTCATCTATAAGGATAAGAAGACATATACTCATCATGAACTTCTAAACTGCAGCGCTTGTATTTTTGAAGAAGTATGTCTGCCTCTTCCAAACATCTACACCAATGGTGCACAAGCTCCATGATGAACAAAAGTCCACACTCCGGGAGTTATTGTCTTGCTACATTAGACCAGAACTCCTATGAAAATAGGTGAAATGACAACCCGACAAAGCAATGCCTTCAGCAAGAACAGATGTTTCTTGGTGCCGCCACAAAGAGGAATAATGAAATCAGCACCGCCAAAAGATCCTACTGTTGAACAGTTTCTGAATGAAGCACAATTGCAAGATGCTTACATAAGATGTGGAGTTTATCTCCAAAGGAAGATGCTACTGAGCAACCCCTCTTGTGAGCTCTTGCGTAGATCTCAAGATCTCAAGAGGGCATGCAGCATGCTGCAGTGAACTGAAGAAGCTCCCACAACTTCTACCATGCAAGCTAACGGAGGAGAAAGACAACATGTATGAGAGTGAAGTGCAAATATTCAAAGTTGATCAGATCATGCCACAAACAGAAGGGATGATTGGTGGATAAAGGTTGTTGGTCAAACTGGATGATACAGTGTCCTGCTAAAAGTTGTCATGTTTGCTCTCAGTATCTTCCACGGGCCTCATGTTGAGTCATCCTTTAATTTGATGGGCGATATTATTGATGACTGCTCATGCCGCATGAATACAGCAACTTTGTCAGCGATACAGACAGTGAAGTTCTCTTTACAAAGTTCCAAGAAAACAGCTGTCTGGAACTTCAAGCGGGAGGATATCAAAGCATGATCCAGTCAAGGGAAATGTGGTCAGGAGGATGAGGGGTGCTGCCAAAGCTTATAAGCATTTAAGCTTGCAGAAGACAAGGCTGAAGCTGATGCCCAACGTAAAACGCTTCGTCAGCAATGATCCCATCATCAGCAAACATAAAGAAATTGAACTTCAAAAAGAAAAAGAGAAGATTGCAAGGGGGAAGCATGTCAACAAACAGAAGAAATTGGCAAGAACTCTTGCCATCAGAAGACAAACAGAGCTAAGTAAGGTAAGAAAACAAGTGCAAAATAACACAGCAGGTGGTGCCTTCCTGCAAAATTAATTGCTAAAAAAATTGAAGGGTAACTGCTCAGGTATCGCCTCAGATTGCATCTTTGAGCATCTAGAATCTAAAATTTTCGGGGCCCTTAATCGGGCCCCGGACCCCACGATGTAAGGGCTTCACGCTACGTGCTCACAGTATCCTCGGAGCATAAATGCCCATATGTAATATTTTTCAGGCTTTTCGTGATTCTGTGTTTTCATGCCTCAGTTTTCCTGTCCCTGTTTCATGTACCTTGTACTTTGAAATGCCACTCAACCATCATTAAGAATGACTTCAAACAAATCTGTTTGATTAGTTATTCATAAACAAATCTGTTTGATTAGCTATTCATAATCACTCTTGGAGGACGAATTATGCATTAATGAGTGCATCAGAATTACAAAATCACTGAATTGTAAAATCATCAAATTTATTAAATCCTAGATGTCAGATGTTACAGGGACAGAAAAAAATATGTGTTGCAGTGAGCTTGACTGAAGGGCGAAGAAATTCCTAGTTTTTGAGTAAAATCCACATATCTATTTCGTGAAATTCTTGTGGAGACGTATGCATCTATAGAAATGTTCTTGTGGAGACGTATACATTCTTTTGTTCCCTATTGTGTGCATGTCTCCGTAAGGTAGTAAATTCCAGCACTGTACGTACATTCACTGTGTGTGTGTGTGTGTGTGACTGGGTGTGTACACGTGTTGTCATTGTCAGAAGTATTCTGAGTATGTTCATCAGGGATGAAGTGATCAAGCAAAAGCACCTCAGTGAGATTGATCCTGCAAATACTTCTAATCATCTGCCGATTCATCTCTTGCATGTTGGTGGGAGATGTCAAGCGATGCTCATGAAGCAACCCCTTGGTGAGCAAGAACGTCGTTTCAAGCAAGACTGCCAGACATTTCTCATTGAATTGTGTTGCCAGATGAAGAAGAGGTTTCCCTTTCCAGGTGACTCTGTGTTGGGCATGCTATCATGTCTTGGCCCTCTAGAGGCATTGTCTACCAACCGGGTCACTGACTTGCATCAGCAAATTAGCTGTGCACTTTCCACATTTGGTACCTGAGGATGAACTTGATGAACTTGAAGATCAGTGGAGGGGCTTCTGTATGGTAACGATGCCACTGCTCGAATGAGTGATTCCCCTATAGAATTTTGGGATCAACTTCAGACTGTCATTGACGGCAACGGAGCAATAAGGTTTGGACTTCTCAGCAACTTCATGTGTAGCCTTCTTGCACTGCCTCACTCGTCTGCTTGTGTTGAGAGAATCTAAGGTGAACATGACCAAGACACCACTAACAAACAGGCTACATGCATCCACAGTATGTATGTACAACTTAAGTGTGTGTTCATTTGCCATTGTGTTTAGTTTCGTTCTCGTGGTCTGATGTTGTCGACTTCCATCAAAAATGTCATACAAGGTAGTAGATAGGGGAGGGGTCTAAATGCAGACAAAGGATTAAAGAATTCCTGGAAATTTTCATGGCTGAAAACCGAGGTGGACAGAGAATTAACCAAGGGGAAATCGATATTTTCTCGTGAAAATCGACAAACCTGGGTACTGCAAGTGTACATGGTGTGGTACGCTTTAGAAGCATTTTGAATCTTAACGCATAGATGATTGGTACACAGAAAATGTGTTCCCAACATATCCAGTTATTGGCAAGATGATGTCAGCAGTGTTGACTTGCTTCCATATGCTGTTGGCAGCCGAGCTGGCAAAGAGATCAAGGGTTCAGCATGTGAAAAGGCTCCAAAAGAAAAAGAAGAGGCATCATTAGGAGGTAGTATACTTGTTTGTCCCTTTGGCTGTAGTCAACAAGAAAACTATGTGCCCTGATGTCACAAGTAATGCAGTACTCATCTGTGTGAGACAATTTTCAGTTTTAATAAATTGTGATGAAACTTTGTGGATGACTAATAACTGTGTGTGCATACATTTCTAGGTCTTTGATTGTCACCAATTATAGCTTACATGTATAATTGCAATTTCAGTGAATGAGGATAAGGGTTTTGTTGCAGTAAATGTTATAATTATATCCCCCAAAGTAAGAACAGCTCTATTGGTGGCTTACATGTAGTACCCGAAGCTCCTCCTATAATCAAATAAATACACCGCAAACTGTAGGGAAGCTTTGGCCAACGCGACTTGCAAAACTCTCCGACGAATATTTCATGGATTTTTCATTTTCCCCAAATCATACCCCTGGTTCTTCTGTGACTGAGTTTTTGCTTACACTTCCTGATGATGGTCCACAACTTTTCAATTTCTGTTCTAAGCTAACCATGGGATCTGAGGGAGTTGTATGCACAATGACAGACATTGTGCAGGAAGCGAAGGAGGCAAAGAAGAATCAGAGAAATGCCAAGTCAGCATTGACAAGCCTTGGTAAGGCCCTGCACATCCTCATGGAGAGGAACCGTACCAGAGATGAGGTAGACAACTCCCTGCATAAAATGGATGATCTAGAACCATGAGGAGTACACTCGGTACATTAAAGAGGATGCAGAATTTGTTAACAAAGAAGGCTTGCTAGCAGATTGCCAGGAAAGCTTGATCAACATGAAATATGAAGCAACTGACTACATGATGGCAAACGAACTCCCTAGTTTGACAGTAGTTCCAGTACCCCTGACCCCAATACAGCAGCTGAAACGACCGAGAATGCAGAAACGTTGACAACTGTTTTCAGCACAGAGACGGATGACCTACCCTACTAGAAAAATCAGTCATCAATCGGTCATCATCAGTAGAATTGGTCATCATTTGGTCATCATTTGGTCATCAGTAGGCAAAAAAGTCATCAACGGGCATCAAAAGGTCATCAACAGGCATCAAACAGTCATCATAAGGCATCACTAGTCATCATAAGGCATCACTAGTCATCATTCAGGCATCAAACAGTCATCACGGGGCATCAATGGTCATCAAAAACTGACATCACAGTCATCACATTGGATGACTGTTGAGAAATTTTCTAAGAAAGAGGCATCACATCCTCCAAAAACTAAGTTTCAGTCATCAAGTCCTCCAAAAACTAAGTTTCAGTCATCAAAGAGACATCAAAGAGTCATCAATGGACTTTTTTTAAGAAAGTACATGTACTTTGCACTAAACTTGGTTGCATATGTACCAGTATGTACCGGTACATTTCATGTGGTAAACATGTACATGTATACATGTACATGCACAATGTACATGTAGTACACATTGTGTACATGCACACACTCTTAAAGAATTTTCAGGACAGGTGTCTCAGCAGAAAAGACACCAAAAGTATGTACACCAAATTAAAACTCTTAATTAAAGAAAGTTTTACAGTGCCCTACATAATTTCTAACTTAAAAGATCTTTAATAACATTTGAGGCATAAAAGTGAAGAATCTTATATGAATTCTTATAAGTAAGAAACACTTTGAGAAAGAAATCTTGTGGCAAACATATTAACACTTTGAAATAGGCAAGACAAAACTTTTTTAATAAAGTAAATTTAGCCTAGTGACTTTTATGGCTTACTAATTACATAAAAGCTGTACATGAACACAGCTTTTTGAGTCTAATTTCATTTCATAGATACCGGTACATCCTGAGCTGAAGATTACTAAGATTTCTTCATAGTGGAGTTAGCTGAATTGTCCATTGAGAAAAGTTTACTACAAAGCCAAACAGGAAGTGTATGATACAGACCAAAGTCCACATGTACACATGTGTTACATCATCAAGAGTATCATCTTACTTAGCCTCAAGGCTGGCCCTGCACTGCAGCATGGGCCTCAAGTCACATGACACAGTGACCTTGCATACCAGAGATAAACAGTTAGTGTGGGAAATTTGAAAACTGCTACAGTCAGTTGAATGCCTGTGCAGCTAGCCAGTAGGCCCACACCATGCCCACACATTGCAAGAGGGCAGAAATTGTATAAAACTGGATAAAAATCATAGATAAATGCATGCCTTTGGACATAATTTACTAATGATGTACCCACTCAACCTGTACATGACCTGTAAGAAACTGGATGTTTGGCTGGTTGAGTCTTTGAAGTGGACACGGTGCACTCACAACTGAAGGCTACCGTCTGACGGTGTCGTGCGTGTCAACACGCTGGACAAGCTATTTGTATGTGGTAAGTCTACAATGATACAATTTGGCTTTTATTCTTTGAAGATTGCCCCATTATTATTGTTAGTGATATAACAAAACAGAATATGACTGTACATGTACCGGGGGCATGGGGGGTATGTACTTACCGGTACATGTAAGTTTTATATAATGTGCAATGTTAAATTTTAATTTTTAGTTTCAGTGACCATAGTGATTTTTATTGCTTTTGTTTTCCCAATGCCCATCTTGATTGTGATATGTATTTTTATATGGCATGAATAATAATAATAATAATAATAATAACAAACCGTTCTGACAGTGCTTAAAGCATGGAGCCAAACAGGATTGAATTTGTGAATCAGCTGTATAAACACCCACATGGAGTATTTAGGAGAAGAACCAACCAAGAACCAAGAACCAAGAAAATAATTGTTTATACTGATGACTGCAAGTTTGTAACATGTTATTAGAAGTGTAGGCCTACAGTTCATCATGTTCATTCAGACATGTATCCAGTATTAAAATAAGCTCTTTCTTTTTTTCTCTCAACAAAGCTCAGATTTGGATAGCTTGTCAACGTCATGCTGCAGGGGGCAGAAGGGGACAGACGACAGCCATGTAGCCCTGCCAGAGATGGTTATTTTACCTGTTAAGAGTAAGTATGGTGTCTGTTTGATAACTGGAATGCACTTGCATCCCTTTCTCAACAGGGTCATCACCTCGTCGTTTTTTGTTACAAAGATGTTTCCACCTGAGCAATTATTTGTCTTGGCATTTCTGATAAAAAAAATAACACTTCACGTGTACTGTCATGAATGCGTACTGGAAAGTACATACATTGTACGTCTGAAAACTGTTGCTCACAGCTGCACCCCATACATGTACATACAACAACTACTTCTGGGACACACGGGACAATAATGCCTTAAAGGGAAAATACAACATTTGCAAACATCGAAAAATAAAACTACTAAGTTTTTACAAAATACCTTACTAGGATGTTGGTAAATGACAGTCTAAAGCATCCTGTAAAATTATGGCACCTGGTGTGAAGTCATTTTCAAGAAAATGGTATTTTTGTATACATTTCCAACGGTGGTCGGCCGACCACCGTTGGAAAACCTAACTATTTTCAACTACTGCTGCAAATGTACCATTTTTTTTCAGTCCAAATTTTGTTTGCTATTAGTTACATGTTCATTAATGGGTGCAGGCCAGCTAGACTGGTTCCTTACCTTAAAATTTTCCGGCATCAATACATTGATCCATCTTATCTTTAGTGGAGTCAGGGAACCAGACTACTCCACCATTTGTGTTTTTCTTGGTTTTTCCAGCATTTTCAAACGTAAAACTTCAAACATGTTAGTGTAACAATATTTGATTTATTATACTAACCCCTCAAATAGTTCATTTGTGAAAATTACAGCAAAAGCCAATGATGTACATGCCCTTTAAAATATAAAACTCGGGTGCAGATTCTAACATATTTGAAAGGGTTCCCATGTTAAAAAAACTTGCTCAGAAACTCTTTCGTTTCTTTTCATTCCTCGTCCAGGTTTCATCTATCGACTAGTCATTGACAGCAAAATTTCCCCAGGAGGCGGATGTTACAAGGGTTATCAATAGTGCTTGCTGAAACGCCAGATGGGCATCCAATGGAAATTCCTCAGCTGAGTAGAATTTGCAAAGAGTATACCCCCCACCCCCAAAAAATAGGAAATATATTTGTTCTTTTATTAATCTTACCTGGAGAACAGTCAACCTTATCAATTAAAAACACTTGTTGCATTAAATCTCTAGCTAGTAGGAGTAAATCCCTAGTATAATAAACATCCACTACATCTTGTTAAGGTCAATTTGAAGGGTCCTCCAATTACTTATCCTTGACTTCCAGCCATTTTAAAACCTACATTGCCTTTAAAAATTGTCATTTTGTATACCATAGTTTTTCCTTTTATCCGTGTTCATTTTTTTTCGTTTTAATTTTTTTAATTTTAATAGAAAATCTCAATTTGTCATTTAAGTGATGCAGATTTAATGCACAAGTGTAACAAAAACATAACCCATTGATGCAACAAAGAATATAATAAAGGAAGCAGCAATGGCTGAACTTCTGAATTTCAATTTAATGCCTGTAGATTGCATAATTCTTTTCCTTTAATGCTTTTTTGGTGCCTTTTTGGATTCTTTTTAATTACTGGTATAGTTGCTGTAAATAATTTGAGGTTAATTTGATGACTCTTTGATGACTCTTGGATGACTCTTTGATGCCATGATCACGACTGATTCTGATGACCCTTTGATGACTGTTTGATGCCTGATCTGATGACTCTGATGACTCTTTGATGACTGATTCTGATGACTCTTTGATGACTCTGATGACTCTTTGATGCCTGATCATATTACTGATGACTCTTTGATGCCTGATCATATTACTGATGACTCTTTGATGCCTGATTCTGATGACTCTTTGATGACTCTTTGATGCCTGATTCTGATGACCCTTTGATGACTGTTTGATGCCTGATCTGATGACTCTGATGACTGTTTGATGCCTGATTCTGATGACTCTTTGATGACTCTTTGATGCCTGATTCTGATGACTCTTTGATGACTCTTTGATGCCTGATTCTGATGACCCTTTGATAACTGTTTGATGCCTGATCTGATGACTCTGATGACTGTTTGATGCCTGATTCTGATGACTCTTTGATGACTCTTTGATGCCTGATTCTGATGACCCTTTGATGACTGTTTGATGCCTGATCTGATGACTCTGATGACTGTTTGATGCCTGATTCTGATGACTCTTTGATGACTCTTTGATGCCTGATTCTGATGACTCTTCGATGACTCTTAGATGCCTGATTCTGATGACTCTTTGATGACTCTTTGATGACTCTGATGACTCTGTGATGCCTGATCATATTACTGATGACTCTTTAATGCCTGATTCTGATGACTCTTTGATGCCTTTTGCATACTAATAGTCAAAGAGTCATCAAATAGGCATCATTCTGACATCAAGTTGATGACTGTTGATGACTAAATCCCTATTTGTTTCTTTATTTTGGGGGTTCCAATTGCTGCCCTTTTGATGCCTTTGATGCCTCTTTTGCATGATGACTGATTTGATGACCAAATGATGACTGATTTTTCTAGTAGGGTATCCTCTTCTGAGACACGGCCTACTGATCCTGAGACACAGCTCACCAGTGCCAATCAGTATTTATCCTTCAGTTTCAAGATGGAGAAACCAAAAATGCCAAAGTTCTCGGGCGATGCAAGAGAATACTTTACCTTCTGAGCAGACTTCAAGCACACGGTTGATGCAAGATACAGTAACCATGATTCAATTGCATTCATTTGTACCTGCCTACAAGGCAAACCGCATGAGCTAATGAAAGGATGAGGTTCTGATTACCACTCAACATTTACTGGAGGAGCCGGAGAACCCAGACTTGTAGGAATAAGCCACTTCGGAATCTCGCGCACGCAAAGCATTATGGGAGCGTGTCATAGGTCACGGGAGATAAACAATAGTGGCTGCCATTGACGACGCGTGTGCTTACACGTTGCTCTCGTGTAGCCTTCACAAATTTGTCATATTCTCGTTGTAAAAGTCGCGATATTTTGAATGATTTTCTGTACTGTGCTCTTCAAACAAATGAATGTCATCGTCCAGTTCTTCCACCTTGACACTAGATGCTATTGAATTGTGGAATTGTAAGGCTTTAAGGAGTTATTTGATATTAAGGGGGCTGAAAACTTCGGGAAGAAAGAAGGAACTGCAAGCGCTAGTTTTCGCCGCCTCGCAACTCAACGTGCCACTGAAGGACGACGAACTCATCAAAGAAATTACTTTGAACCAGAACTATTTGGATCTTCTATATTTTGACGGCAGAAAGATTCCTGACCCCCTTACGGAACTCAAGGAAGGCTGGGTGGGAGAAAAAGACGGCATTTGGCAATGGCCGCCCGTGACCTACTTTGAGATCGCCGAATGGCTACTCACAAATGCCCCGGCAGTCTGTCAGCCCAGTAAACTACCAAAAACTCTCAGGGACAGACTTCTGTCGGATTACAAGGAGGGGAAAGCCTTTAGTTACTTTCAGAGTGACTGGCTTAAAGAACCTTTTTTCCATGAACTGTCGCCAGAGGACAATATTTGCGTCTTGAAGGCCGACTGTGTGCCATCACAGAGAGTGAGGGACACTCCCCACAAAACGTGGGTTGCCATTGAGAAAAAAACTGGCAAGATCCGGAGTGCCTATTGCACATGTTTTGCAGGGTAGGCGAAATTCTTTTTACAGTGATTGTTGCCTTGATCATATATCTGTTATAGCGCCCTCTATTGACCACTGTTGTGAGCACATGTAAACATGACATGGAGGCAGCCATCTTGAATAGAGGACTTGCACATGAATGCATCATCTCTCCACAATCTTTGTTGATATTACCCAATATTACATGGTGGCAGCGGGTTAAAATACAAACCCACAGCATGGCTATACTAAACTCATGACTCAGCATCCACTGCCAGGGAAGTTTGATGGTGGCAACGGGCCAAACCAATGCAAATTGTGACCCAAATGGATCAAGCGTTTTGAATATCGTATTGCCTCTTGCCTCAACGGAAAGCCAGACCAGGAACACTTGAGCACACTGCTATATTCCATGGGGATTGTGCTGACGATATCCTGATAACCCTCAGAATCAATGAGGAAACAGTAACGTATGATCATGCAGCAAGTCAAAAAGGCCCTGAATGAACATTATGAAGGCAGAAGAAATGTGATTGTGGAGAGAGCTCGTTTTAACAAACGTAAACAAATGTCTGGCGAGCCAATTGATGTTTTCATACAAGATCTATACAGACTGGCTGACAACTGTCAGTGGTTTGTGATCTGTCTCGAGGGTGAAGTGTAGCCCCAGTATGAAGTCAGAGAATTTCTCACAAGCCCAGGTTATGGCTAATTCTTCCTTCTCAATGACTGCATATCGCAAGACTGAAGCTAACGAGGAGAATGCTGAGCCAAGTTGCCCGTATTTTTTATCGAATCGGATTCGCAGCTGCTTTCCTGATTCGTGCCAAGATTGGCATGCAACACCTATGGCAACATGACCTACCACTGTCAGTGCAAAATGAGTGGGTCAAGCTGTTCCAAGCAATGGATGAACTGAATGCGAGCTTCAGCAGATGCCTCACCCCAACAAATACTATTGGTTGTCGCACACTATGCATCTTTTCTGATGCGTCTGAGGAAGCATTTGGAGCCTCTGCACATATCCGATGGCAGCTTTTAAAGTGATGGTATATTTGACATCAGATTCTTCACAGCTAAATCACGAGTGGCGCCATTGAAAAAGCTGACTATACCCGACTTGAATTACAAGCGGCAGTAGTAGCCACCCGTGGGCTGTACAAGACTATTAATGATGAGACAAGACTTCAGATAGAAAGGACTGACTGCATGATTGCATTAGCATGGATCCGTAGCCAAGCAAGGGGATTTAAGCCCTTTTGTGTCCACTAGAGCTGGAGAAATTCAGAGTACTTCAGACCCATCACAGTAGAGACACATCCCAGGAGAGTTTAACATGGCCGACAATGTTTCTCATGGCATATCATCTGTCAAGCAACTGACCAAGCGATGGCAACATGGACCAGATTTCCTGTACCTACCAAAACAAGAATGGCCACAACATGCTTGCATTGAGGACAAAATCGAGACGGAAAAGGAGAATTGTAAGACGCAGAATGTCTTCATCACACAGATGACCTCAGATGCCATTGAATGCAGCAAGTTTTCTTCTTGGAGAAAACTTAACAGAGTAACTGCCTACACCATGAGATTCGTTTGGAATATGGGTGCCAAATGACAAGATGGTGTGTTAGCCAATGATGGTCTACTGTCACCAGCAGAACTTGAAGAGGCAGAAAAATACTGGATAATCAAAACCCGTAAGAGCCTATATGACCATCTCGCCAATGGAGAATTCAAGGCACTAAGTCTATTTACGGATACTGATGGAGTGCTTAGAGTAGGAGGCAGAGTAAATGCAAAAACATCCAGTCCTACTACTGAATAACCACCATGTCTCTCCACCAAGTTGTAGCTATTATCCTTGCAAAAATCGTTGCAAAAATCAGAAGCAAGTACTGAATACTCAAAGCCCACAAGCTTGCCAAAACAGTGAAGTACATGTACCTTGCCGAAGAAGAGACCACCAGACAGAGACACAACTTATGGCTGACCTAACTGCTCACCGACTGGCACCGTACACGCCACCGTTTCACTACACATCATGTGATTACTTTGACCTGTACAACATCAAAGAAGGACGCAACAAGACAACGCAGCATTATGGAGTGATAGTCACTTGTTTGAATACCAGAGCCGTACACCTGGAACTAGCTGTAGACTGCACCACCATGGAGTTTCTGCAAGTGCTAAGAAGATTCTTTGCTGTAAGGGGATTCCCGTCCAAGATAATCAGAACACCGGGACACAACTTACAGGAGCTGAAGAGAACTCAGGGAAATGGTGAGAGGATGGGACAAGGACGTACTGCGTCAGTTCTACGCTGAACAACAGATGGAATGGCATCAGAATGGCTGTGCAGAAGCACTAGTGAAAACCTGCAAGTCTGCCCAGGTCCGCAAGCCTTTTGAACTGTACATGGTCCTTCTAGAGGTAGCCGACCTGGTTAATCAGCAGCAAATAGGAAGGATTCCAAATGAACCCGACGATGGCAAGTAAAAAATGTGTGCTAATGACATCCTTCTTGGACGAGCATCGACAGAAGTTCCTCAAGACCTGTTCCAAGAGACGAAGGACCCAAGGACACAAGTAGAGTTTGTCCCGAGGATAAAGGATTCATTCTGAAGACGTTGGAACCGTGACGTTCCCCAATCTCGGTAGCATGCAGAAAATGGAAGGCTGAGAGGTGTAATGTCCAAATAACGACATTGTTACAGTCACAGATCCTAATGCATTCAGGGGCAAATGGCGCATCGGTAGAGCGATCAACGTGTTTCCTGGACCGGACAGACATGTAAGGAACATCAAAGTCAAGACCCTGGATGGTAAATTCGGACCCATTACCAAGGTTGCAGTCCTGTACCCAGCTGAAAGATATGAAGATGACGACAAAGGCGTCATCGGGGAGGAAGATGTTCCAGTGAGCTTGGCTGAAGAGTCAGATTGAAGAGTGCCCTCAATAGTTTGGACAGTTCATGAACACATGTGCTACACAACCCAGTTCAGCCATCTTGGCTTATGTTTTCTACTCATTCAGTTTCCGTTAAAATAAAACCCAGCTTTTATAGTCTTAGTTTAGATATATCTAATACAGTATTCAGTTTCCTACAGAAGAGTCTTGCCAAAGAAATCAAATACATTTTTGTAAATACACTGGCAAAATGTATGATAATGTATGATAAGCAAGATTTCTTCTGTGATGGAGTTTCAGCTTACACTTCTTTTATGGTCCAAAGAGTTTACCCAAAATTTATAAAATGACCCATAATGAGTGCTATGCCTGCAGTACGATTTGTGAGCTAATGTATAGATTGGCATACGATACATAAGGTTGAAAAAGTGTGTTACTGTTAGTAAGATGTGTCTAGTAACAATATAAGGGTAGCTACACAATATCTTCCCATATTACATATTTCTGAACTTGACAAATTTTTTGTAGACTTCTCGATTCTTAGCAAAGACTGGTTGGGCTCCCACCATTCCCCTGAGTACATAAGCTTCATAGACGGCTCGAGATGATCGACTGAGCGTGGGGGGCGTGACCTCATAAGAACTGTCCAATGAGAAGACACTGTTTGGTATGCTGTTAAAGAGATAAGTAACTGTCTGTGAGTGAGTTTGCCAATTTCACAATTTCTAATACATTTCTTGCTGCTGACACAAAAGATAATGATAGCACTGCACTTAGGGTGATCAAAGATAATGACTGAACGGTATCTTAAACCCGATACTTGAACCACTATTCAACCAATCTTGTGCTCTGCTGACTGCCTGCTAATAATAGCCCCGTATTTTTAAAACCCCTCTTTTGACTTACTTTGTAGGAGTGGGTTTCAGGCTAGAAAACAAATACATGCATTCGATTCAAACACATTAAATAATTCCCACTACATGATTTTGAGATAGTATTCAACATGCAGTTAATGATCACAGGGTCTCTATTGACTCTTTGCAGTGTATTACTAGCTCAACTTATTGTCTATGTAATGCTTTCTTGATGGTTTATGCACTTACAGTCTTGTAGCTCTCTTCATGCAGCGTTTAGTCCTACCACTGACAGAATGCACATCAGGACAACTGCTTCTGGAGTTGAGGTCGACGGACACAAACCTATAGGGTCCAAGATAAAGTCACTGAATATCTCACCTACAGGCAACAGTGTCAATTTATGGTGTTAATGCTCCTCTTGAAACTCTTATAAAATGCAACAACATTCCTATTTTGTTACAAAGTCTCCCAACACACATCAAATTTCACAAATCCTTACATTTGAATGTTTCTCCACCATGAACTGACACATGTACATGCCTTCTATTTTTACACAATACCGAGGGGGGCTAATACTGACTGTCCACCAGAAATAAGCCATGTTATATCTGTTTGACCAAACCTCATACATATTCATCAAAATTGTAATGGATCACGCATCAGTCTGTCGCCAAAACACTGTTGTGCGTGTAGCTAAGGTGATTTTCGCGCATGCGCACTGCAAATTTGCGCAGGCATAGTTGGCTATCACCATCGGTAACTCATACACATAGGCAACTGTGCATGCTTATTTTATCCTGTGTGTGAATCCTCAAGTGTACGTTTGGTATGTAGCAATACTAGTGGCTGACACGTGATGGTGAATGGACAAGTAAAAATTCATCTCTTGCTCATGAATATGTATGAATATGTATGAGGTATAGTCAAAAGGAATGACACGGTCACTCTATGACAACCAGTTAGTAACCTACCTTTGATAGATGGAGATGTCGTGTCTTTCTGGGTTCTGGATGGCCACTCCATATACATCCTTAGTGGTTGGAAATAAATCCTGTATGTAAGCACAGAAAACAAGTCACATTTCCCTGAGTTCTCTGTTCATGTTAATGTCAACCCGTTTCAAAACGGCCTTCCAAAACCAAATTATACTGAATATTTTAACTAAGGACACAAACAATTTGACAATTGAAACAATTAAGAGCGACTGTGTAGGAAGATGATTATATTGTGTGCTTGGATACTGTAATTTGATTGATCTAGGATGACCACATGTCTGGACAATAAAAATGCATGTCACACACTGAGGGTGATATTGCACTGCGTTCATTGCGCACGTTGCGTGCCATGTGGAACCTGCCGGCACGCTAGCTTCTCAAATTGAGAACTGCAACATTACATGCTCAGTCCCATGTCTGGCAGGACACCAAAGCCTTCAGTTATCAAAGGTTACATCGCAGTGATTTCTTTATTTTTCACACAGTAAGTTACCACCATTTATCTTTTTGAGTTATTGGCACTATAACAAAACAATTGTTAACTGCTGTGATGTGGGATGTGCCGTTTTCACCTCGGGTGCTATGCGTCCCTCGGGTGTTAAAAATGTCATATACCACATCACAGCAGTCAACAATTGTTAATTATTGCACTCATTTTGAAATGACTTTACGATCTAGTCAATAAAGAATCAATCATAAAGTTTGCCTGTCTGAAACCAGAACTTATTTGAGTCGACTAGAGTTGCTCCTAATACAGGCAGGCAACTGGGAATTTAGAAAAAAACAAGAAATTCCAAACCACACAAGACTTTGTACAGTATTATTCAAGTTGTAATGGTATTCATGATGAGAGGTAAAAAACAAAGGAAATCAGCAGATCCAAGGAGAAGTTGCATGCCTGCGTAATACTACTTGGGTTGGGTAAATCTGGCTATTCCGAAACAGTTGTTGGTTTGTTTCCTCATTTCCATGGTGATATAACTCCTGGCAGTACCTTACCTTCATTTGGACCTCCTGTTTGCGTGATTTTCCCCCGGCAATAGCCACAGATCTTGGCTCGGATGGTTCTTCATCACTGCTACTAGTTCCTTCTGAGGAGGATGGCAAGTCACTGTTTGTCTTAGGAGAGCCAGCAGCGATGAGTCGCTCAGTGATGATGCGAGCTGCAGATTTCTGGTCAGCGCTGCTATTGAAAAAAAACAACCAAATGATGCATCAGTACACATGAATGCTTCGGGATAACATAGGTGATACTGTGTGAGATATCTGGGAAAACCTTTCAGAATTTTAAAAATCAGTGTTTTGTTATCATATGAAAAGATAAATCTGGAGTAAAACCTTCCACTAATAGATTGATGATTGTTCTCAATCAACCAGGTAGTTGAATATTACACTGAAATAATATAATCCAGTCAACTGGACTCACTGTTTAAACTTGTGACGGTTTCACGTCTTATCCCAGACGCTTCTTCAGGCGGACTGATCTTCTGGCGGCAAATGGTTGATGACCAGTGACAGGGTCAAAGAACTATCAAATGACCGACACGGGTCATCAACCATTCGCCGCTAGAAGATCAGTCGGCCTGAAGAAGCGTCCAGGATAGGACGTGCAACCGCCACAAGTTTAAAAAGTAAGTCCAGTTGATGAGTTTGTATTATTTCAGTGTAACTTCCACTAATACACCAATCCATATGCCGTGTGCACGCATGTCAGACTTTTGGGCACGCATGTTGGACATTAATTAGGGCTGTGATTGGTCAAAGCATCATGGGGCGATTTTCGCAACAGGCAAAATTTTCCGGCCATTTTCTGATATACAGCCAAACGCGACAAATATTGATTCGCAAGAGTCATTTTAACAGTATTTGTATAATATTTGTTGCCAAAAACTCATATGTTTCAATACTCGGAGGTGTGCACTGGAGCGTAAATTGTACAACAATAGACTGTGCAAAATGGTCAATTCGAGATAAACACACAGTCCGCCTCCACAGACTTCATGGACTTTGTGTGTGTGTGTGTACAAAAAAGGCACAAGGGATTAGTGTGTTTAGACGTCACCTGGTGGTGAGTCGAGGCAATCTTGACATGTTGACCCGTCAGCCATGCCTGTATATAAAAACAGCCAGTGTGTGTTATCACGTCCTCCGACGCAAACTGGTTAATAGATCAATCTAGTCCTTCAACATCAACCAGAAGCTTTCCGAAGATTTGGAATTCATGATTACAGTGGAACGTCTCTATACTGAACACTGTCCTTGACTCCCGATTTGTGTGTACAAAATGTACCGAACATTGTTGTTGAAAATTGTCAACATAAGAGCAACAAGTGGCTATTATTTCCCCAAGGAACAGAAGGGGAAAGCCACCCATCGATGTAGGTAGTAAGCTCAAAAACTGCGTAATTACATAATTCATTAGTCGGCACGTGTTTGAAGTTGTCTTTCAGTAACTACCAGGCGTGCACGGTGAAGTTCTGAAGGGCGCTATTTGTTGAAAATGAGTACCGGAGCACCGGCAGCTCAAAACTGCTATACTGAACGATCGCTATCATGAACAATTTCTGTGGATCCTGTGATGTTCGTTATAGCGGCGTTCACTGTACTTGTTTTTTGGAACATTTGTTATGTTACATGGGCCTGGATCCTCCGTAATTGAATGTGCCATTACTTTTCTCAATAGCAGTTGATTTTGAAGTATTTAAGAAAATTTCCAGCAATCGATCCTAGAAAGTTAGAGTTAATGGTGAAAAAAGCATCAAACTAATGAGTGTAAGATAAAATGCTGCAGATGTTCAACATTGGTGTTTTTTTTTATCCTGCACATTATCTATACCTGTCTAGTTCCTCTTTTGTTTTGGACTGGCTAACACGCACTGAGAATGGGCTGTAGTTTTGGGCCGTCTTTGGCATGAAATCCCTGCATAAAGGAAACACAATTAGAATGCAAAAAAAGTTAATAATCACTTTGAATCATGATGCTTGTTGAATGCAGTAATGCTGCCCTCTGTCATGATAGTGACGACTGACTTCTTTTCATGTAGCTAAATCATTTGGGTGAAATTTAGTCCACTTATTATTGTGGCTTGGGATAATCAGAATAAGAGACAAATTTTAAAGCTTGAATCGTTTCTCCAAACAGTACTTTTTTATCTTAATCTCTTCAGTCCAAAAGACTCTTTTGACCACTGTCGAGAGCTCCTTGGGAGAGACATTGTGTGTGCACACATTCATTCGTGTAGGGTGATGTACACAAACAGTTTCTTAATTGAATGTGTACAAACATGTCTTCATGTGAGTGCCAGTCATAGGGCACCAATGCACACAAGTGTGTCTCCCATTGTGCACGTCAGTGGTCCCTCCAAACTCTCTCCATATAACCGTTGAGGGGGTGCTTGTTCACGGAGTCCTTACCCAGAATGCCCAGTTATGTCACATACATTCAGATCCAGCAAACAGGATATCTTTTGTTAAGGGGATCAGTACACACACTAAAGGCAGTTCCTACTAAGTGAAGTCAGGTTGAATTAAACGTCACAAAATGTTTGCTATGAAAATCATAATGATGTGCATTAGGTTCAATGTTTGGAGATTTGTAGATTTGACATTTTTGCTATGTCATAAATCCACATTCACCCTTGCCTTCCTTTGAGTTACAAAAATGAACTGGTCATCTGTGGGATCTAGAGATCAGAATAGCGCAATGACACAGTCGTGAAAGTCACAATTTGCATTAAATGAATGTAACTACATTGAATGTTGTATCATAGATACGCAAAATCAACTTTGAGAAAATAGGCTTTAAGAGCTCAAAGCAAATTCAAGGGCGGATTCAGAACACAATTTTTTTTGGGGGGGCCCAAAAAATTTTGGTTCCCCAAATAATGGGTCAAAAAAATGTACTGTGTGGGATCGGGGCCCGCTTAAGTGCCCCAAAATTTTTTTTGATTCTAGATGCTCTGTGATGTGATCTGAGGCATTTTCTGACCACTTTAACCATTGTTTTTGAGGAAAAGATGGTGGTGTACTCACTGCCTGCCTCTATTGCGACGTCACTTAAAAAAAAACGGGTTCGTTTTTTTTTGGGGGGGGGCCATGCATGCATGGCACCCCCCCCCCCCACACCCGGAGCTGCCCTTAAGCAAATTTTGCAAATTCAGTTTCTCCTTACCTGATCGAGTGAGGCATGTTACTGCAGAATAGTTCCTGAAGTGAAGTCAGTTCACACGGCCGGTAGTAGTCAAAGTATGGATCGGTGCATTCAAGAGCAGGGGTGGACTGTACAATGAGGGACTGGTCCTGCTGACTAATGGACTTTTCCACTTCATTGTAGGGGAGCGGGAGGGCCTGGGTGATCTTAATGTCAAACCACTGAGTGCAACTGTATGCAGAGGGAAAGGCATGTGGGTTAATCATTAAATAGTTCACAATACTAATCGTGGCAGGCTTCCTCCACCTTTAAGGTGATGAAATAATGTGACTTTTTTCATGACCAACTTATGAATATGCAGATAAAACTATAAAACCTGTTCCGTTAAGTATACAAATCAGATTTCCAATGCTGAATCATTTTAAATCATTGGTCATTTTTACAAATTTACAGGCCTGGAAATTGAAAATAAAATACCATGTAATAAAAGAGTCATGTAGTGATTGAGGATGCTCAAGTGACAGGGGAGAGTAGGGTGAGTTTGTTTCTGCATTCAATAGGGCATGTTAAACAATAGAGGACAATAGGGTCCCCAATTCCCGAAGGTCCCCAATTGGCGATGTGTACAAAACATATGGGAGGTCTTCCTAAAAAGTACAAACAAAAGAGGGACAATAGGGGGTCCCCGACTTCAGGCAAATACACACTCGAGTGGGGAAGTGGGGGTAGAGAGAAGGGGGTAGACTCTGTCCAGCACCACATGAACCTTTCTTCAATTTGCCTGAATCAACTACTGCTCAAAAAATTCGACATCATTCAAAATCAACTGATTTAAGCCAAAAACCTGCTACAAAAAGAACTTCATAGTCAAAATCAGTTTATATATAGGTTATAACAATGTCACTGCCGGGTTATTATGTTTCATACACCGCAGCTACTACTAGAAAAAAATACTTATCTCGAATGAATACCTACATACAAATAAATACAATACATACAGGCATATTATTGAGACTTATTACACAAGTCTACTGACCTGGGCCTGTTCATGACCTGTCCTGCAGCTTCACTGTGATGGAGGTAGTAATCCGTGGGCAGATCCCAGAGACTGGGCCCCCTCCAGTGCGGTTGATACACACCCAGGAAGAGATTCAAGGCACTCTGCTTGTCTGCATCTGTTGGAGTACGGTTGGTAAACAGTCCAGGTTACAAATTACAACTGAGGGTATATAGGGATTTGCCTTCAAGATCATTTTATTTGAATATCACCATTTTATTTCATATGATGGCTTCATTTTGAGTGAGTAGCACAATAAGCCCCCTCCCCAACTTAGTTTACAAATATGAAAGGGAAGCTACTTGTAGCCAGGTGTAGTTAAAGACTGAAAAGTTGAGGCTGCAGAAGTCTTTTTAGTCGAATATTTTAATATTTTTTGAACTTTTGGAGATTACATGTGTGAGAAAATGTCATTCCCTCCACTTATCACCTACCTGAGAATGTATTGCTATAGTAACGAGACAAGGTCTGTTTAATATCCCGTGAGTGACTGGTCCACGGTGATAGTTTACGGTAGGTACGGATGCTGTGAACCAGCTGTGAACCACCATACTGTAGAGCCAAGGTATCTCCCATATCCTCATACAAATCTTCCAACATCCTAGGAAAAAAAAAGATTCACAAATTCCTCTACTGAATGCCTTCTGTATTGCACAGATTGGTTAGTATTCCAACTGAAAGATATGCTTGAAGGTACAGTCAATCATTTGCAGCTATCCAAAAAGTAAATGACGCAATTATTGTTGAAAAGCATACTTGGTTGAAAGATAGTAAGGGAACTAAACTCCCTGTGAAATTATCCTTTCTGGCAAGCTGTCATTTTGAAGAAATCCTTGAAAGAAGGCCTTTTCAACGATGAGTCAAAAGATGCATCATTGGAAATTTCTGTTAGAAGTTCGTTGTTTTATTCGGCGAAGCGCGCGCAAGTGTTGACACGACGCACACGTGCAAGCGTTTGCTATAATTCGTCGGTTCAGTGCGCGACATCGCGTGGCTGCAATCGGCTCAGTGGGAACGTGTACAAGACACTGAATTCAGGCCCAATTCAAAACATGACTTACCAACTTTTGATTTGAAATCGAGATCCTAGAATATTGTTTTCTCAGAATATACAGCATTCACTGAGCTGAAACTTCATCAGATTAGTTGTTCAGCACCCTTCTTTAGATTTTGAGCACTTTTGTTGCTTCAAAAGAGCATAATGCACAAATTACAAATGATGGACGCTACCTTTAAGACACAACACGCGCGTGTACTGTTTCATGTGTGTATGGTATGAAGTACACATAACTTAGTTTTATTTGAATGTTCAATGGAATAGCCACAATTTCTACACAATAATGCAACGTATCTTACCTGACAGCATCAGTGTCAAATTCAACGGTTGGGCTGTCCAATACACCAAGACAGAAGAGCTATAGCAAAAGTTACGACAAATAACACAACAGGTCAATATACTTCCAACTGTTTTGTAAGATGTTAAATTCCAAAAACTGGCTTTGTTCACATTGTTGCCCTGTGGCTATGGACAAACAAAAGTTACTGTTATGTAGAGGAATGTTTAGCTTATTTTTCCATCTTGTGCTTACACAATGTGGGTGTGTTCTACTGAAAAAAAATGAAAACACTGCAAAGTGGCAGTGCTCAGTAAATCGAATGCAGTGAGGAATTGGTTACCTAGATCCTTTTGGAATTGGGCTCACTAAGTAAAAATACCTCGGTGAAGGGCAAAACCCAATATTGAATTGATATAACCCAGACACATAAACATCTCATGAATTATTGGGCTCCAGTTTGGCACATACAAATTGTTGAGTTGATTGAACAGAATAACCAAAGTATGATGGCATTGGCAGCCAATTGGTTTCCATAGAGAACACATACAAATAGACCATATTTTGTAGTAAATGGAGTGCTGTAACAGCAAGGACACCATTGAGGGGCAACCAACAAAAGTGAATTTTGAGTTTTGAGAGTTTACATGTTGATATAATCTTAAAAATAACTTTTGTACTAACTTACACCCCACAAATTCCCAGTGCTCTCCCCACACGTGTCCCCCTAACAAAAACACAACAACAAAAAACAGAAATTTGCTGCACTTGCGTGGCCAGTCGGTGCTCTGGAATTTGGTGGAAATTTTCTTGTGGGTCCAACCTTGGTGCCCCCCCCCCCATAATATTCTGATGTCTTCACCTCCCTACTAAAAAATAATCCTGACTATGCCACTAGTTCATACCCCCAAAGCTGCATTGTTACAGCGCTTTCATTTAATACTAAAATATATGGCGGATTACATTGCAGTAGCTGCTCTTACCTGATGGCCCAGTGCATATTTGCCGATGACAAACTGAGCAGTATTCGTGCGATCTAAGCAGTCTACACAATTGGTTCTAGCAGTGCCGATCTGCTTGATAAATGTGAAGGAATCATCAGCATTCGGGTAGACACACCTGCAAATCAATGACATATTAGCAATCAGGAACTGAAACTAAGACTTTGAAGAACAGTTGGGAAGTCATGAAAGAAATGGATCAAAAGAATGACACCAACACAATTCCTTTTTTCAAAAAGTGTCTTACATTTGGAATGCTTGTCATGCTTGTAACGTTCCACCAGGGAATGTCACTGTGGTTATAATTACATTATACACAGAACCTGTTGTACTCTGTTGGTGTTTCTGTCCTCGGGATGTATGCAATACAAGAGCCCACACACACACCCTTTGCATTTTACAGTATAGTATTATTTGCTTCCACCAGGAATGTTCCATGTTAAAAAACGAATGAAAATATTCTAGGTAAATTCACTAGAAAACTAAGATATACAGTAAACTCTGAACTCCGGCCAAGGAGACATCGTACAACTCGCCAAATCGCTCAAGTCGACTGTCATTTCCATTGACATTTTTATTTCTAAGCCGGCTTTTATAAGTTGCTATTTCGTACAAGTCGGCGTGTTACTCTCTGTCTCCTCTCTGTCAATTTAACTTACCACATGCGCATTCAATTCGTAACTGTACACGTACATCTGTACGGACGGTACGATCAATACCACATGCGCGCATTTTGATTCATAACTGTACACGTAAATGTATTGTACACGTGGTCTCCACTATAGTACCTTGAACGGACGTATGATCAATATCCCAGCCTGTGATGATAAAAATCGAGGATTAATTTGCTGGATTCATCAAGCATTAAGGAGATAATCCAAGGTAAATCGAAGCCAATAATATAGTGCAATGAATCATATGTGCATAGGCCATTCATGTAAGTCAGCAAACTGATGACTTACAGCAGATGTCGGCATTCGCGTAAGTCGTCACAAATGTTCAGGTCCCGAGAGTGCCGACTTGGCCGGAGTTAACTGTCAGTTCATCACTGCTGATTTATTTTTCCACAAAGATGAAATTGGTGATTTCTCTATTGCTTTCTGCCATTCTAAGTTTCACTGGTTATTTACATTCACGCCTTTTCAAAATGTGTGTGTTGGGGGTGGGGAGGGGGATTGACTATTCTTTGTTTTGGTACCTTGCTTGCGGTCTGACTGGTAGGCTTGGTTCCATGTGAGGTCCACTCAGGAATATCCCAGTCTGTCTGACGACCATATCAGCGATAGTATCCAGCCTCTTGATCACATTCAGGTTAGGGCTGTGGATTGGAGACAGCAGAGAATTATTTCAGATTGCGACTAAGTACATGTAAGGGGTGATGACACTTATACACATCTAGCTATGTCCAGATGGAAGAAATGTATGGAGTGCCTAGGAGGCTACATGTTACACTTATTAGCATAAATCTCTTACTTCTTAGTGTATCTTGCCATGTCCAAGGCAATGTATTGTATGGAGTGCCTAGGAGGCAAGAACTGATTCAGGTACTTGATGGCCGACACCAGCTCCTCACTCAAGATGGCTTCTCGCTTACGCTTCTCCCGTTTCTAAAGGAACAAAAAAAGGAATTTTTTTTTTCAGTCATACATCAGACCCTATCTCCTAGTAGTTGAAAACACTTACTATACAGTAGGAACAATTGATAGACGCATAACTTTAGGGTTCAAAAGCTTCTCTTCTGCCTCTCCTAAAGCTAGAAGTAAAACACAACCCCTTGGGAGCATCCACTGCAAGCCCATTTTGGTGACTACATAATAGGGCTGAGTCAATTCGAATAATTGAATATTCGAATATTCGACCATCCAATCGATCGAATATTCGAATATTCGGTTATTTGGCCATCCCAAATTCCCTCAAAAGCAAAAATATGCCATACATGTACATGTAGTCAACGTACATGTGTACGTGCGCACGTCAGCATGCCATGCATGATTTCTTCACAGGTAAGTCAGGTATTTGACAACAATCAGTTGTTCTTCAGTCGTCAGTAATTTAAAGATTAACACTAATCAGAGAAGCTAGAGTGAAGGATTCCTTGTTTGCATGGGGGACGTATTAAGCCGTGAACCCCAAACACGGCGGGTGGCGTCAGCTATTGTGACTCTCCGACCCTTAACTCGCAAACAGGAACCAAGCATATCTACTACTGGAAGCTTCTTGAAGTCTACAAAACGGTGTACTTCCTAGTCACAGTATTGAGGATAAAAAAATCACTTTTATAATAATAACTCGCACTTTTGTCACCAAGAATTGAGGAAATGATTTTATATCATTTTAAATAACTTATTCTCAACAACCAAAAACTCCAAGAAAAAAACCTATGATATTTAATGTCTTTATTCAATGAAATATGGGTCTTTGAATTGTAAATGCATATTTAAGTTTATGCAAATAATGGGCGTGGGCGCGGCATACACACGCCCCAGCTTGACACGTGCAAAGCAGTATTTCCTTGTTTGCCCACAGGGGATGTATTATAAGCTGTGTACCCAAAACACGAAGGGTGACATTTCAGCAAAAAAAATAAAAAATCGCCGGCCGAGCTCCGGCGGGCGCATTGTTGGCGGGCTAATTAGGACACAGGTGCGCTGACCCGGTTCTTTTGTCTGGCTAAGTGCGTGCTCTGGAGATAACTTTCTAACAAATAGGCCACTAAAAGGTTTGGATATTCCAACTTGCAACATTTTGATACATTTTGTCTAGCTGTGGTTTTCTATGCTGGGAATCAGGGGTACGGTGCGGTGAGTTGACCGCAAAGTCTGTCTGGCGAAATAAATGAGAGCTCTTTTGAGTTCCTCTCTGTTGTCTGCCCTTTTTCTTGCGTTTTGCTCGACTTGGAGGACATAAGCCAGAGGTTCCCGCTATTATTACTGAAAGTATAATTGCTGAACTAGTTTTTGAAGTGTTTATGTATGTTTTATTTGTGCAAATATTGAGTGCAATTAGCAGACTAACCCAGTGAACAAAGCTGACGGACAGCGAACGAAAATGTGTTTGATAAAAGGGTGCTCTGATCAGTTGAGAGACCTAGATTATTTTGTACATGTACATGTATATAATTACGGAGGCATTGAGGCGAACATCTAACAGCCATAATAAATTTACCCCTAAAAGTAAACAAGAAATTCTTTTAGAAAAATCCCAGAGTCCGTAACGTAAATGAACCAAGTTTTCAAAACGTTTTAATGTAATGTTGCGGTTCATGACAAGTTTTCTACAACACCGCCACGTGCTGTGGGCAGCATACTGCGTGCAAGGCGATTCCCTGTAACCACGTGCATTCGACACGATTGAACAGGCGATGGAAAACTTTGGGGGGAATTGGCTTCGCTGTATCAGTGTAATGTACCGCTTCTTGTGCGACCCTGTGCGAGCAGTACGTCCTCAAAATAAGTACATGAAAACGGAAAATACAAAGGCCCACACAGAAAAAAGAAATCAAGTTCTTTGCATGAGATTGCAGAGGTCTTCTACATCGATGTTGGCATGCCATTTTGGCGATGTCAATAGCCGATCCAGTAAGCCCCTCCCACTGCGCACGTGGGCAAATTAACACGTGCTCCTCTCCAATGCCACGCTGCATTTTCATATGCTGCACACATGTACATGTAACACCAACGCGCGGGGAAACTTGCCAGGATCGCATCGGGGAAAACAGCGGCGGTTTTCTTTTGAAAGTAGGGATTGTAAGGAGGACAACAACAAACAAAAATACGGACAACGGAAACGTTACTACTCATGCTAGAAGTTTGATATGAAAAGGTGTCACGAAGTGTTTTGTGAAGACATGAAAGACAAAATGTCTTGTTTATCTTGTCGGAAGCATCAGCGATTGGTGTTGCAGTCCGGCGTTAAAAAATGGGTTGGCTTTACTGCAAGCACTCCCAAAGCAGAAGTACTATATGTATGGCATTATTGCTTGGCATATATACAAGCTACTTTTATGGGTTTTTTTGGCAGCAACTTGAAACTTAACTTTGAGAATACACTTTTGTTGTTAAAAAAAAAAAATTTCTACCTTTTTATTTCATTGCATATCACCACCGAATATTCTTATTCGAAAATAAATATTGGAATATTCGATTATCGATCGAATAACCGAATATTCGAATATTCGGCACAGCCCTACTACATAATACGTCTTTGTTATCAGTCAACTTAGTCATTACAATGTATGTGCCCTGCCCAACACGCATGCGCATATGCATCCACTGCATTGGTAGGCACTGTAATTGTCGTCCTATGTAACATTGGGTCATATGATTGCCGACAGGCAGACCAGCTTCCAAAACGTCTTTCATGTGTTAGTTTCCCAAGTTTCACAGTAAATGTCATTTTTAAAGTACCCTTGTTTGAAGTGGTACACATTCAGTGCAGCATAGCATAGGTTGCTGATAGTCGGCATCAAGTGACTACAACATCCAATGTTGTGGAAAGGCAAAGCGACTGAGCTTGAACGGGTTCACATTACTTGATACATTATTGAATCACCTTGACAAGGTTGATGACAATGACTGGTGATCCGTATCGTCCTAGCATCTGATTGAAATGACCGCCAGCAAACCGGGCATAAGGATCAGCCATGTCCACTGATATCAAATAACAATGGATAAATTAATGTCAGTACTTTATTAATACATGTGCTATTGCATGTCTTGCTGCTAAAACCATTAAAGTGATTGCTGATCATATGCTGCATTTTAAAACAACTAAGGCATCTACCGTTTTCCTGCATTTAGCAAAATTCAATCATAAGCAAAATTCCATGATACAAATATTGATTGGCTGCGGCACCCAACGCTATAAGTGAATGAACCTATGTTAACAGGAACAGAGTGCCCATCTCTAGTTCGTTAGCGATTGGGCCAGACTCATATGCTGCTGTGGGGGGATCGCCACACCTCCTCCACAGCGAGTCTGTTACCTTCCCAGCATTGAATAATGCCGGTACCCATTTAACACCTGGGTTGAGAGGAGTAATTGAGGTAAAGCGCCTTACTCAAGGGCACAACCTGCATGGCCATGGCAAGGCTTGAACCCACAACTTCACGATCATGAATCCTGTGCTCCACCGCTACATGACGAAAACGGCCGTCTTAAGAAAGTGGCTAGTTTCACACACCATTTTGGACCTCTGTTGGGAGCCCCTGGGGAACCCTTAAGTAAACAAAACTCCCCTCCCTGCTCCACAGTCCCAGTGAGATAATCACTTGTGATTAAATGAACTACCACCTGTTGGCCACACTGCTTTCTGGAACTATACTTTCTGGTGCTGGTGGTTTATGCTAGCATAGCAGTAAAAGATCGTTCTCGGCCATTTATTTACCGATTTTCACAGTTCAACATATAAAACAAGTCAACATTTCAGGAACATCATCATAATAAAACTTTTAGATTGAATTTAGCAACGAAATAATATGCTTGAAATCTCCCAGGCAGAGTGACCTTCGCTCCTTTATGGAACCAATTATAGGATAAGTGCGGTTAAGAGTCTTAATCCCCCAGCGCAAACTCTTCAAAATGGTGTGTCCCAACCCGAGTGGCCTATATGGTAGGTCGGGTAAGTCTTAAGAGGAGTGTTCACCTCATGAGACCACACGTATCCACCCAATCCTATATCAGATTTGAAACCAGCCAACCAAGCCCACCAAGCCCACCAAGCTCATTGGTGTAGTGGTAAGACGTCTGAACTAGTAAGCAGGATGTCATGGGTTCGAGTCCCACCTAAGTAAGCTTGTGAATTTTTTTCTCATAAGCCCTCGGACAACACTGAAAAAGACCACGCACTGAAAAAAAACCCCACTTCTTACAGTTGATTGGCGGTTTTGGCACCATGTTGGAGATATCCTGAGACCACATCCCTGGCACTGAGCCACGGACTTGAACAAAGGATGTATAGCGCCCTCGCTTGAATTGTGTCAGCGATGCATCTTGAACAATCTGTTCAGTCTCCACCTCATTGGCAACATATCCCTTAGTCAAGAACAGATTGGAAAAAAAAATCTATTATCAACAAAACTTAATCATGTTACAAAGTGCAAGTTGGGGTAATGTAGTAAATATTTATAGAAATACAAATATGGAAATGCTACAAATGGTTCTGAAGCAATGATGAATGCATTAGATATCAAACATTTTGGCGTGTTTTTTTTAGGTGTTTCGAAACTTGGAACCGGAAAGAGCTTTCCTTGATCCACTACCTACTAACAGTAAGCCTTTCTGGCTTTGACATCACTGACAGATTAACACACACATGTAGCTTGCTCAACCCTGCAGACATAAACACATTGACTTGTGTACATAGCTAAGGTTATCACGGCAGGCAAGCTACGTCTGCTGGTCAGGTCACACACAGAAATGGGGGGGGGGGGGTGTGAAAGACAGAAGCACTAAAATCCATGTGTTCATCACGCGTTAAGTGTAGTGCTCTCTGCATGATGACTAAATATCAGTTGTTCAAAATGAAACACGCACATGTCCATGTATTGCCCTATCTGTACAGCGCTATCCGTTAAAATTTTACACGCTCCAGTTGAAACGGAAGACACATCCAATACGCTTAAGGTTTTTGTGTGAAACTGAAAGAAACGATGTAGTGGTGAGACACACGATGTATTGCTGGCTCTAAAACAATAGCAGTTTATATCTGAATCTTATTGTGAACTTTGAGCCTTGGTTTTTCATTTTGATAAAGATTTGATTTTCACATGCTCTATAAATTTGTGCTTTTACATCCATCAAGTGTGCAGAGAAAAAGAAACACGTGGATTTTCAGAGTACGCATCACGGATACGCAACTGGTAAACGCACAGCGCAATACACACATCAAAAGCGGACACATGGATTTGCAGTCTAAGACAATTTACTGAAACACAATAAATACTCTCAATTCTTATATCTCCTTTATTCATCAGTGTTTCAGAACAATTTGAAGATTTTTCCAAAAAGTACTTCTATAAACCTTTACTAGCAACTAAGATGGGTGTTGTGATCCTAAGCAAGGCACGTACTGGTATTATCACTCTCCAAATAGCTGTGAAATGGCATCTGCCAGAATGGTTGTGTAGGAGTATCTGCCAAGATGCTTATGTCCTTAAGCATGACAAATAATCTCAATTACCACTCCCTATCCAGTTAGCATAGGGAACCTCTCATAATTCTCATGGCAGTGGGTGTAAACTCACCTCCGAGTTGGCTCCTCTCTTCAGGAATCTTGTGCCGGCAAACTGATTGGACCTCCTAGCGATCAAAGCAATGTAGGTAGACCGACCAAAGGTGCAAATATCTGAGACAAAAGCGAGTTAAAGCTTGCCAACGTCTCTTGGAGAAAAAAATCAAATCATTTTTGCTTATCCACCAGGGTAACTGGCACGAACACTTTGTCTGTAATCGACAAGAGATTAGTTCAGTGCCTATGAATATTAGCAGTAGGTCTCCTACAAATGTGACTGTCCATTCCTAGTGAGACTTTGAGCAAAACCTAAGTAAAGTGAAGACACAGAACAAACCAACTTCCACATTCCATGACATAACAGGAAACCCAAATGAGCTATTTGTTTTCAGAAAGGATACTGACTTGACCAATGAAGCCATGTATGATGTAAGCCACCCAATCAGGGTGCACGTCCTTGCAAGCCTGGTCCCATAAGAAGGCATTCCACACATACTTCATCACTGGCTGAGGTCGGTAAACTCTTGGACCTGTAGAGTTGAAAACAAAATAGACATTGCTTCCACACTGAAGTTTCTATTCACGTGATGTCCATATTAAATTGAAAGCGAAGAAAAATATTCACTTTTGGAACTTGCAAATAGACATGAAAGTAATGAAATAAATTTCATTACACATTAATACTAGACTGCTCTGATGAATAATTAAAAGTTTGTGATTAATTTACGAGGTACTTTTTAAGCCACATTTAAAAAAATTGAAAGTTAGGCTTGGAATGCATAAATAGTCAGGCACCATCCCATTCAACTGTTTACAAATGATTCAAAGGCCTATTTTACACATACGCATTTTTGCCCCAACGACCGTGTCACACGGTAATGTGGCACACGCGCGTGTGAACAAATACGCGATATATTGTGCAATTTTTGAAATTATTAGCGCTGAATGGTATTGAAAAACGTGGCAATTTCCTCCCATAAATTATGTTGTCCATTCTTTTGATGTCTTTGATAGATGTGTTGTACAATTCACGATATTTCTCCACCTCATCAGTTAAGGCACTTGTAAAATACGTACAACGTATACGAAGATGTTTTTTGTCGCACGATAAAATCAAATCGAATTTGATTTTAAAAAATCGTGCGAAAAGTCGCACGACTTTGTCGCTTAAATGTAAACACGCTCATTCACACCTGCAAATTAATTTGTGCGTGTATATAAAAGTGCTCGACACTATCGCTCGACAAAATCGCATATGTGTAAATAATTCAGGAAACACAATCAAAATGGCCTTCTTGTGAATAAGATCTATAAGATGATTCTTTGAATCCGTGGATACATTTGCAGTAATGTGTTACTGACTAGCAAAGAAGAGCTACGCACAAGATACGTGCATACTGAGTGCATATGTTATGGTAGTGATATTACATCACAACTATAGAAATGGCTCAACTATAGGACAGTCCCATCTATAGTTGGGACAGTCCCATCTATAGTTGGGGCAGTCCAATCTATAGTTGGGGCAGTCCAATCTATAGTTGGGGCAGTCCAATCTATAGTTGGGGCAGTCCAATCTATAGTTGGGGCAGTCCAATCTATAGTTGGGGCAGTCCCATCTATAGTTGGGGCAGTCCCATCTATAGTTGGGACAGTCCAATCTATAGTTGGGGCAGTCCAATCTATAGTTGGGGCAGTCCAATCTATAGTTGGGGCAGTCCAATCTATAGTTGGGGCAGTCCAATCTATAGTTGGGGCAGTCCCATCTATAGTTGGGGCAGTCCCATCTATAGTTGGGGCAGTCCAATCTATAGTTGGGGCAGTCCCATCTATAGTTGGGGCAGTCCCATCTATAGTTGGGGCAGTCCCATCTATAGTTGGGGCAGTCCCATCTATAGTTGGGGCAGTCCCATCTATAGTTGGGGCAGTCCCATCTATAGTTGGGGCAGTCCCATCTATAGTTGGGGCAGTCCCATCTATAGTTGGGGCAGTCCAATCTATAGTTGGGGCAGTCCCATCTATAGTTGGGGCAGTCCAATCTATAGTTGGGGCGACCCTAACTATGGTTGAGATCATCCCAAATAGTTAGGACCATGCTATAGTCGGGGTTTTCCAGTAAATTGTAATACATTTAACACAAAAGAAAGTAATATCTTACTAAGCGGTGAGTCCATATTGTCTGGCACACCAATAACTGGTGTGAGATTGTGCTGAAGTGTGTTAGTCAGATCATAGCTGTAACTGTCGATCAAACAACACACAAATCGAATTGCAGATCACACAGACAAGAATAGACTTTTGTGAGGTTAACCCTTACTCTCTGAGGGTAGTTTACTGCATGTCAGTTGGTTATGCCAATGCCCTCCAGCTGCAGTTAATTGGAGGATAAACTATCTTGACTGTGAAGGCTCCAATTGGCAGGAGTTGGAGGCCCTGGAGGGTGCCTGATACTGACCAGCTGGGGGGCACTCACTTTGTTATCAGAGGACTCTCATTGTTCTCTGTGGCATGTATTGGAGTGCCTGTCCAGTTACCCTTGAAATGACATGGCAGATATTGGAGGGCCATGCAAAAAACATAGGAGATTTTCTTGAGGCACATATTGGCATGCGTTGGAGGGTCTAGTAGGGTAAGGGTTAATGCAGAATTAGAAAGTTCACTTTGACATTAGCCATGTTAGCATTTTACGCTTATTCTGGTTTTCTGTGTTAGATTTGATGAAATGCAGCTTACCTGAAGTAGAAGTTACTTGACAAGTCCACATTTTGAAAGTTTCGGACATACCTGAAAAAGATATTTGCAAACTAATCACCACCATTAAATAACTTTTAAAACATTTCATACGATTGAAAGAAAATGTCCCAAGACCTACAACCAATTTCAGGGCATTGCTTAATGGTACAATGTATGTGGAGAGAGTTTTGTTAACTGTAGCAGGTGGAGCTGTGCTAGTCGCAACTCATGGTTTAGATAAGGCCAATCAACATTGATTTTTGGGTTTTCATTACCGCCCGCCTCAATTTTCACTCCCGCCCCTGATTTTTTTTTTAGTTTATATTTTTTTCTGAAAGTGTTTTTTTTCCTCAAACAAGTGTATTTTCCAGAAAAGTTTCTCACCAAATTCACAGGCACTGTCGCACTGATTTGCATGCAAACACTGTGCATGACATACTGAGCACATCACGCGAATTCATAGTGCTAATTATAATGCATACATCATCGTATAGTCGGGAACCTTGACGATTTGATGTGGTATTGATATGACAACGCTCAAGGCACCACACAGAATTTATTATGTTAATGCAACACATCATCATATAGTTGGGAACCATGATGTGTCGATGTGGTATTGATAAGACAACGCTCTAGGCACCATACAGTGAGAGATGTAGTACAGTACTCGTGGTCGTAAAGTTTATAAAGTTCAAAGTTTGACATCTAGCTGGCATGGCAAGGGTAGGCCAACTGTTGCGTTGTTTGTTTGAACACTCAGTCAACTGTAAACCTACATATGGTCTGCTATAAACTGTGAGGTTCATTGCCCTTTCTGAATTCTAGACACAAACCCTAGGTCATTAAACAGCTGAGTGGTCTTAATATCAAGTAGTTTTCTAGTTTGTTGTCTTTTTTTAGGTTTATCTGATGACGTTGTCTCCTCAATTCACTTTGAATGAGAAGAAGTGGAATTTATAAAACATAAAATATAATTCCCCTCCCGACCGATTTTTTTTCAATCGTGAGTGCTGCAAACCTAAAAATCAATGTTGATTGACCTAAGGCAGTTCTTGAAAAGGATAATCAATTACAATTTTACATATATATTTATAACTTGACATACTTTGCCTCATCGGGGTGTGGCACCTTCGCAGCTACACAAGCATCATTAGGAATGTAAACCATGCTGGAATCCTCTATCTTGTAGATGGTATGACCTCCTATTATGGCCACTCTGGAAAAAAACCAAGTAATACTTTAAGACTAATCCAAGCGTTGCTGATGTTTTGCAAACCTGGTGCATTACTTACACTTCTAAAGGACTAATAACGGTGCCAGGACTAGTCGTGGCACCATGACTAGTCACGGCATCACGACTAGTCACGGCATGACGACTAGTCACGGCATCACGACTAGTCACTGCACCACAACTAGTGAAGGTGCCATGAATAGTCAAGACGATACAACTAGTCAAGGCACCGGAACAAATCAAGACACCACGACTAGTCACAGCGCCACAACTAGTCATGGCACAACGACAAGTCACAGTGCCACAATTAGTCAAGACGCCACAACAAGTCTAGTCACATTGCCTAGTTATGGCGCCACGACTAGTCAAGGACCACAACTAGTCAAGATGCCATGACTAGGCATGACCAGTCAAGAAACTATAACTAGTCAAGACTAGTCACGGCACCACAAGTCACAAAGCCACAGCTAGTTAAGATGCCATGACTTGTCATGTCGCCATCACTTGTTATGGCGCCATGACTGATGACTAGTCAAGGACCACAACAAGTCAAGATACCAAGACCAGTCATGACTAGTCAAGACACTATAACTAGTCAAGAATAGTCACGGCATCACAACAAGTCACAGTGCCATGACTATTCATGGTACCACTAGTCACAGCGACACATTTTGTCAAGGCATAACTAGTCACTCCGCCACGACTAGTCATGGTACCATGACAATTTACAGTGACACAACAACATTTTTATGTCATCAAATATCAGTGTGTCAAGAACAGTATAACATGGAAAATAAATTGTACCTTCTTCGTTTTGTGATAAGTATGATGTAGTATCCTTCCAGGAAGCGGACAAACCCTACAACAACAAAAAAGAAACAAGTAAATCTTCCTAGAAAATAGATAGAGTAGGTCAAAGACAATATAAGCGGAAAGTTTAAGCATGTACATGTAACAGCTGAAGAAAGTCCTGTTTGATACATGTAATTCATTCTTTATTGTAATTAGATTACATGATTTATCATTTTGGAATGTGCCTATTACACATGATAAACTGATGAATTAGCCAAATTTGAAACCTTTAAATAACCAATATTGTCAAAGGTCACATATTAAAAAACGTGTTCAAACCTACCCAGTATGCCAAAGGCAGACACAGTCCGAGCTAGTCCAGCAGTGCCCTTCTGTCCTTGTTGCTTGGGCCGGTTGCCGACCTCCAAAGTCCGCAAGAGATTCTGAACTTCAGTGCGACTGTACTCAAGCTTGAAAAACAATTTAGAGAAAAAAATAAAACAATTATCAACGTCAGTTAAACAACATGATCTTTAGTCAAAATAATATTGATTACTACTACTACTTCCATATGTCAAGTACCCTACCTTGTCATCACTGATATGCAGCTCAAGAGGCTCTGTTCTGTCAATCTTCAACACTCTGAATATATCCTCGGTGTTGTTTGATCCAATCACGTAAAATCGCTACCAAAAACAATTTATAAAAATATTTCAATATAAACACAGTGCATCTTTTTATTGTAGTATAAATATACCCCAAACAATATTCAAGTATAATTAGCATACTAGGTACACTATATTAATTCTGAGAAACACAAAATTCTGTCTTCTGTTACACATGTAAGTATTTGTCATGCTTGTGTTCTGTGCATTCCCAAAAGGAATTGGATTGTTGTGGAGTGCTGTGGTCTCGTGGTTAAGGGCACTGGTTTTGTGGTCTGTGGGTTAAGCTGCAGGTTGTGTTTTGGTGCATGTGCCCTTTGGCAAGGCGCTTTGTCACTCATTGCTTCTCTCCACCCAGGAGTAAATGGGTACATGTGAGGGCAGAGATGGTTATTGTGATTGAATTAGCTTCCTTGAACCTAACAGGCAGCATCAAGCTGTATACTCCCCAGGGAGCTGAGATGGTATTTGGAATGTTTCATGAGCCCAATAATCAGGGGCAATAAAAATGTAAAGCACTTTGATCCTAGTTAAAAGCGCTATAAAAGAACCTGCTATTATTAAAGGAAAAAGTCTCAAATTAATTGAAAACGTAACAAACAAAGACAAAACTTACTGCTTTGGTTTCATACAGAACAATTTTCTGCAAGTTGCATATCATAATGTTGGCCATAGTGCACTAGCTGCAATGTCACTGCAACGCTGAGTACATCTAAGATCTGAAGCTGATCTGTTGGAGATTCACAGTGCTCTCTGTGGAAAAAAAAAGACCATGTTCAGGACAGGCCAAATTACAGACAAAACAAGGTGGTGGCGGGCACTCCATTCAATTCCCACTTTGCCACATTTCCAACTTTCTCCCATCATAGCAATTGGCACTGATTTTGTACTCGATACATGTACGTCAAGTAAAGCTGCAGTTGGTTAGACTTTTTGAATGACTCCATGTCAATATGACTCCAAAATCGACACCTTAAGTTTTTTCCTTGTTTTCAGCAAAATCTGAGGTATACATGTATGATGGTTAAAACGGGGTGACTTTGAAATGAAGAAAGGGGCATGGGCCAAGAACAATACTGCCGGTATTTGAGACACTTGACTCAAATACTGGACTGCTTCCGTGCTAACAATCCTGAAAAGTTGTGTTTCCTGAATTTGAAATCTATTCCTGAAATATCAGTTTGATATATGCATGTGGAATGCTTTCAGCATGCGGAATGCAGCGGGTATGCAGTCAACACTCGTGTACTGGTGCTACCACTAGTGCTTGCGTGGTCTTTTTTCATGTCCCGGTTAATGTACGAAGCATACCGTATTCAATAGGATACATCTATTGGACTACTCGATTCTAGCCCTAACCATGCTAACTACTCCTACTAGACCTTGGCGATTGCTCGGAAAGATATCAAAGTGTTTATCGGAACCTTAACGTTACCCGTCCATAGCCCCATAAATGTGGCCAATTTACTGGACTACCTCCGTAAATAAAGGCCACACTTGGAACATGAACCCGAAAATGTAGAAGTTTGTTAATTTCAGTTTGGAAAGATTCCCATATCTGGCCATCACTAATTTTCCCTTCAGTAACCTATCTGCCATCAGAAAGTGATAATATGCCTTAAAAAGTAAAATTTAGCTGGGGAAGTATTGAAGTTTTTACTAAGAAAACAGAAATGTTCGGACCAGTCCCATTGGGTTTGTGCACAGGGTGACAAGTGATGGCAAGATATTGGAATCTTTCATTTGATTTTCACATTTAGACATTATTTGTAGTTTATTTACACTTTAGAAACATACTCACCCTCCTCCTTATACATGTATCATGTAAATAGCAATAGAAAAGAAGTCCTGCATTTTTCATACGTCTACTTTTCAGGTAATTTCGTGTTGGAATTTAGATACGCAAACATGTGCAACTGAACATGGAAGTTACAGGAAATATAGACGTCTGAAAAAGGAGGGACTACTTTTCTATCGCTTTCAACTTTAAACTAGAAGGTAAGTGGGGTGCTTCTAAAAGAGTAAATAAACTACAAAGTGTAGTACTGTTGTGCGCTTTAATGCAATTTGCGCAATCTTAAGAATGAGCGCGCATTCTTAAAAAGGAGCGCACATTCTTAAGAATGAGCAAGCAATCTGAAGAATGGGCGCTCATTCTTAAGATTGCGTGGGAATATTACTTGCACAATTTATGACTTTTGTGCAATCTTAACAAACACTGCACGGCATTATTATGTTAAATTAGAGGTTAAGGGAAAATAATCATATGACATGTATGACGAGAAAAGAAAATGATCTATGCTTCTGTACCCGTTGAACTACGATAATTTGAATTCAATTAAGGCTGTTATTATTGTTTTTTTTCTGTCCCCCCCATGGGAAGTTTGTAATAACGGAGGACTGAGAAATACTCTGGAAAGTGCTTTGTTTAGGCTAGACAAGTTACAAGTCCCTCACCATACATGTACGCATGCTGAGTGATGAGGAACACGTTATCAGAATTCTTTCCACCAAATTAAATATGTCTCTTATTATGACAAATGACAAGAAAGCGCACAACAGTACAACTACAAACATGACAAACATTAGCCCCATAAATGTGGCCTATTTACTGGACTGCCTCCGTAAACATAGGCCACACATCCACATGTACAAAAAACGTGTCGACTTTGCCAAATTTAGATTTTCACATTTAGGCTTACTTTTTACGTTTTTTTTGCTTTAGAAGCATTCTCACCCTCTATATAGGCTAATCAGAAAGTGCTGCCTTTTTCAGATGTCCCTTTTTCGTGAAATTTCCAGATACATTTGCACACGTTTGCGTATCAAAATGAAATTTCACAAAAATTAAACATCTGAAAAAGGCAGCACTTTCTGATTAGCCTATTTAGAGGGTGAGAATGCTTCTAAAGCAAAAAAAATCTACAAAGTAAGCCTAAATGTGAAAATCAAAATTTGGCAAAGTCGACACGTTTTTTGTACATGTGGATGTGTGGCCTATGTTTACGGAGGCAGTCCAGTAAATAGGCCACATTTATGGGGCTAGACAAACATCTGAACATTGAAACAAAAAAAGTCTAGGCCTAAATGTGAAAATGCAACTTTGACAAAGTTGCATTTTCTACATTTCCGGGTACATGTTCCTTACGGAGGTAGTCCAGTAATTGGCCACATTTATGGGGTTAACCCGTCCGTGTAGCAGTGTAGTACATTTACAAAACAATGTAGTTGAGCTCACACACCAAAGAGTATCTTTGCCCATCAATCACCATCCATAATTGCATTAACTTGCTTGGAGTTTGACTTGATTGATCATGCATGTCATGTGCCGTCGGTGTGACGAGCGCCACCAAGAGGCCAAAAAAAAAGAAAAAAGGATTTATCTTTCCTTGGTACCCACCATAAAAAGTGACGGATCAAGATTAGGCCGGCGGAGGCTAGGATCGGATACCATCGACATGCATATGCAATACATATATTCATATTCTCCACGGAAACTGGGGAAGCGGCCAGACGTGCATGACCTGAGTTCGCTTGCGAAGTTTTGTGTCCAGATTTTATGAAATCCGATAAGTTTTGACAATTCGGTCAGCATGTCGTTTCGGCCGTTACCTATTCTTTTTATCAATCTGGGAGGGGAGATGCTGTACATTCTAGACCAGAGATTGCGGGCGCAAAACATCCCAATTGACAAGTCTAAGAAAGGTAAGCTAGCATGTAGCGATGTCGAGTGCAAAGTCATGAAAGTCATGAAAGTGAGTCCCCCGCGCAAGTTTAAACTTGCGCGCGCAAGTTTAAACCTGCGCGCACGCATGTTTAAACCTGCGCGCACGCAAGTTTAAACTTGCGCGCGCATTTATTTCCTTGCTACAAATTGCGCATGCAAGTTTAAACTTGCGCACTGCATAGATTTTCCCGGCCACGCATACAAAGCCGCTAAACTATTTTTCCCCCGGGTATACTCATGCAGATATGCAACATTATTTTTAAAGCAGATTTTTTTCTCCGATTTAATAGCATCACTGAGCTTCGGGAGACAATGCCTTAATGCCTTTTTTTGAAACATTTTATTAAATTCATTAATTAAATCATTTGCAAATTTATTTACTTTTTAAAATAATTACCATTTTATATGCATAGCGTTTTTTAGCTATACTGAGTGGAGCGTTGAATTACGGGTACCCCTCCATACCAACGCTCCACCGATTCGCCATACTTTGGTAGCACCATCACAGTAGCATAGTCACAAACCCACGCGAGGACAAAAAGACCCCAAAAAACCGGTAAAGAGATTACAAATGAGAGAGACAGTTATCCTGGATTGATCTATACATTCTTGACATTCCATGAGACCCCTTATATTGTTCCCAAACAGCGAACATTTTGGAAAATACGTGCTCCTTGGGTGAGTTCAAAGCCCATACTGTCGTACGGCGCGGCGCGGATCGGAGCACGTATCATTACACAAAACAGACGTTGATAAAGCGCGACTTGTTTTTCTTCGCGATCGAGCAACGACGGTGACGTCACGTTAACCCCACTAGTGTGGCCGTCGGTATGCTGCGCTGAACCCAAGGCCACACACCGTGGTCTGCGCACTACTGAGGACGTTTTCATAATTTCAACAGCGAATTTCTTACATATGGTTGTATTCTACGATGTCCCAACTTTCACTTCTGGGATGCTTGGGTGTAATGATGTTCAATTTTCCAAGATATTCTTGAATCTTTCTGGAGCCCATATGCACTCGTGAAACATCTGGTGATGGCAGCCATTTTGAATGTGACAAGAGATGACCCCAAGCTGTGACGTCGCGTTTATGCAAATTGCTTGTCGAGCGAGGGCGCGAGTTGCAAATGCGACGGCTGTTTCCTGTACCATGCATTTATCGTCTGGGGGCCACGTGCACTGATCTCTATTCAGGATCTACGGCACAGGAAACAGCCGTCGCATTTGCAACTCGCGCCCTCGCTCGACAAGCAATTTGCATAAACGCGACGTCACAGCTTGAGGTCATCTCTTGTCACATTCAAAATGGCTGCCATCACCAGACGTTTCACAAGTGCATATGGGCTCCAGAAAGATTCAAGAATATCTTGGAAAATTGAACATCATTACACCCAAGCATCCCAGAAGTGAAAGTTGGGACATTGTAGAATACAACCATATGTAAGAAATTCGCTGTTGAAATTATGAAAACGTCCTCAGTAGTGCGCAGACCACGGTGTGTGGCCTTGGGTTCAGCGCAGCATACCGACGGCCACACTAGTGGGGCTAACGTCACGTCAGACGCCCTCATTGACAAGCTAATTCAAGAACTGAGCCTCCATGCAAACACATTGAACTGTAAGTTTTCAGACTATTTTGCTGTTTTTTTCCAAAATGTTCGCTGTTTGGGAACAATATAAGGGGTCTCATGGAATGTCAAGAATGTATAGATCAATCCAGGATAACTGTCTCTCTCATTTGTAATCTCTTTACCGTTTTTTTGGGGTCTTTTTGTCCTCGCGTGGGTTTGTGACTATGCTACTGTGATGGTGCTACCAAAGTATGGCGAATCGGTGGAGTGTTGGTATGGAGGGGTACCCGTAATTCAACGCTCCACTCAGTAGAGCTAAGCGTTTTTAAGTTGTAAACAGTTTTTAATATGAATTATTGAGCCTGCAATAAAAAATATTTGCATTCATTAATTTTTTTTCAAATTATGCATTTTTGAAGTGTACACAGCGCTCGAAATGTTATGCAAGTATTTCTAAAAACAATATGAATTATTGTACCGTCCAATTTATTAATTGTTAAATTAATTAGTATTTTTTTAAGAATAAGTACTTTTTATGCCCCGCGAATGAGGGCGTCTGACGTGACATCACCGTTGTTACTCGATCGAAGAAAAACAAGTCGCGCTTTATCAACGACTGTTTCGTGTAATGATACGTGCTCCGATCCGCGCCGTACAACAGTATGGGCTTTGAACACACCCAAGGAGCACGTATCATTACACGAAACAGTCGTTGATAAAGCGCGACTTGTTTTTCTTCGATCGAGCAACGACGGTGACGTCACGTCAGACGCCCTCATTCGGCAAGTCAGGGCAAGGACTGAGCCTCACGGCAAACACATTGAGCTGTAAGTTTTCAGACTATTTTTCTGTTTTTTCCCAAAATTTTCGCTGTTTGGGAACAATATAAGGGGTCTGATGGAATGTCATGAATGTGTAGATCAATCCAGGGTAACTGTCTCTCTCAGTTGTATTCTCTTTACCGGTTTTTTGGGGGTCTTTTTGTCCTCGCGTGGGTTTGTACACTATGCTACTGTGACGCCGTCACCAAAGTATGGCAAATCGGTGGAGCGTTTGTATGGAGGGGTACCCGTAATTCAACGCTCCACTCAGTAGAGCTAGCTAGCATGCAAACTGTGATTGGAATGTCACACAAGTAGAGTAGGCCTACAACTCGACCGTTTGCATCAAGTTCCGGAGTGACTATAGAATGCAGGGCCATGCCAGAGCAACATTTTTTTTTTTAGGTACTTGGAGCCTTGGATCGAGTATAGTCCGAGTAACTTGGACCCAACTTATCGCCTTTTTAACATTCGGACATGGTCTGGCGATAGTGGGGTCCAAGCTAATGATGTATGCCGAGCAACACAATTCTGTCATTGACCCAAAAACCCAACATTGCCCAACAAAAACATCAGATTTCACCCTCAAAATGGCCTCCAAATTACTAGTCCCATAAATGTGACGGAAATACTGGACTACCTCTGTATTTAACGTCACACATCCACCTGTGGTATAAACGTGGAGCGTCCCCGTTGCTAGCAGTCTGTGAAGTACCCGGATGCAATACTCGGCTGCGGATGAAGAGCGCACACAAGGGGGCGCGCTTCACTGCAGAGGGCTTCAAGATTTTGGAATTACAGGAAACAGCCGCGGTGCGCTTTGCCAACGTTGACGCATGCTCAGTAAATGACTAAAGCTCTTGTCTGGTTCCTTGACCCCATTGGCTTTTTGACTTTAATTAGGGTGGCCGGGAAACAGTCTAGTAAATATCAGAGACGCCATGCTTTTTCAAAACCGTCTGCATTCTTTGACGAATTACCATGATTTTTGGATAACTAGACCTCTGAAGGTACCGAATTTAACGATGTTGTGCTATTTAACAGTCATACTAATAGCTGGGTTGCTTTTCTTGTGACAAAATAATTTCGATTTTTAATTAATTTTCGGTTCCCCTAGCAACGGGGACGCTCCGCGTTTATACCACAGGTGGATGTGTGACGTTAAATACGGAGGCAGTCCAGTATTTCCGTCACATTTATGGGACTACCAAATTACTAGATACGCCAACTGAGGTACAAGTAGACATCGATAATTAAGATGGTTGTACTGAAGTTTACTTACGATCCGGATGGAAAGTGAAATTTCCCGTTCAATTCCGAGAGCTCCCCTCGCGATTGTGAACACGTTAAATTTCCGATTCGTGTTAATGTTTGAACGACGCGATGTGGTCTTCATTCCCAGCGTACTTTCGATGGTCCCCGTATCCCGAGTGCGATTCCGTTACCGAGCGCGCGCGATGCATCGACTATGATAATGAGTAGACTGGATCGTGTTAGTAAACACAAGTGCATTTCAAACGGATATGGACGGATACCAGTTCAAGCTGGTTCCCGATTCCCTTTTACCGTTCGGGCATGAGGTCATTTTTGACATTTTTTTCTCATCACCAGTTATGAATGACATCATCAGCACCATGTTCAATCAACGATTCATGGAGAATCTCTTCAGGCCACAGGAGATTTATTCCAAGAAGGGCATGCGTACAGTGTTTGACCGGTTGGCTCATGCGTCTATCATGCGACTCAACACAGCAAGCATGGATAAGGTAGGCTGAAAACTTAAGCTTTCATTTCTAAAACAAAATCATATGTTCTGCTTTTACTTTTTCCTGGTTTCTCTCTTGAGCTTCCAAATGAATCGGAGGTTATGCGTTCATGTACAGTTGAATCTCGTTAGTACAAACTCTGTTAATACAAAATTCTGGTTATAACAAACAAAAAGCCTTAGTCCCGACTGTGCATTTATGTGCACAGTGAACATGATGAATGGGACTGATGTTCCTCTTAATACAAAATTCTGATATAACAAAGAATTTGGCTAGGTCCGAACGAGTTTGTATTAACGAGACTCGACTGTACAATGTATGCTTTCTGCATTAATTTGAACAATATTTGTTTGTGTATAAAGGCCAATTAGGTTCCCCTCAGTGGAATAACTACTGGTACTTACTGGTAGTTTACATTTTTGGTATGCAAGGTATGAACAAAAATAGTCGAAACTACCCCCATTTCATGATTTCATGATTTTGTAGTGACGCCCAGATGCCATTAATTTACATTTAGCTTTAATTTTAGCTCAGTTCAATGAGAAATCCAATTAACGCATCAATAACCACACCCTTCTAGTTGAGTTGTTGCCAGTGATATCTGATGACCGTAATCAGGCTAATACTGTAGTGACAGATCCACACTACTGTACGTGACCTGCTGCCTAGCAGCTCAGAACAATATCTTCATGATCTTTAATTACAGTAACACAACTCCATGCATGGGCGTCGCGAGGGGGGGCAAGGGGGGGCACTTGCCCCCCCCCTGGAAAAGCAAAAAAAAAAAAAAAAAAAAAAAAAGGAAGAAAAAAAAGGAAAGAAAAAGAGGCGCGAAGACAAAGTGGTGTAAATTTAATGAGTTGGGGGGGGGGGGAATGTCCCTGCCCCCCTCTAAAACTGATAAATCGAGAATGTGTTGAGAAATACAAGCCTTTTTTGGCCAAAAATTTTTTTGCCCCCCTCTAGAAAAAATCCTGGCGACGCCCATGACTCCATGTACATGTACCGGTACCTGTATAGCGACATTAATGTTCGTAGAATGTAGTGCACTTGCCCATCCGACAAATTACATACATGTTTATACTAAAAAAAACCTTTATACTTGCCATGGGTATTGTAGACAACTCTTTGACAGTACTAAAACGGTTAATTGTAATGCGAGTAAACTGCATACAGAGCATGGTAGTTACATTGGTCAGATGAGGAACACTTTTATAAACACATTTGGGTAAGTCCAAGAAAAGGTTTCTTTAATTATAATCATCGCAAAGACTAATTAATGAAAATCTTGTGAGTATTCTTGCAGATGCTCAACAGCAGAATAAATATTGAAATCCATGAATATCTTAAAAGGTTAAACTTTTGTTGCGTATGGGACATAGTGCACGCGAATTCTTGGACTTTCCCATTTTATACATTTTGTTGATTAGAAATAGTGAATGTGTGGGATACATACATTGTATGCCTCAGAAAAAAATAGCAGGTTAAATCAGCATTTTGTGTGGTTATTTCCACAAACCCACCCAATGCAGAATATGGTGATTCAATATGCAACTGCACATGTATTTCCGAGCATCATACGTATCTCATGTACAATGTACCACTTCTAATGATCCCTATTAGCAAGCGGCATATTGCAATACACTGATTACAATCAGACAACTGATACACTGACTATCACACAATGGGCAATACATAATTAGGGTTGGCATGGCAACATTAAATTAAACTAGGACCATAGGCAGTGCAAAGCAATTTCACATTGATTGATATCAGTACTTTTTAGCTACTCCCTCCTTTTCGGTAAGCCATTTAACTTTAATACTTAGAAAACAATTCTATTTTTCGAAATACATACAAGTAGTAGTGACAGTACTGAAAGGAGATTGTGCAAAAAAACACAATACATCAAATCGATGTACATGTAGATGTACATGTACGTTAAATTTTGCCAGGCCGAAAAGTTCACCATGCATGCCATGTAAGAACTACATTGTATGCATTTTCAACATACTTTCCCGACATTTGCCCGAGATACATTATTGTTTTAAAAACTGCAATAAACTGTATCCATGTTTGTCTTTTCAGCTGTATGATTTGATGACAATGGCTTTGAAGTACCAAGTCTCTCTGTGTCTGCGTCCCTCGGATATCCTGTTAGTGACCTTCAATCATCTGGATGCCATCAGGACCTTTGTTGAGGATTCAATCCCAATATGTAACCAGGTGGAAACAGTCATCAGGATGATGATTAAGGTACAAACATCAAAAGTTGGTACTTTACAAACATCAAAAGTCTCTAAAATAACTTACGGCATAGATTATTAAGGAATTGAACTTGTGTTTGTCTTGCACAAGTCACTGTAATTTACTTATCTTTAACCCTAACGTACCTAAATCCATCAAAATCCAACCCCCTGTTTCGGGGGATTTCGGCGGATTCAGGATACCTCCATATTGAACAAACTGGGGGATTTTGATGGACTCAGGATTCGAAGCCTAGCGGAACTGGCGGATTTTGATGGATTCAGGATACCTCCATTTTGAGCTATTGGGGGACTTTGATGGATTCAGGATCTCATCAGTTTAACTCTTTTGCAATGTTTGTGGTCAAGTAAATACTGCTGGCACTAGCCCTGCCAAGTCTGTCACATACTGTACAAACATGTACACACATGTACTGGGTGGACTTGCATGGAGGGTCACGTGCTGGAGGAAAGATACAAATAATGCGCGAAAACGTGACGAACGCAATGCCGTTTACGCGCAAAGAACACCATGTGCATCGCTAATAATTATGTTTGCGCATCGCGTAAATACTCGGTGCGCATTTCTTGCTTCGCGCGTGTTGAGCTAGGTCACGTGCTGGAGGAAAGATACATTTAGCTCCATTACTTTACGTTAATTTGTTGCGCGTCTATGACAGACAACCAAAATGGCGGAGATTTATCGCACAGTGACTGGGCGCGTGTGGACGCGCTGCCGATCTAGTCTTTTCATTCTATATCTATGGTTTACGGGCTGAAACATGCGCTGTCTTTCACACAAATTTTGTGCGCGAGACGTATTCACTTCGGTACTGATCCATGCTGGGGTCGCGATGCATTGGTGTATTATGATGGATCCTATGCAACAACACACATCACAATTTTCATGCGAGCATGGTATCCTGAATCCGTCAAAATCCACCAGAAATTTAGGTGATGGATTTTGAAGACTCTATGGAAAAACATGCTGTATTTTTTTTTATGCCACCATGGTATCCTGAATCCGCCAGAATCCATCAAGACTTTTGCTGGTGGATTCTGGCGGATTCAGGATACCTCCAGAATCTACACTGGGGGATTCTGATGGATTCAGGATACCAGCAATTTTTGCATGACAAAATTGGTGGATTTTGGCGGATTCAGGATACTTTCTAGTAAAAGAGCCCCAGGAGTTAGGGTTAAAGATGTAGTCCATCATTTGTAATTTGTGCATTTTGTTCATTTGAAGCAACAAAAGTGTTCAAAATCTAATGAAGGATACTGAACAACTAACCTGATGAAGTTTCAGCTCAGCTTCAGCTGTATATTCCGAGAAAAACAGCATTCTAGGATCTCAATTTCAAATCAATAGTTGCTGAATCATGTTTTGAATTGTTTTGAATTGCAGCTATACGCGGCGTCGCGCACTGATCTGAGGAATTATAGCAACCACGCGCCTGTGCATTGTTCCAATGCTAGCGCACGCTGCCCCGAATAACAAAATGAACTACTAATTTAAATTTTCCTGCGAGACGCACCGTTGGAAAAGCCTTCTTTCGTTAATTACTTCAAAATGATAGCTTGCCAGAAAGATTAATTTCACAGGGAGTTTAGTCCACTAACTATCTTTCAACCAAGTATGTTTTTCAACAATAATTCGCCAGTTACTTTTTCGGATGGCTGCAAATGATGGACTATAGCTTTAAACAAACAACTTTTCTAGGATTCAAAAAGAATGACACCATTTTGTACTCACAATTAAGCCCATTAATACTGACTTTTTTGTACACCAAATTTGCCAGAATCCAACACGTCTTTTAAAGGTACAGTACATGTTTATCATTTGCAGCTATCCAAAGTGTAACTGACAAAATTATTGTTCAGAAGCATACTTGGTTTAAAGATAGTAATGGCGCTAAACTCCCTGTGAAATTATTCTTTCTGACATGCTGTCATATTGAAGAAAACAATAAATGAAGGTTATTTCCAAAGATGCATCTAAAGACGCATTTAAAAAATTTCCGTTAATACAATGTACATGTAGTTCACTTGAATGGGTGTGCGCGAGCATTGTCAAGATGCACGTGTGCGCCGTTGCTATAATTTGTCGGTTCAGTGCGTGATATCACGTAGAGCTGCAATCAGCTTAATAAGAATATGTCCCGGACGCTGATTTGGGGTGCATTTCAAAACATGACTCGGCAACTTTTTAAGTGAAATCAAGATCCTAGAATATTGTTTTCTCGGAATATACAGCATTCACAGAGCTAAAACTTTACCAGTACCCTTCTTTAGATTTTGAGCACTTTTGTTGCTTCAAACGAAGAAAAAAAAAATGCACAAATTATGCCAAATGATATTATACCTGTAATTCTGCAAGTGTATACAAGTGTATGCAAGTGAGATAGTCATAGTTTGGTTAGTCTCCATACAACAGACAGATGCACACTTCCGAACCCTGAATTTCCACAGTTTCATTTTAGAAGCACACAAACTCAATAATCCATTGTCTATAGCATGTCTATTTACATGTACGTGATGGATTTTTGTAGCATGTGTTAGACTACATTGTATGATCCTATTTTCATGGTTTGGGGCAGTATGGTAGGGGGAGTAATGGGCAGTGTGCTTTGGGACTGTATAGAGACTTATGGGTTAAAAAATATTATTTCACATAGTGCAACGGCAAACTTAAATTGTACTGTTGTTACTGTTCAAGGTATAGTCCATCTCTTGTAATTTGTGCATTTTGTTCGTTTGAAGCAACAAACGTGCTCAAAATCTTAAGAAGGGTACTGAACAACTAACCTGATGAAGTTTCAGCTCAGCTTTAGCTGTATATTCGAGAAAAACAGCATGCTAGGATCTCCATTTCAAATCAAAAGTTGCTAATTCATGTTTTGAATTGGGCCTGAATTCAGCTTTTGAGACGGATTGCAGCTACACGATGTCACGCACTGATCCGACGAATTATAGCAACCGCGCACGCGTGCGCGTCATGCCAATGCTGGCCACGCTTCGCCGCATAACAAAACAAACTACTAATTTAAATTTCCTATGGTGTGTCTTAAAGACGCACCATTGGAAAGGCCTTCTTTTGTTGATTTCTTTAAAATGACAGGTTGCCAGAAAGAATAATTTCACAGGGAGTTTAGTCCCCTTATTATCTTTCGACTAAATATGACTTTTAACAATAATTACATGTACGTCAGTTACTTTTTGGATAGCTGCATATGATGGACTGTAGCTTTAAAATGACTGAATGTGCTTCAATATTCATGACTACATAACTAAGCAACACATGCAAGGTTCTGACCTCAATCCAGGGGAGCCTTGCTACCATAGCAACATGCTAGGATATTGAGGTCAGAGGTCAAGCCACTGAAAGAAGTAATGATCATTTGAAGCTGAAAGTCCTTATTTAAAATTTCATTTTTAAACTTACCCTCAAATATGTTTTTCGTTTGATTTCAGACTTACAGTTCACTGTCCATGGGAGAATTTCAGCTGATCAGGCAAACACTTCTAGAATTCTTTCAAGACATCCATATAAGGGTAAGGGCAAACTGCCAATGAAATTCAACTCAAATTCCTTGATTGCTAATCACGTTGAAAGCTGTTATTTTCTTGTTTTATGTATCCATGTAACTCTTGGAGCTCTGTTGTAAACACGCATTCCTGTGCTGTTTTCGAGTTTTAATCTCGAAAAATAGATTTGTTATTCAATTGCTATTTTCCAAACAAAATAAAATGTGATTACCTTTGATTGAAACATCAAACGAAAAAATCCACCAATGTTTGGTTACATTATTTCTTTACCGAATAAGAATTATTAGCTGCCAGACAATAATTTGGCTGTCGCAGGGCGGGTTATTTGTGTGCCAAATGAAAGTCTTTTGAGAGAGTTGCAGACTCCCCAAGTCGTTTTAAAGTAGGTTTTTTTTTAATTTGTTCGGAGCAAAATTCATCTTTTGTAAAGCACGGGGCATGCAACTTTGTTCCGGATGGTTCACATCGCTAAAAAATTGCCTAGCTTTTTTTGTTTATAGCAAATATGTAACAAAGTACTGTGTACGTGTAGTGTGATTGTGCAAATCTTATTACTCTAAGATGTTTGTTGTAACTGCTCAACATGTCAAACAAGCTCGTGTTTGTTCAGCTAGGTAATATTTACCTTACAAACACGCTGTTATACCATATCATTGAGTGACTATTGATCAGCGTTGGTTGCCATGGTAGCATTAGACTAGCCATGGAAACTAGATTAATTATTTCTTACTGTGCATGGAGTAACGTCAAGGCTGTCTTGCACCGGTGTGAGACTGCTTTCAGTGCTCCATAATTGAAGTGTCTACATGTAGGCTAGTGGACATGTTTGGTACTTGAGATATTTTTGGATGTACAATGTATGTCAATGGCTGTAAGAATATCAGATCAAGCTGCTGGAAGCAGGGAGAGCTGTGCATGAGTTGCAACAAACACTACAAGATAACATTGCATCCCCTCACACAATAAAAGGAACTATGGAATGATTATTACAATACGGGCGATTCCCAATAGTGCGCCTCCAAGAGTTTGCAGCCCGTTGGCCAATCACAATGCGCGAAATCAGTCGACCTTTTCCAAACGGGCGTTGGGTCGACAGATTTTGCGCATTGTGATTGGCCAACGCGTTGCAAACTCTTGGAGGCGCACTATTGGGAATCGCCCGTATTGGCTGTTACACTTTTAATAGAAAATTAGATGAACATGAGTGAAACTGCTGCAAAGTGCTTGCTGACTGAATTGACCTGAATATACAAATATAATTAGAGGACCTATTCAGCAGAAATTGTGTCATAAACACAAAGTGGACAGACAATAACTTCCAGTTTTATTCTACTTTACAAAATGTGGTTACATGTGGGTAGTGATACAGAAACTGTGGGGCAGCAGAGTAATGGAAGTTTCTTTTCCACATTTTCATCAAATTACTGATAGCAGAAAGTTGAACCAGCCAGCGGGCCCTGGCAAAATCGGTGGTCGAGTGGTAAGACATCTGCTCTAATAAACAGGAGGTCGTGGGTTTGAGTTCCACCCAAGTAGTTTGTGATTTTTGTCTCGCAATCGTTTCAGACAACACTGAATATACATTTTTGTAAACTACATTTATGTTGATGAAAGGAAAACCCAATATTCAATTGACATTCGGATGTAAAAGTCCATCTAATGACATGTACATGTATGATTAGAAAAGTTGAAGTTCTGGTTTTCTAAACTTTCAACTTCAATGTTGACTATATAAAGCTAGTATTTTGGTTTTTCAGTAGGAAATGGGAGATTGGTTTCTGCAATATTGAAGCTAACTTTCTGCTTGTAACATTCAATGCTAATTCTGATGGCTTAAAATCAGCAAATAGAATTGTTGTCATGACATGTCAGAGCACACAATAAGCCTCTACATTTGTACTTGGGTTGTGCATTGGGTTACAGCTTGTATTTCCCAACATAGATATCCCACATATCATATCCTCACCTGCCATTTACATGTAATTGCCACATACATTTGTACATTGCTTTTTATCTAAAAGTTATCTAAAATTGATATGAAGAGCATCACCATGGCAACTGCTCCTCAGTGGACTTGCATTCATGGCCAGCATTGTTGCATGTAGCAGTTGTTGGCCTTACTGCACTCTTTACACTTGAAGCTGTAAGCACTGGATAATAGGCAGGCAGATCTAAAAGGTCTTAATGAGGGGTTGCTGGTAGCAACAGAATGATGTTTATTAGAAACCAATAAAGTCTTGCTTAGAATAAATCAATAATTGATCCTCAGTGAATTGGACCTGAAATGTAAATTTAACATATAATATACACTCATCAACATGTAAATGTACATTTACTAGTCCAAAATACATAAAGTAGCGGTATGTCATAAACATGCCCACATACATGTACACGTTCAGCCAAATGGTAACGATAGGCCTAATGTTTATTAAAATATATTTTATTTGCTTATATATATACAAGAAAAGTATTTTGAACTCTCCTATGCAAACATACATCCTATGTTAAGCTGCCCTTTCAGTCAAAATCAGTCAACAGTTATTAAGAGTTCCCAGCCTACCGGTACATGAATCAGGATTGACTGGCTGTGACTGTTTAATGTACATGTAATGGGATAAGGCTATGCTTTGGCTGTACATGTAGGGGATTGATAAGCCAGCTGTGCCTACCACTTGCCTGTTTTTGTCTGTTGACTGAATTTGACTAGTCATGGTACTTGCTTGTAATATATTCTGACTGTTGGTGACTACATGTGGCTTGTGAAAAGGCTTGGCAGGGGAAGAGGAATAGAGGGTTGATTTTTGGAATGTCTGTGATTGTTTAGATTGTAGGAGTATTAAAACAGATTTAAATGCTTTATGCTTTTCATAGACAGCACAAATCGGTACTTTACATCATTTACATATTGAGTATTCACGTTTATGGCAACAAAATGTGTTTTTTTTTTATATTGGAATGAATAAAATGTCCACTAAATATACTAAAAGAAAATGATTGAATTTTGTTAGAAATAGAAGGGAAAATCCCTTCCTCCATGCACTTTGATAGATGTTTGTCCCTTGTGCATTTGTTAAACTGTAAAAAAATTAATTGAGCGCAATTTCCAGGCATGATGTTTGGTGCTACGTTTTAACAGAAATCTAGCCACAAGCTGCATTGATTGTTGCATGGCAAGTAGTGGTTAGTGTCAACACAGCACGTGCAGAATGTACACATTGGGATATTTGAATAAGGAAGTACTACATCTGTACATGTACTTGCTCTTTTGTCCTGAAATGTTCTGCACATATATGGCACAGTCTTAGTGCATTCTGTACATTAGGATCAATTAAATAAATATAATAACAATATATTGGACCTCAACACAACAATATATTGGACTGAACTGTGAGAACCTGTTTGGTTGTGTGCTGTATCAATCCATATTAATTTTACTATCACCAAATTCGTAAATTAGGAGTAATTGTGAGTTTACCTGAAAAATAAGTTACAAGTAGTGAGTCATCATAAAGTTTATTGAAGAGAACACTTTCATTATTATACATGTTTTATCCAGATGTCTGTTACTTTTATGTAGGTGTTTTTTTTGTTTTGACATATTTTAGCTTGATTGTTTGTTTTGCAGGTCTCTATTTTTCTGAAAGACAAGGTGCAGAATTCCAATGGGAGGTTTGTTCTGCCATTGGCTGGACCAGTCCCGTATGGAGCAGAAATACCAGGATCCATTAGGTAGGTGCAGTATGCAACCTGTCATCATGGTCACTGACAATTGGTACAAATTTGTTAATTTTCAGATAACCAACAGGAACAGGTATGTTTTGTGTCAATTTATTGTGAATTTAATAAAATTGCAGCTAATTAAGTTATATGATTTAAAGGGAGTATACAATATTTGCAAACATCAAAAAGCAAAACTACCAATTTAATATGAAATTTCTTACGGAACTGTTAGTGAATGTCAGTCTAAAACATCCTGTAAAAGCATGGTAACGCGTGTGCTATAAATTTCATTCATAAATACCTAAGATAGTTTACGCATTCCTATTGGTCGAGAGCCCGTCACGTGGTCGGTCTTAAACGGATGATAAAGACATGGCTAGCTGGTCTTAAACACTTTTCCAGTGTCACCATAAAATGTGGACTCCTAAAAATCCAGTGCCTCTTATCGTTTCATTGGTTGAACGTTCACAATCCTCATGTAGGCATACGCAACACTACCAAGTTCTAAATTCAAAACGCAACGCGCCAGGTGCGTTCTGCGCGACATCGCGCAGAACATGATACGCGCACGTCAATCTCCATAAAAGGGTTGTTTACATCTTACTCGCCAGCTGAACACTCCATTGTTTTGCAAGAGGGATGTTTCATAAAGCATAAAGTGAATTTGTTGAACAAAATCGGGATGTTTTGAACGAATTATATGATTTTTTCTTACCGAAAAGGTATTTATGAATGGGAATAAATATGTGCTCCGTTGGAGGTTTTTATCACTCTGTTTAAGACCACTTAGAGTCTGGGTGCTGATAATTACCAGCACCCAGACTCTAAGTGGTCTTAAACAGAGTGATAAAAACCTCCGAAGCACACATTTATTCCCTTAAGAAAAGTGATATTTTTGTATCCATTTGCAACGCTGGTCGGCCAACCAGCGTTGTAAAAAAACTGGCTATTTTTCAAACACTGCCCCTAATTTACCATATTTAGTTAGTCCGCATTTTGTTTGCAATCGATTAAAAGCCTATGAACATGTAAAAGCTAGCTTGACTGGTTCCCTGCCCTTACAATTCCCTGATGTGTGTAAATTGCTCCGTTTTATCTTAAGTGGGGTCAGGGAATGAGACTACAAAAACAGGAATGTTTTTCGTGGTTTTTCCAGCATCTTCGAACTCAAAACTTCAAACAAGTCAGTGTGACAATATTTGCTATAAAATACTAACCCCCTTCCCCAAATCCAGCTATGCCTGAAAATTACATCAAAAGCAAATGTTGTATATTCCCTTTAAAACTATAACAAGTTGGTAAAAATACTCCTTGTGTTTTGAATTTCTTTGATCAAATTTAGCTAAAATATTGAGTGCTTTCATGTATCCATATTCATCAAACTATGAAATTTTAAAGCAAAGTGGTTCTGCTGTCTTCATGTAGCATTCCATTATCCATTGACTGCAAATCTAGCACCTGCTGTGTATAAATTCTTGATGACACTTTCCCGTTTGACAATCACCCACTGCAAGGTATTACGATGAATCCGGGAAGCACATCAAGACAACAGAGTTTCCTTCAGGCAGTAAATACCAAGCGTCGTTACGAGAAGGCTCCGTGGATATGAAAGGAGACCGGGTCATCAAGCTGGGTACAAACATGTACAGCACCGTCAGACCAACGGATACAACAGTCAGCAGTCCACCACAGAAGACTGCAGTGGTTTCATCAACGGCAGAAGATGTAAGCATAGCAATTAATGCTGCATTCTGGATTCAGTTGAGATTAGGCTGACTCTGGTGAAACACTACGTAACAATTTCTCTTCAACCAGGAGTTATATCAGTTATGTGGGGTGCTGTGGTCCAATGGTTGTGGTGTTCCAGTCATATGCTGTGGTACATGGGTTCGAACCCTGATGGGGAACATGGTGCTTGTGTTCTTGGGCAAGGCACTTTACTACAATTGCCTCTCTCCACCCAGGAGTATAAATGGGTACCTGTGAAGGTATAGACCATATTGCGTGGATCTCGAGCTGCTGCAGGGTCTCATTCTTGATGAACAGGAATGATAATTGTGATGCGCATTTGATCATATTCTTATGGAATTTGCGCAATTTTAATGTATAAATTATTAATTTTTATTACCTGTCAGGCCTGTCAGGCATTGTCAGGGAGGGTGGTTGAATTATTAGTCTGCGCCAAACAGAAATTTTGAGCAGTTTATTCTCCAAGATAGCTGGGAATAAATTTGCAGGCTTTAATGCAGAGGTAACGACGATGCACATTCAGGATCATGTAATGTGTACAGAACTGTTAAACTTACTTCGTTATGTTTAATAACACCCTTTGTGACACCACAATGTGCAACACCTTTGGTAAATGGAGGTGTTGAAAAAGGCTGTCACTAATCAACTTTACTTTTACACATTGAACTCTTTGCATGAACAAGAGGTAGTGCTTTGCGACTAATATTGACATGCACAGTGGAAGGGACACACTGCCTGTGCGTACTGGGTTCCAAAATATGTACTTGTAACAATTTTTTTTCTGAATGTGTAGCGTCTTCACGTGAGCATGAGGTGTGTGGGTGACAATGTGTTCATGTCCCTCCAAGTGTTCTCCACTAAGTCTCTGTATCTGAGTGAGGGAGGTATTTGTGAGTGGAGCCCATTTATACACGGTGTGGGGACTTCCTTTCTACTATACGATCTTGCTGATTCATGTATGTGTGTGTGGCTTATTTGTACCATGAATTTAACAAAGCATAGTTAAGTGTTGTGATTTTGTCATTGTCCTTCAGGCCACAGCAAACCCTAATCCAATGGTGAAGGCTGAGCTGAACCTTCTAGCTCATCTCATGGGGGCAGTAGAGACCAAGAAGGAGAAGTCTGGCTTCAGGGTCAATATGTTCAACACGGACGAGGAAGAAGAGTAAGTCATGTCAGGGGTCAAAGGTTAAATCAGTCAGAGCAGGCGCTATATCAGGTTGGTTCCAGATTCCCCTCATTACACTGAAGACATTGAAAGGAAGCGGGCAAAAGGACAATATTGGCATGTTTGGTGGATATTTGCACAGGATGGGGCATCACGTTAAATTGTGTAAACATAAGCAAAACTATTAAGCACTGTTTAAATATTTTGCCGCTTCACAAAGGCTGATGACTGCCCCAGTATGTTTGCACATGGGTGTGTTTAAAAAATCATAATTTTCTTCATTATTGCACAAATTTCGGAAAATGTGTAAACGAATTTAGCTTTTTTTCTCGTTAAACATTTAAACATGTATACGCACTGTTTCCCACCTGATATATTTCAAACAGCGGAAGTTCCTGTCAGTTTTTAAAATTGTTATGACAGCATGGGCTCTTGTCATGCTTGTCATCAGGGCCCAATTTCACGGCGCTGCTCAGCACACAATTGTCTGCTAAAAGAGCTTCCGTCTATTTCATGGAGACCGTAAGCATAAGCACAGCAAAAGGCACGCTTACTTCAGAGGAAAAATTTACTTAACTTAGGGATGTAACAATAGAATTTTCCATGCACGCACGACCGTTACCACATCCACGCTGTTAAATAGCGTTTAAGGTCAGCAAATTTTTCTGCTACGCTAAGCACAACTTTTCTGGTAACTGTAAGCAGCGCCGTGAAATTGGGCCCCGTTTGCTAGTGAGTATTCACAAGGCAACAAGTATTCAGATGATATGTTATCTCTTTCCCTCTAGGCAATTTGCAGCATCAAGACCACCACCTGATATGTATGATTTCAAAGTAATCAACATAGATGCATCCAAGGTAAATATAATAAGACCATTTCATAGTCAGTTTATCAGTAAGAAGTAACCTTGGAAACAACTGTCTAGCAGCAAGTCAGCATTGCTTATTCCTTGACATGCCTACAGGTACCCATTATGTCAGGATGTTTTTCCTTAAAAAAAGTCTTGGAAACAAAATTTTGAAAACACAATGTCATTTTTTCTTTCTTTGCAGATACAGAAAAGTGATGAGCTTACCAGGATCATGGGTGACCTCTCAATCCCAGAATCCTCAGGGCAAAGTAGTAAGGGGGATGACCTACTTGAACTCATGGACAGTGCTTCATGATTCCCCTCCCCCAAGGAGCCACTCCCCAACCCCTCCCCTAAACAGTGCTTCATGATTCCCCTGCCCCAAGGAGCCACTCCCCCACCCCTCCCATGGACAGTACTTCATGATTCCCCTCCCCCACGGAGCCACTCCCCCACCCCTCCCGAGGACAGTACTTCATGATTCTTCTCCCCCAGGGAGCCACTTCCCCACCCCTCCCATGGACAGTGCTTCATGATTCCCCTCCCCCAGGGAGCCACTCCCCCACCCCTCCCGAGGACAGTACTTCATGATTCCCCTGCACAAAGGAGCCACTCCCCCACCCCTCCCGAGGACAGTACTTCATGATTCCTCTCCCCCACTCCCCCACCCCTCCCCTGGACAGTACTTCATGATTCCCCTCCCCTGGACAGTACTTCATGATTCCCCTCCCCCACGGAGCCACTCCCCCACCCCTCCCGAGGACAGTACTTCATGATTCCCCTCCCCCACGGAGCCACTCCCCCACCCCTCCCCTGGACAGTACTTCATGATTCTTCTCCCCCAGGGAGCCACTTCCCCACCCCTCCCATGGACAATGCTTCATGATTCCCCTGCACAAAGGAGCCACTCCCCCACCCCTCCCGAGGACAGTACTTCATGATTCCCCTCCCCCAGGGACCCCTCCCATGGACAGTACACCCCGATTCTCCTCCAAGGAGCCATTCCCCCATGGACCTCATTGCACCCTTCCCCAGCAACCCACCTCTCATTTTCCCTTCCCATAAGCTTGACATGAACTAAACTTTCTTGAAAAAAGTAACAGTAACTTCTCAATTCCTTCTTTACTGGAAGGTTTTTCAAACAAGAAAATGAAGAGCACCATCAGCTAAGAACAGCTGAAATGTTATACATATATTTTTTCTGGTTCTCTGCTTGGAATCATACAATAAACATGAACATGGTCTATCATGCTTTAGAATATGCAAGAAAATGGATCCTATTTTCAACTGAAATGTTGACATATCACAATTAGAAGATGGCTCCCACATTCCTCATGTATTCATTATGTTCATAGTGCTAGGTGTAAGGTATTAGTCTTATCTCTGTTTGATCTAAATCTCTGTATTTATGTATTTTTATCTCAATTGAACTACTTTGTCTGAAATACGTTGTGCTGTGTACTATGTAAAACAGTAAGGTGTGAACCTAATGTATATGAACAAGGCTCTGCCCCCGATTTCACGAAGCGCTGCGACGCGTCGCAACTCGAGTTACGACTTGTAACACGTCGCAACTCGCGACGCGTCGTATCTTCCATTTCACAAAAGTTGCGATGTGTTGAACGCATCGTAAGTTCCTCGACAACGGCTTTAAACACGTCGCAAGTTAAGACGTGTCTAGTAGTCGTCGCAAAATAAGAAGAGTCATTTCTAAGCCAGTTTTATGCCATAAGAATTACATCTGGTGCCAAGATGAAATTCAGCACTGCTCTTGATCTTAGCATTGGTTCAGTTGTGTGACTTAGATCTGAGCATATGCTACAGAGAGAGAGGCTTAGTTTATCTTAATTTATCTGTAAATGGTCTCGTATATGAATCTGGATGGGGCAGGACCCAACATTCAATGTTGTAGAGTGGGGATACGTGAAACACCCTGAATCATGGCTATTATGATGGCAATATACAATATTTGCAAGCATCTAAACTACCAAATTATTATGAAATACCTTACTTGATTGTAAGTGAATAATAGTCTCAAGCATCCTGTGAAATCATGGCACCTGGTGTGCTGTCATTTAAAAGGGGGGGGGGGTGTATCAATTTGTAATGATGGCTGGCTGACTATCGGGGAAAAAAACAGCCTTTTATTCAAATACTGCCTCCAATTTACCAAATTTAGGAAGTCCACTTTAAAAATTTCCATTCAAATACATACATTTATGGGAAAACCTTGAAATGGAATTTTTTTGCATCAGGAAAGTGTTAGTCTTTAGAAAAAAAATTAGCTCTATATTTTGTTTTATAGTGGGCTGAATATAGGTAAAGACGAGACAATATACAACATTCAAGATATGATTATTTGCCGTCTTTCAAATTGTTGTGAACCATGGCTGGAATGGATTGATCCTGTGTTGATATTTTCATGTTCACAGGCACCAGTGAACATTAAATGAACTAATGATTGCCTTGTATTCATGCAGATGCGTAGAGAACAAATCTGGAGTACGTATAAGTGCTTATTAGATTATAAGGAAAGGCGTATTCATGCAGTGAAGCAAATCAGTAGATGTGTGTTACGGCAGTCATCAGATTTTGAACAAATACTTGAAGATGCACTTGTTTACTGATACTGTGTGTGAAGTGTGTAAATAGGGACTTCATTGTAAAATACACATGGTGTTATTGGTTATACCTCACGAACCTTGACTACATGTACGTATATTGTAACTTGTATTGTTTTATGCTGCACATCTCTGTAAGTCTCTGTAATGAATAAAGAACACTGTACATAGTTCATGTTTGAATGTTGAATTGTTTTATTACAATATTCCAATGTGCATGGAGTACCTACTTACTTCCATAGGTTCAACAGTTTCATTGCGAGGCAAATCTTGGAGCCAAATGTTGGAGAGCATGTTCTAAGGACCCTGGCAGGCATCTAGGTTGCAATTTTCATGCACATTGAATTTCCAAAATGTTTAACTTCAATAAAAAACAAACAATTTAACACAATCTGAAATATCTAGAACTAGAACTAAGTTAAACAAAATGGTTGAAGAATTTGATTAAATTTTGTACAAAATTTGACTTCTCTCTATGGTAAATTGTACCTGTAATGAAGAGAACATTTAAAGTTTGCTTGAGCACGACCTATCATGCCTGTGCAATTGTCTGAGGTAAAATGCCAATTAAAGTTTGGCAGAAATTTGACTGCTATAAATTGCTTTAAAAAATGCCCTGTGAATATAAACTAGCTCACTGGAAAACTTTTGATGAATATGGGGAAATTAAAAACACAAAGATTTATGAAAATTATCACAATACCAACTACTGAGGAAACCATTCAAGGGAAATATTGGAGAATGAGCCCCTGTAGGGTTCTTTGTCAAAATTTGCCCATTTTCCATCATACAGATTTTAAACTTGAGAAAACAAAACAAGAACACAGACAAAGACAAATTGTAAAAGTGCACTTTACACTTTGATACTCACACACGTTTAATGTACTGTTGACTGTAGTTCAACAACATCAGTATTGAAAGTACATGTACTAAAATATATAACCTCTTTTACATACAAACATGAATACAAATATTATTTCTACAATATAAAACTGTTCTACATGAAATGTACATGAAAGCACTTGAGTAGTTACAAGTAAAAAATATTGCAATCAGATATTGCATGGAAGAGGAAACATCAACATTCTCTGAAAACAACTCATCCACTCAACCGTTTATTATTCGTAATAAATCTGACCTCAAATAAATGTGATTATTGAATCTGAAGGAATATATTTGACTGGGGACATTATTCTTATGGACGCTGAAAGTAAGCCGTTCAAATAAAATAAAAAAACAACTAATCCCCTTTTTTTTGTTCCCTCTTTACAAAGTTGTATTTTCCCCAGATTTGTCAATACAATACAAGATTTTTTAATACAAACTAATTATTTTAGAAATGCTATGTGCACAATGAATGGGACTAACGCTCATCTTAATACAAATCCTAATATAACAAACGTTTTGGCTTTGTGTGGTTCTAGATCCCTCTCAAATGACGTCACTGCCTACAGATTGTCACGTGCATCGGCATTAAGGGAGTCAAATTTTCGTGACGCGCATTGGCTGTGCTGTAATTGGAAGAATTTCGAGCAACATGTGCGCGTGATTAAAATATTTTGCACACTGCGCGCACCATACATGTACCTGATGGCATTGAATACCCAGCTGCTATTTTCCTACGGAGATGTCGGTCTGTGAGAGGGGTCTATTAATGGGAGTCGAATGTACTGACCAGTAATTAGCCTTGCACAAGTTTTCAAGATAAACATCAAGCATTCACCCATAAAGTTGTAATATCACTTGAGCTGCTTCACACACATTAGCATCTATGTTTTTGAACGCTGCAATCAATGTCACTCTTGGGTGGGTTACAGTAATGTGCCCAAATGTAATCATGCACACCTCCAGGATCAGTGTAATCATGTGTTCTATCCAACATCTTATTCAACCTAGCATCTGTGTACCACTTGGACATAAATGTCCGATACATCAACAATGTCACTGCTGTGAAGTCATACCTGTGAGTGTGTGTGCGTCCATATGGAGTTACATCATTTGGAACAGCGCCATATGGTGCAATGCATTTCAGTTTGGAAGCACAGGCAACCAGTGGATTCCAGAACTTGGTATGAAGGTCCGAGCTGTTGACGACTAGCAGTGCATCTTGGGATACAGCGGGGGCATGAGGGAAATTCTTTTTGATGTCAAGTTTGTCGAGACCAAAGAGATGATATAAAGATGGATGGGTGGTCTCAAACGTTGTGTTCTTTTTGTCTGCTTTTGCGATGAGTCCTTTGTGAGGGGCGATGAAGGGAAATAGAAGATTCAGTGGGGCACGGAAACGGATGTGAGGATCAACGTAGAAGAAAGCACCGTATTCATTGAGGACATCCTGGACAAAAAGGAGAAAATATCCAAAAGAAGATAAAATTCAGTACTGAGTAGTAACTGAAAGAAAAGATTTTAATCAACAGTATAATGACAAATTAGAATAATCAACTTTAAGTGCCAGATTTTGCCAACTGTCTGTCGTGTGAAGACTTACATGTACTGTATGAGTATATTGTATACTTCTAACAAATGAACTCTTAGCATATGGGAGCTCGGCTCCAAAAGGCACTCACTTGATCATATCAAGATGCTTAGCCAATCCATTGGCTGAAACGGCTTTCTATTCCAGCTAATTAATTTAACCCTAATGATCCCCAACCAGCCAAACTCCAACACCAGGGTTTATTGGAATCTGTTAGGATGAGTACTGCACTAGTAAACTAACTGTGCTTTAGGTGGAATTAGGTATACAGAGTCCAACTTTTAATATGAGCACAGTAAGAGTTTATCATATGGTTTTGGGGATTTGCATGGATGAGGAAGGTTCCCAGTAAATTACCCTAGGGAGTTACATGTAGGGTTAACAGGTTAAGGCAATTAATGCTGTCACCAACTCCAGGCGTGGGAAGGGGGGGGGGAAGGACCGCCGGGGCGCCAAAGTACCACATAAGGGGGGGGGGGCACACTACAATAAAAAAAAAAACATACTTATGCATGGCTTTTGCCGATAGGGGGCCAATTGCTTTCCAAGGACACCCCTCTCCCCTTGGCTATGGGCCTGCATATGTATAAAGAGTACTGTTTTCCATTCAAGCTACTGAGATACATAACAAAACCTCTTCTTGTTTCAATGTCCTAGGAACGCTACACACACCACTGGCATTCAGCATGGGGATAACAAATGTATTTCATCATTACAAGTGCACATTTTCAATACTTTTTTTTTTGGCCTAACAGTGGTCTAGGTGCAAAATGTCCTGAAAGGTTCCTACATTTAAATCTTCCCCCACCCAACGCCCCATAAAAACCTAAATAATGATCTCAAATTTTAAACTTATTATATAATTAAAACGTGATCATTCTTTAGTCCTTACCAATAATGCAAACACTCTCCAGGCTTTGTTTTCAGTCTTCCGAACGTGCTTTGGATAATTGTCAAAGTTGAATTGTCGAACCTCTACACTACACATCTGTTGCATCTGTGAAGTAGAAACATATATCAAAATATATAAACGTACATTTACATCTCATAAAATATAAAATTAAATATTAAAAACTAAATTGACTCAAATTTGTGAATTATCTTTTGTACATTACAGTGGCTACATTGGAGGAATTTAGGACGCTTTAAACAGTTAATAACAAAGTTAAACCCCGCAGAAAAATGAAAACACTACTCAGTCGATCATGTCGATATTCTTAATCTTCATTCGGTGGCATGTATTTTACTTAATCTAGTAAAATGTGCCCGATGTTTTCAGATGGAAATTGGTGAGTCTTTCCTCTCCGCGGCGCTGCCATTTCGACAGACAAATATTCTTTCAAATCTCAACAAAGTATGTGAATCGTTTGGGTACAGAAAATAAAGAGGAAATATTTAATGATATGAACATAGCATAACAATTAAATTAGTTTCAAAGTCTTTCACACCGCATAATGTTTACATGAAGAAGTTTGGGCAATTACAACATGAGTACAAAAAGTATGGAAGCTACAAGTTTGATAGCGGGTACAATGACACTTACAGATTTGACAATTTTAGGATGGATTCCCAAGTTGTAGACAACGATCTTCTTGAGTGGCATATGTGCCTGTACTGAGGCAATCATTCCCAGCCCAAGGTATGCTTGATGCTGGCTGAATCCTGTCACAACCACCATATGCTGGTCGAGTTCCTTCCATTCTGGTTCAGCTTTGGATAGGTCAATGCTGATATTACTGAGGGTATAGTTTCCAGTGGTTGGGTAGTTATATGTGATCACTCGAGATGGATCTCGTGTGATTTGATCAAAGCGTAGAACCCGTCTGCTTTCCCATGGAATGTCATCTGCTTCATCACTGTTGTCCTGGCCTGCAATAAAATGACACAAAAGAGTGATTATTTCTTACAATCTTGGCTTTGCCTGCTTGGCTCTTAGATGGGGTTTGCGTTCTCTTTAGGAGAACGACTTTTTTTTGGGGGGGGAGGAAGGGGGGGGGTTGTGTTATACATAATGTAGTTGTTATCATGGTTGCAAATGTACATGTAGCACTGTCTTGATCTGTGCTCCATGTAGTAACTGAAAGTCCACTTGCGTCAAAAATTAAACTGCTGGCTTAAGCTTAAGATGTGGTGGTCCCAGAGGACAAGGCTAGTGTCCTTTTCTGATTAACCGACTGACCAACCAACTGATTGGCTGGCTGACTGGCTGACTGGCTAAATGATTGTCACGTGTTAGCTGGGCAAGGAGTGTCATTAAGGATCACCCTCATTTGGTCAATGAATGGGCTAAAACTGGCCAATTCTTTCGACCAGATGCACGAAAAGAAGCATCCAGTGAACAGCCATTCTGAATCCAATAAGTAGAATATTGTATACTCTGGTAGTAGTTTTACTACAATTGCCTTGTCTTGTTTGACGAGGTGTGGTAACAATGCTTGAATAACTTGCCTGTGTACACTCATTGAAATCATGTAGTGTTGGTCATTCAACATACATGTACATTCCATCAGCCCTAATACGAGTATGTGTTTTGGGATTCAATTGGTTGCAATGTGGGCAGGACTTTAGTAAGATCAGATGCTGGAAAGACAGGTAAAACAAAACTCAGATTTCAATTTTGTTTTAATAGGTTGCAGAGTGAAATCAAATTGATTAAAATTGGATATGTAAGACTTTTTCAAAAAGTGGACTACACAGTAGGCCTACTTTGTACATGTGACTGACGGCTGATGAGCAAATGTCTAAGAAATAGAGACTTGGTACCAAATGGTTTTTGGGTGTCTTAATGTCTTAACATTCATAAGGAAAATGCACCAATCTTAATGTCTTAACATTCATAAGGAAAGTGCACCAATCTTAATGTCTTAACATTCATAAGGAAAATGCACCAATCTTAATATCTTAACATTCATAAGGAAAATGCACCAATCTTAATGTCTTAACATTCATAAGGAAAATGCACCAATCTTAATGTCTTAACATTCATAAGGAAAATGCACCAATCTTAATGTCTTAACAATAACATTCATAAGGAAAATGCACCAATCTTAATGTCTTAACATTCATAAGGAAAATGCACCAATCTTAATGTCTTAACATTCATAAGGAAAATGCACCAATCTTAATGTCTTAACATTCATAAGGAAAATGCACCAATCTTAATGTCTTAACATTCATAAGGAGAAAATGCACCAATTTTAATGTCTTAATATTCATAAGGAAAATGCACCAATCTTAATGTCTTAACATTCATAAGGAAAATGCACCAATCTTAATGTCTTAACATTCATAAGGAGAAAATGCACCAATCTTACTGTCTTAACATTCATCAGGAGAAAATGCACCAATCTTGATATGCTTAAAAGAGACACTTGAGTATCGCTGCTGCTCACCTACACTGTACAGCCACTACAGACAGGTTTGCGCTCACCATAGTTGAAAATCAGTCACTCACATATGCAAAGACGTTTTATGGGTTTTTTCATCATTTTATATGTTAATACATATGTAAGTAAACTTACCAAAAAGAAAGAAGTAGAGACCAATGGAAACAAGCAGCAGCAATATGACCAGGTAGTGCTTATTCTTCCACCTCATCTTATTAAAACTGTCAGTGAAAAGAAAACGATACACATAAGAACATGAAGAATATGACCTGCAGTTACAATGATTAACAATGCACATGTCCTTACATCTTCATTCTCAAAAATAAATTTATAAAAGTGACTATTCATTTTTTGCATTTTATTTATACTTGTGTGGTCACCATTTTGAAACGTATCGGTCAGCTGCACTTAACAAGCTTTGTAGAATTTGTAACAATGAACATATGAAGAGAGTTTGAAAATGTGCAGTATGGGCCAAGGCAAGGGGCTGGCAACTGAACTGCCTCCATAACCTTGGCCCCCCAAAAAATTGTTCTGCTTCCGATTACATGGCATTTGAAAATAGAGTAGGTAGGTAGGGAATTTTTGTTTTTGCCAATTTTTTTTTGTGCATGACCATATGGAGGCATCTGTGTGTTGTCAAAGGTAAAAGGTAGAAATTGATGATTTTTGTTTTTTTTCTCTCATTTAGTGTGCATAATCATTGGTTTTGAACAGCACCCCCATCGACAGAAACTACCAGCCCCCCAGCCCCCCCCACCCCATTCAATTTTCACGGAGGCCAAGTGTCCGGAGAAAAAACATGTCTACATTTCAACACGGATGTGAAAGTGCCCTTTTCAAGAAATTCCCCCCCCCCAACAAAAATGGCGATCGTGTATCTACGGGCCTGGTTCCTATATTGGAACAAAATCTACGGAAAGATTTCCGTACTGGGACACCACTTTTTTCAAGCACCAAAAAGTTGCATCCTTTGTGGTAATTTCCTCCACTTTCCCTTCTCTAGTCTCACCCTCTCCTTTCCTTTATTCCTATTTACTTATCAGTCACTTACTTCATCGAGATTCGAACCTCGGTGAAATCACAAGATGAAGTGTAAATTGATGTGTTTCACGGCCGGTAAGTGATGTCCCCGTATGGAATTCTTTCCAAATAAGGAAATAAGATGGCGATCACCGCGCGATGTACCGTGAGCAGAGATCGTGTAGTGTAGGGCCCCCTGTTTTGTTTTGATCAAATGAGAGTCACAAATGTTTTAAATTGCTTAAAAATCACCTTTACAATCAAAAGCAGACTTTCTCAATTCTAAGGACACCTGTTTTGCAATTTTGAAGGTTTTTTTGGGTAGAAATCATGATTTTCTTGCAAGGTTTGTGCCTTGCGATTCAGCGTGCCGTGCGTGCTCACAGTATATCGCACGGTGATCGCCATCTTTATTTTCGGGATGCGTGTTGTCGCCGCGCTGTCATTGTCATTTTATTCCCAAATTTCCCTCAAAAAATCAAAACGCTGCCCTCTATCTATGACATACCTGTTAATTGAGAATGTCACCAATTAGTTTGGTTGGTCTAATAATTTTAAAGTGGATTTTGTTCCCTTATAGGGACCGGGCCCTACACGATCGCCCGTGAGCACGCTAGTCGTGTTGCGCTGCACCAACCGGCTTGACCAGCCCGTAAACCGCGTAGGAAAAATATAATTTCTACCCCAAGAAACTGTTCAAAAATTACCAAAAAGGTAGCTGGAGTTACCTCAGCCCTAAATTTCATCATTGGGTTGTCATTTGAGAGAAGTCTGCGGTAAAAATTCCATACTGGCTCACCACTTTACCTGCCGCCAAACACATCAATTTTCACCTCACCTTTGTGATTTCACCCAAGAGGAATCCAGGAAGCTCTGGAAATGCGAAAACAAATTAGGCAAAATGTGTTTTAAGAGCACATTTTGGATGCACACGTTGTGCAGAACTACATGTAAGTTGAAGCAGCTGGTCAAAACTGATTGAAGTGTCTGGAAGACAGCGGTACGTTATATGCATGACATCGACAACCATGACAACGCATGAGCCGGCCAATGATAGTGCAATACGTCATTATGAATATTTATTTTCTCATGAATATTTAGTTTATTTTTTTGGATACTTCAAATACGTCCAAAGATTGATCATTGCAACAGCGATCGTGCGTGGCCTAGCGGTTAAAAGTCTCGTGTTTCAAGCAAGAGTCCGAGGTTCGAATCTCGATGAAGTAAGTGACTGATTAATAAATAGGAATAAAGGAAAGGAGAGGGTGAGAGTAGAGGAGGGAAAGTGTAGGGAATAACCACAAAAGATGCAACTTTTGGCGTTTGAAAATTAATTGAAAAAAAAGTGGTGATCCAGTATGGAATTTTTTCAGAAGTCTGCTTTAGGTTGACAATGACAATGTCATTTTTCAGACATAAAAAAAAAAATGTCTTGTTCCGAAAAAAAAAAAATTCTAATTCGATCAAAACAAAACAGGGGCCCCACAAAAAGTACACTACTGAGTACTAACCATGCTGACTACACGATCGCCACGCCATCATGGCCATATGACATGTATGACCTAGCCCAGGTTGGACGACGTCTTTATTGCATTACGACTGACGTCCAGGGTATAAATTGTACCACCATAGAGAAAAAAATTATAACACATTTTTTTCATATTTTTACCTGACGGAGGAAGCTGAAATTTCGCTTACATTCTCCTTGTGTCCTGCATTGTACCTGCGCTGGGTTTAGGAAAAAATTATAACACATTTTTTTCATATTTTTACCTGACGGAGGAAGCTGAAATTTCGCTTACATTCTCCTTGTGTCCTGCATTGTACCTGCGCTGGGTTTAGGAACGGCATATGTCCGCGGGCGGCATGTTCACCGAAAAATAAACCACAAGTTCTACGCTTTCGTTGAAAACATTTTCAGTACGAACTCCCTGCGTGAAGACGTACATGTACACGCGCGTGCCGTTTGCTGCCGCTTGCTCGCCTTGGGGGTACGTACTTGCACTTGTACACATGCGCATATTATCGTTCCGCTCCTACCATACCCCCCCGCGGCGCGCTCCGAGCGATCGAACCGAAAATGACTGCGATCATTCTGCGCGCGTGCACATTTCAAGTGTCAGGTTGGCTCAGTGCGGAAAGGGCATATTTTTCATCATTTTTGCCGAAAAACCGACAGAATCCACCGATGTTTGTTCAGTGCACATAACGTGAGTATGTCATGAGGTATTGTACGGAGTTTAGGGGCAAACTGTGCAGCGGTTCTGTGGGAAAAAGCTTGGTTGGGATGGACGTTTTTGTACTTAATTGGTGTTTTGTATAGCAAATAGTTTAGCGGGGTAATCTGCCTATGTACTGTGAAGCCGTCACCAAAGTATGCCAAATCGGTGGATCGTTTGTACGGAGGGTACCGTAGTTCAATGCTCCACTCAGTAGAGCTAATTCAAGGGGACTCCCACTCCGTATCCACATAGCCGCCAACAGGGTGGTTGGTTTGGACTTAGCCCCACTAGTGTGGCCGCGGTTTGCTGCGCTGAACCTCTGGCCACACACCGTGGTCCGCGCACTACTGAGGGCGTTTTCATAAAAATTACAGGCAGTTTCTTACATATGGTTGTATTCTATGATGTCCCATCTATCACTTCTGGGATGCTTAGGTGTAATGATGTTCAATTTTCCGAGATATTCTTGAATTTTTCTGGAGCCCATATGCACTCGTGAAACGTCTGGTGATGGCAGCCATTTTGAATGTGACAAGAGATGACCTCAAGCTATGACGTCGCGTTTATGCAAATTGCTTGTCGAGCGAGGGCGCGAGTTGCAAATGCGACGGCTGTTTCCTGTGCCGTGGATCCTGAATAGAGATCAGTGCACGTGGCCCCCAGACGATAAATGCATGGTACAGGAAACAGCCGTCGCATTTGCAACTCGCGCCCTCGCACGACAAGCAATTTGCATAAACGCGACGTCACAGCTTGAGGTCATCTCTTGTCACATTCAAAATGGCTGCCATCACCAGACGTTTCACGAGTGCATAGGCCTATGGGCTCCAGAAAGATTCAAGAATATCTCGGAAAATTGAACATCATTACACCTAAGCATCCCAGAAGTGATAGATGGGACATCATAGAATACAACCTAGCCCGACTGCGTCTGACCATGACAGTACTATCGCAAGCTCCATACTACAGACAGACAGAGCTTGCGATAGTCATGATAGTACTGTACGGCCAGACGCAGTCGGGCTAAATACAACCATATGTAAGAAACTGCCTGTAATTTTTATGAAAACGCCCTCAGTAGTGCGCGGTACCACGGTGTGTGGCCAAAGGTTCAGCGCAGCATACCGCGGCCACACTAGTGGGGCTAGTTTGGATCCTTTTTATAGCTCCATGTTTGGACTTACAATGTAACTCCCATTCCTTTTGTGTTGCTTCGTTCTCAAATAATGGACCCCCCCCCACTCAGTATTCGCGTAGCTGGCATGGCGCGTAGCGAAGTATTCTGCAATTACTCCCAGTAAATTGGCCACATTTATGGGGCTAGACCCCTACTTACCTGTATGATGTAGTTATCTGTATCGGTAATTTTGAGAGGAAATTTGTAGATCGTTCGCTGGATTGATGACCGGCACGCACGATGTGCGTAAAGGGCGCCCGCTTCGGTGAATCGCTGGTCACGTAGTATAGGGTGAGGGCGCTGTAACCGCAACGCTATATCGGGCGCGGGGTGCAGCTAAATAAATCGACTCCCGCCACAGAGATAAGTCAGATAACTGTGCACAATTCCCCAAATTATCAAGAAAAGGTCACAACTCTCCAAAGTATTTGAAACACTCATCAAATTAATGCTTATTTCATAATCTTTCGTTTTCGGTTCAATGTTTGTGTGGCGATCCGAAGATCAAGACTTTTGGGAGAAAATTCCATCCCATATTAAGACGGGACGGTCAGGTAAAGTGTCATATGGCCAAGCGGTTAGCACCGGACTCAAGCTCCGTATCGGTGTTTCTGATCAGCAGGGTGTGGGTTCGACTGAGTCCCGGTCTCGACATTTGTGTCCTTAAGCAAGATACTTAACCATTATTGCTTTGTCCTTCGGATGGGACGTAAAACCGTAGGTCACGTGTAATTTAATGCACCGTAAAGAACCCATAGTAGCACTTATTGCTAAGAGAAGCGGTGTGTTTCTGGCAGTGCGTTTATTTTCATCCATTATGAAGGCAGCACTCGTAAGGAAGGAAGGATGGAAAACAATCAACCCTAAAAGTAGTCCAATGATGCCTGCGCTCCATTGCAAAATAAAGCAATCTTAGGGCCCAATTTCATCTGAATTCACGGTACCGTGTTCACGGCTAATTCCATCCATTTTTTTTTCAGATTCATTGTCCTTTTTTTTTTTTTTTTAGATTCATGGTCCACAAAATGCTCTAATAGAAAAAAAACAGTTGCAAGTTATGCAATACATATTGCTTAAAGGGAAGATACAACATTTGCAAACATCAAAAAACGAAATGATCAATTTATCACGAAATACCTTACTGAATCGCTAGGGATTGACGGTCTAAAGCATCCTGTAAAATGGTGGTTCCTGGTGTGCTGACATTTTCAAGAAAAACTGTATTTTTCCAACGCTGGTCGGCTGACCAGCGTTGGAAACTGGCTTTAAAAAAAAATGCTCCTAATTTTTCATATTTAGTTATTCCGCATTTTCTTTGCAATAGATTACACACTTGTGAAGGGGTACAAGCCTGCTAATGCTAGACTGATTCTTTGACCTTACAATTCCCTAAAGTCTTTACATTTCTCCGTTTCATCTTAAGTAGGGTCAGGGAACCAGACTACAAGAACATGATTTGTTGTCTTGGTTTTTCCAGCATATACAAGCCCAAAACGTGAAACAAGTCAGTTTAACAATATTTGCTATAACATACTAATCCTCCAAATCGATTTATTTCTGAAAAGTGCAGCAAAAGCAAATGTTGTACATTCCCTTTAAATTAGCTATAATTATGCTCCGACTTATGGAAATGGGTTTACTTTGTTCAGCTCCTTCAATGTTTTTTTTTTTCCTCACAAATGTGGAGAGCGTATATAGTTATTTATTTAAACGCAGAGGAGATTTATTTTACTACTGCTCCAGAAGCGTTGGTAGTTGCATGATAAAATGACTATAAAGGACTACATGTACATGTACATAGTCTCCTAATAGTCCCCAAATCATCGCAAGTAGACAAAAGCCTCATTTTTTTTGTTTTACATTTACATGAAACTTTTGTTTGTATTGTACATTGTGAATCTGACATTCTACTTATAAACTGTACAAGAAAACTCGACTTGGCTTCAAAAACATTTTGTGGATTAAATAAGTCAACCAAAAACAATTTGTCTTTGAATTAAAAAGCTATTATTCATTATAATTTGAACCAGAATCAATTGAACAAATATATAATTTTTCAAAGAGTAATTTTTCGTCTTCTACGATTGCAATCACATCAGCAATAAGTCCCATTTCAAAACAAAATTTCAAAACTCGCTAATCTCTTCAATCGTGTCTCAAACAAAATGAGAAGAGTTAATTTACTTAATATTCTGAATAATATTTTTTTAAAGAATATTTGAATGAATTTTTAGAGTATAACTAGTGAATCAGTGCAACTGCTCAAAATTTGTGCAAAGAGTGAACTGTGATCTTGAAGTTTGAATATTTTTTTATGTACAACAAATTTTGAATATTATTCTACACCTTTTAGTTTTTTATGAGTATGTATACATGTACATCCCACTGTCACATTAAAAAGGCACGTGGGAGCATAAGAAAATACCAAGACAGGGATGCACCGAATAAAAGAGAAAACCTTGCTAAAAGGTAAGATACGACTAGTACCAAAGACCCTGATTTCTAACTTCAACCAGAATTAAAATATCGATTTTTTTTTTCAAAGAGTAATCTTTCGTCCTGTATGAATCACATAAGCAAAAAGTCTAATTTCCGACCAATTTTAAAACTCTATAACACTGCTTAAATGAGTAGAGTTCATTCACTTAATGTTCTGAATAATACATTGTTAAGAATATTTGAATGACTATTTAAAAGTAAATATAACTGGTGAAAAATCGTAAATGCTCAAATTGTGTGCAAAGTGAACTATGTGATCTTGAAATTTGCAGAAAACATTTTGTTATATAGATCAAATTTTGAATATACACACTTTTTTAAAATTATAACTATTTATACATCCCGCTGTCACATAAATGCACGTAGGAGCATTAGTCAAATACCAAGAAAGGGATGCACCGAATAAAAGAGAAAACCTTGTTAAAAGTTAAGATACGACTGGTTTCAAAGTATTGCTGGTAAAAATTGTAAATGCTAAAATGTCATCCAGATCGAAATTCTCGAAATTTGAAGAATTTTTCTTCTTATGTACATACAATTTTGAATATACACATATTTTAGTTATATTTAGAATTGTAATTTTATATACACCCCCCTGTCACATTCAAAAGGCACATAGCAGCATTAGTAAATACCCACAAACGGACCTACCGAATTAAAGGGAACATGTTATAGGATTTTTATGACTTAAAAACATTTAAAACAGCTTTCTTGCCATGTAAATGTGATTTTCCACCTCCTTTGTAGCAGTAAAAGGGAGAAATTTCAACGTTTTAGTTTTTATGCTTATGAAAATGTCTATGATTCAAGAGCCAAAGCGTGATGTCATTCAAGGCAGAACAGTTGTGTCTCCATAGCTTTGTGTACAAATATTGAACTTTTCTTCATTTTCTTGGAGTAAGTTCCACTTTTTACTGGTTTATCATGTTAAACAGCTTGTTTGGACAATAGTAGTGGCTAATATTTCTTCCAAACATTTGTTTGTGGGTAACTTTAAAGGACTAAATTTTGTACTGTTCATAATGCACTTTTGACAAGGAGTGTCTTGTATGACAAAAGCAAAATAGCGCCTACATGTATTGATGAAAGTATTTGCTAATAATTGAAAAACTACCAATTTCTTGTCACTTCCAATGAAAACAAGTATTAAGATCTTGTATGTATTGTTGCAACACATAGTAATGTGCATGAAAACAAGATGAGCTGAATTTCCACTGCATGTTTCCTTTAAAGAGAAAACCTAGCTCAAAGTCAAGATAGGATTCGTACCAAATACCCTGTGAATATTCCGCCAGAATGGATAAAAAAAATCACATCACTGAAGATGTTTTTAAAGTAGTTAGCCCGCAGGCACACTTTTTACATTTGCAATTAGCAACGGAATCCAGTTAAGAGATCCCCAAAATATGCAAATGATTTTCTCTGTTTCTCAAGAATGTATTGCAGCCACTGAGCTTAATCTTAAACGGGTAATTTCTAATACATCCTAATCGGATTTTTGAGCATTGTTATCGCTTCAAACGACAAACATGCACAAAACGCAGAAGATCCTATGTGCCTTCAAAGAAGAGCTGGTTGTTTTATCCTTGGAGACACAACGGCATATCCGGGGGGGGGGGGGGCAAAGGGGGCCATGCCCCCCATACAAAACGAACCCTATTTATTTTTAAGTGACGCCGCAAAAAAAGGCAGTCATTGCGTACACCACAATCTGTTCCTATAAAAAAAATGGGTTAAAGTGGTCATCAATTGCCTCAGATCGCACCACAGAGCATCTAGAATCTCCCTAATAAGCGAGCCCTGAACCCACGCCGTACAACATTTTTGGACCCACTGTTTTTGGTGGCCACAATGTTTTGGCGCCCCCCCCCCTTTAAAAAAAGTGGATTTCCATTCGATAAAGCAACAGTGTCCATTTTGAATTGTTTGTCTTGAGATTTAGGATTTCTCAGTGTTAACATGTATCGATAAAAACAAACTGTTTTTATGCATGAAGCGTCCGATCGATGACACTGTATGTTCATTGTTGTTGATCATGACACCGGAAGGCCCACGTCCCGGCCCTGTTCATAAGCTGAGGTCCACTCGCCCAGACTCCTGTCATCATGGGCAGGTCGGCAAATAATTTTGAGTTTTTGTTTCTTTCTTGAAGATCAAAGATGCGGATTATAACATTGTTTAATACTTTGTTATCTTCCAATCAATTTGCCCTTAAAATGAATGCAGAGCAAATAAATCGTTTAACTTCATTAGCTGAGATGACCGTATTCAAATGAAGATACTATCTTCATCATCAGGTTAAAGAAATCTGTCATTATTCTTTAGAAGATGTTTTTGTTTTGTGATGACTGTTAGTATCAGATCATGCAGGCAGTGAAGTATTCAGAGTAATAGGTACAAGTAGCGCTGACATGTTGAAATTTGGAGACATCATCGAAGGTTGTAGCATCGTTGAGTTGACACAGTTTCTGTCCTTGCTCGTTGATGATGAAATTGAAGGAACGGCATCCAGAATCCATGACACAGGCAGAGGTGCAGATGGCGACGGTTTTAGTGATAAACTCTCCGATGACATGATCGATGAGACACCAGTTAGTAAACTGTGTGTTATTGCTTGAAGCGAAGCAGTGTTGGTGAGGCCCTCTCAAACGATGCACACATACTGCTCGGAAATTAGCAACACAACCAAATGTCTTCCACGTACCAAGCCCTTGCTGACTTATGACCGCACAGGTATAATAGTACGGTAAAAAATCCTTATCCGGAGATC